TATATTTGTACACATAAAACACTGTAAACTAGTTTGCATCCATTGAAGCACTGATCGTTTCCACACTAGTAACCTTGGATTTTTTGTTACCACCCTTGGTTGACTTGGTCTTACTAGAGGATGCTACTGCTAAATCTCCACCTGCCTTGCGCTTCTTGCCCGCTGCCTTATCATCTGCTCCAATGACATGCAAGGGAATAGGCCATTTCTGAGAATCAGTATCACCAAATGCAATACATTGATTATGTCCTGTGTTGGCATCAGCTACAGCTTTGTCGAAAGCAGTTACCTCTTGTGGATCAGCAACTTGAACAGCAGCATCCAACATATCCCACCACTTTTGATATTGGACTTTGAACTGGGCGCGTTTTTCATCGTCAAGCATGATGTACTGAAGTGGCTCCTTGATTCCAGCATTATAGGATTCCACATACACTGCATTCCCAATAAACAAGTCCACCAAGTTATTCGCCTGTTTCACAATCTCCGGATGGGCCACAGAAATAGTCTTTTTACCTCGTTTGAAGCGTAGATTCTGCTTGTCGAGGTTGGCATAGATACTCTTTGCCTTTTTGACTTGTATCGCCATAGCGTGGTCGAATTTTGCAAGGCGATTGTCATATTCCAAATCATCTTCGTCTTTCTCCCCATCGCCTTCTTCAAGTAGATCGGTTTCACATTGATCAGCAGGGAAAGGTGGCCCCACCCACAGTGAACAAAGGGGTTCCTTTGTAACAGGATCAATCCAAGGTGAAGGAATAACTTGCTTAAGTTCCCGATGGAAGTTGGCAAGAGACGATTTGTGAAGAAGAGGAGCAATGAACTTGTCAAGAAGAATCATGTCATAATACACGCCCTCGAAGATAGCAGTATCAGTTGGAAGGGGATTATTCATACTGCGCTTAGCAGTGCCACCGTATTGAAGCCAAGGCCAACCAATGTGTCGCAAAGACTCGACCCAGGTAACAGAGCCAACACTGGGAATACGGCTTAACTGGACCTTGACATTGGATGGAGGGAATGGTAAAACCCTATCAAGACCAGGTATCCCACCAGTTGTGGACTTCATCCCTTGGGCAGAAAGTTGTGCCTTTGCTGCAAAGCGCCAGCGATCAACTGCAGTGTGGTACGCCTGGGATCCAAGTGAAAGATTGGAAGCGTATTCAGTTGCAAACACTTGTTTTGGAGGTAAGACATCAGGTAGTGCCTTCCGAATAGGAGTCGCATACTGTTTGAACACATGGCGGTGCACAAAGAATAGTTGGGCAATTTTAAGAAACTTCACCCTTACCGAATTAATCTCTATAGGCAACAAAGGAGATTGGGTGGCTTTAACAGACCGATAAGCAAGAGCATAAGCAATAGCTTCTGCTCGATCACCAAAGGGGATGCTGTTATAAGAGTCGACACGGTTACTTGCACGTCCAAGCCGGCATATTGCAGTATGAAGTCCAGGCTGAATAAGGAATACTGTCAAGTTGAGGCCAGGATGTGCTTCCACAACTTGAGCAATCATTGCTGTAATGAAGGAAGGGCACAGAAAGGGGGTGAAGCTAAGTTCAATTCCCTGGGTCCTAAGAGTGATGGGATGGACACCGTATATGCTGATACGAGATCGAATATTGGAGATCACCCTTCGGTCAGAGGCGCTAAGTTGGTCCCCAAATTCTTCCACAAAGTCATCAGCTACTGTTTGTGCGTTACGACCGATATCCTTCATATAATATTCAAGATAACTCGATGACCAGTTGTCTGCTTTCGAAGGCGGTCCAGCATATGTCTCAATTTCTGATGACAGATGCTGCATAAAGCCAGGCTCGAAAACTTCCTCGACCAAACAATCCAAGAACTTTTTAAGCATCGGACTAAGTTGGGAAAAGAAGGTGGTGGCGTAAGTTGCCATGTTAGGAATGACCTGATCGTTTCGAAATGCCAAGTAAGAATCTGCAGAATGATTGCTTCCAGCACCTGGATGTTTCATTCCAATGTGGACCAGAAGACTAGATTGCAGTTCATCAGCAATAGGAGATTTGACAACTTGGTTGGGATCGACAAGGAGATACAACATCTGCAAAGATGTGTGCAACAAAGGGAAAAGGAAGCGCCAAAGTCCTCCTGACAGAGCTTTGAAGCTATCCAATCCTGCAAAGTCCCTTTTCAAAGAGGGAAGCGGAGTAAGCCTGGCATATTCCTCAAACATTTCTGAATGATCCTTGACTAGAGCTGCTACCAGCTCCTGTGTACCCCTAAGCATAGCTGTCATTTGATAAACTTGCTGACGAGCCTCCAAGGTTTTACACATATTCACACTTAGCATGAACTTGCGAAAGTGAGTTTCCGGTGTATCAGCCTTACTCAGAACTTGCGCATTTGAGCACAAGCGAGTCAGAATAGCAGGACCATTGGCCAAGTCCTTCAAAATGCCCTCTACAGAAAATTTACGTATAGAATCAGTGCCAATTCTGTACGTAAAAAAATAAATAGCAAGACTTACCATGACTATGAAAAGCTGCCAACCATTTCCCTTGCGTTTGGAGAATATGCCTCGCATTTTCCAACCGGAACTTGATGTCTTGCTGGTGGCCTCCTCTCAGCTCCAACTTGACTGTACAAGTCTCAAACTCCGAAATAGCCTCTGCCAACCTCTTCTTAGAGGCGGCCACTCGATGGTGACCAGCCGCTAAAATTCCAGTGGCATTTGCAGCATGATTTGTAAAACAAATGTCCTGCCAGCCAGCCCCCTGTACCATTTGAAGACTGTTGAGATCGATGTTTTTGTCAGCCAACACAATAGTGATGGCGTTCTCCGGAACTGTGTTGTAGCAAGCCTTTTCGAACTGTTCATAGAGAACGTCTACATGCGAAGCACTAAGTTCACGTTGACCAGGACCACCAATAAGTTCAACGCCAGCACCGCCACATCGCTCCTGAACTACATTGACCATCGCATAGCCAAGCAAGTACTTGTTGTGATCAATCGCCTCATGTGTCGAGGCGACTTCATAAACTGAAAGATCAGGGGCCTCAGTCAGAGGGGGTTCTTCAACCACCTAGTGCAGACAATTAGTTAAAATTTGGGGCTTGGGAATGATGCAATGTAATAGGTACCCTTGCCTTGCCTTTGGCCTTGGAACTGACTTTGCGCTTTCCACCTTTCGCAGTCGAAATCTAAAAATACAACTGAATAATGGCCCATGACACTAATCAAATGAATGTACCGATTCATCCACGTCAACAGAGTCCTATATGATCAGAATGAATCAGTACAGTTTGTTTTTTGATTATAAAGACCATAAATACCTTCATAATAACATCTTCATCTTCAGGCCCTGCCTGGTTCGACTCGATTGGATTTTTCTTTGCGTATGGAATTAGCGGCAATTCTGTACGTAAAATTCAAAGACTTTACTTGATTGACAGGTGCATTAATGGCTTCAACCAATTGATCCTCCGTAGTCTAATTTTTACGTACAGAATCAGTCAAGATTCCATACGTAAAAATTCCAATGATTGACTTACCAGTTCAACAATGGGGTTTCCAATGTCATCAACCTCTCCGACATCCTTCGCATCATCCATTTCATTCTCATTTCCACTACTCTCTTGTTCGTTGCTGTCTTCATCAGCAGACCCAACTAATTCGCCTTCAACAGCTTCCTTTTGAGTGGCGTTGATATCCTGGCATTGCGATTGAAATATTGTTGCTTAATAAACTGATTAAACATACCTTGTCACTGTCATAGACAAGAACTTCGCCCATGTCAATATCCTTATCAGACTGTACGCGTAATGTTTAGCTTGAGTTTGTCATGGGGAATCAAGGTACGAACATTTGATTCTTGAGTTGGCTAAAGCAAGAAGAATTTTTACGTACAGAATGAGACTCAATTCTGTACGTAAAAAAAGACCAAGCCACTTACATCAACAGGATTGAGCTTGCGTATGAAATCAGCTTGGATTCTATACGTAAAAATTCAACTGGGTACTGACCATCATGCTAGCAAGCTGAGAGCAAGGCAAAAAAACCATTTTACGTATGAAATCTAATTCAAAACTGTACGTAAAATCTTACCATCAATTGATTCCCAGGGGGAGCTTGAGACAGGGGCTAGTAGGGTGGCAAAAATGCGTTTGAAACCCTAACCTTAAGGCTGCCAAAAGCGGACTTACCATCTGAGTAACAGGTACAGAAGACATTTCAACTGTAAAAGGCTTCAAAAAATGGTCCTTGTAGCTTCCAAAGTGACTGCTATACCTTGGAAAGTGTTTATAAAGACTTTGAAGCAAGTGTATAGTGTGTTGATGGGGGAAAAAGGAAGCAAAAAAGTCGGAGATGATGCCAGGGCTATCCTTATATTGTGTGGCAATCCCCATCAAAAACCTCATGTGATCATGATCCGGAGATATTCCGAGGCTAGACCTGCTGACTTTTGTGCGAGTTTTTGGCCTGCGGGAGTCGTGGCTGTGCTAATGTTCCCACGCTACGCTCCAATGAGAAAAAATTGAAAATAAAGAGGCGGGTCCCCGCATCATAAATCTTCAAGAATTTCCTGAAATGGTAGAAAACTCCGTCCTCTATAAGCATTACAAGACAGAATATCCATACATGGCAGAAACTGTTGGAAATTACTCAAAAGGGCAATAAAGTGGTAGCCACCCCCCAATAAGGTAGGAAAAAAAGCGCCCTACCCATAACAAGCAATTAGCGCCGGACTGCCCAAAAAGGCAGTAAGCGCCAGACGGCCCAAAATGGCAGTAGGCGCCTCTAAGTAGCGCGCCCAAAGGAAAACTCGGAGCGGAGCACTGAATACGGAAGTTAGTTCCCACGCTACACGGAAAACATCGAAAATTGAAAATGAAGAGCGGAGAGAGGCGAGTCTGATGATGTAACTACGACCTTGTCCGGCGGAATCCTCACGGTGCTATAAACAAAACAAAACAACAGGTCAGATGTGAATTGTGCATCAACCAGTGCTCCGATTTGAATGATACTGGTAGGTGACCCTAGGTTATTTTGTACTGCGAGTTCAATGGTGACAAGTACATGATACAAACAAGAGTGTATAGCAAAGTAAATCAAAGGTACTTGTCAATATACCAACAAACAAGACGGGCAAAGTTTGAAACATAGTAAGACAAAGAAGGCTGAGCTACTGTTGATTGTGGGCGCAAAGCAAGCCAGAATCCCAGATCCTCCTTGTTTATGTTGAATTCCTGTTTGGCAAGTGTAAAGACATCAGGAGTATCTTGTATACGGAATACAAGACCCATCATAAAGTCAATATGCTCACACCGCACACTCCGGCCATAAGGTCCATGTACAGCATCACCAGGCAGCTGCGGAATATGACAGCTGTAACATACAGTTCCATATGTACGTTTTTCATGTTCAGAACATGACGAGTACTTGATAAGTCGCCGGAAGCTGCGAACTTTGCTGAAATCCAGATTGGGACATTGAGGTAATGTATGGGAGGAGTCTACACCCTCAGTTGCTCCACAGTAGGTGCAATTACCATTAAAGATATTGAAACCCTTTTCGAATGAAGCAATGACAGGATCAGAGCCTGCAGTACGCATGTGGCGGTGATACTGAGCTGCTTCAACAGCAGCTGCCAAGTTAGGTTGTTGATCAACATGATCTCCACACAGCGAAAGCATATCTGTTGGAGAAATATAAGATGTAACAGTGTTGAGTGATCCTGACTCGGTTCGACAGTTGCTACACAGCTGTGCATTCGGTCCACTGTCTTTGCATAGAATGCCATGACCATCCATAAAGCGAGTGATATTCCAGCGTATACAGAGAGGAGGTGTATTCTTGCATAGTGCTGCCATATGAACACAACCAGCATAATCATCCTTTTGATTCGATGAAAAGATGTATGCTCCTTTGTGGGGAAGAATAGTTACAGGGCAAGGAAGATGATCGCGGCCACCCCGGCCAGCGCCTTGTGCAAACCCAGTGGCATCTGGGGGTGTACCGGCAAAGAATACAAAACGCACATGCAAATAATCATTGCCAGCTAGTAAAGCTGAAGTTCCAATCAGAATATTGTATAGACCATCGACCCAGTCCTGATAGGTCTTCTGACGATTGGGAGTAGTGTTCTTATCGCCAGAGTAGAACCCGCATTTGAATGCAGAAGCCAATTCCGACCCATAATCAACCTTTTGAACAAAGATCAAAATGCGCTCATAAGGTTGTAGTTTGTTACGGGCAGCAGCTACCAATTCGATAAGTCGAGCTTTGATTTGAAACTTGGGACGCTCCTGCTCAAGAATATACTCGAGCTCTGGTCGATCTGTACAGTTCCGAATCTGAATATATGGTGAGGCAAGACCGAATGTGTTTGCCATGACCGGAATGCAGTTGGGTGGTGCAGACCCGCTTAGGACAATCATGGGAACTGGAAGGCAGCGGACTTCACATGCATCACGGAGAGGATCACGATAGGTACTATCAGTTACTGCCAATTGACCTTCATCGTATATGAAACATGCGACAGGCTTGGTAGCGTGTACAATCTTTAGGCTGCGTTGAAAGGGTTGGCGAACAGCAATATCGGAGGATACCAGTAACAGAGATGTCGATGGTGGAATCATGCTGTCAGACCCACCACTATGATCATAGTTGAGGAAAGGTATTTGCATATTAGTGAGACGACGGGAATAGTCATCTCGAAGTGATACCAGTGGGATAACGACCACTATAATTCGGTTTGTATCATAGCGTGAGCATATGATAGGGATCATGGTTTTCCCTGATCCTGTGGGAGCAATGACAACCATGTCATAGGTTCCATTGATTGAGCCAAGTACACCATAGCGCTGGGCTTCACAAGTCCATATAGCCTCTGGATTGTTGAGCACCTGCTGCAGCAAGTAGAGGGCTTTTTGCTCCACATCCTGTGTAATACTTGTAAAGTATGGGATTGCAGGTTGTAAAACTTTTTTTTTTTTTTTTACGTACAGAATTAGGTCCAATTCTATACGTAAAATTTAAAAACTCACCTGGCTCGAGCAACAAAGGAGATTTACGTATGGTTTTTGCGCTGTTTCCATACGTAAAAACATCTGCAGGGCCTGGGGATGAAGATGGGGGAGGTACCAGAGGTAAGGATGAGGTTGAAACTACAATCCAGACTATTTATTAGTGGAATTGAAAATCACAAATACATGTCATAAACTTGCATTGTAGAGTAGAGGGCTTGGTGAAAGAGCGAATTTGCTCTTCTTCCAAGTCTGATAGTTCTGGGCTAAATTCCCGGCCCTTTTTTGTTGGGCTTGAATCAACAACAATAGACACGGTGCCCCTCCGCTTAGTTGGTTGACGAGTAGGTGAGAATGTAGTGACCAAAGGGGGGGGCCGAGGAGGTGTGGTAACAACTGTAGCTGAAGTTGAACTTGATTGTTGCTGCAGTAACAGTGGCTGTAACTTGTTCAGGAGGGAAGTGGCAATGTCCTCTGTAGCAGCAGTCATGGAGCTTTTGATAAAGTCCTTGACATCAGCCAGAAGGGCGCGGGTACGGGATTCAGCAGTGGTAAACTCGTCCACTGCGAACAATCCCTTTGAGCGCAAATCTTGATAACAAGCTGCAGTGGCTTCTCGATAGGACCGGGATACACCAGTGGGAACGATTCCACACTTTATCTGCCAGCGCGCACTGGCATCACAGAAGACACCCAGCATTTGATCCGAGTATTCACCAATAGAGTCCAAGCTGACAGCATAAATAGTCTGCTCCACATGTTCCGAGTGGCCTGCTTGTTCTGCCTCTACATGGCGTATAATCTCATTGTCTGTCTCTTGCTCGGTAGCTTGGTCAACTAGCATGCGTCGGAAGGCAATCGAAACATGTCGGAATGCATTGAGACCAAGACGGACATTCAGAACCTGATGCGAATATTTGGCCATAGCATCAGACAACTCGTCGCTATCAAATGCTCGACCCATGTTGGGGAACAGCAAGTCGCGATATGCCTCGATGACTTTGGGATCATTAGGATAACATACAGTGGCAATGAACTGTGCAAAGGGACGTGCCAAGGCCAAGTTTTGGATTGTAAGGTCTGCGGTAAAGGCATCGCCTGCCCGTGGGAGAAGCTTATCAGACCCACTGATAGCACCAGACTTGTGGTACTGTCCAACCAAAGCAATGTTGGGACCAATGGCATAGAGATTGCGGGGACGAGTCTGAGTATTTTGTGCAAGCATTGACACCATTTCAGTTCCTCGAGTAGGAGAGCCAGCCAACATCTCCCAGCGCAGCATGAGCAAAAGATTGAAACGGCTGTACTGGTATAACCATGATCGAAGGGCCACCTTGTTCCACCGAGGAGTGTTATTTGCCATGTCAATTCCCACTATGAACTGATCGCGAAGAGCTGGGGTGGAAACAATAGCTCGGAAGAGAGCAGAACGGGTATGGAGGCAAGTGTTCCGAGGATCTTTGAACATGGAATAAGGAGGCAGTTTACGTGTCAAGTCGTCGCAAAGAAGAGCACTGTGAATATCAATAGATAGCTTGGTACCCAGCATGATTTTATCTTCCCACAGAGGAACAAGCTCCTGCTCGATATTATGGAATACCTGACAGAGATCTGCGAATTTGATGGAATCACCAAGGTAAAGCATATGGTCCCATTGCTTCCGATCCAGCCAAACAACTCGAGGCAAGCTCTTTTGCTTGATAGCAAGGGTTGAAGCAAGATGTTGAAGACTGCGAAGCGAGTTGAATGTATAGTCGTTCTTTTCGGTAAAGTACTGTTCCAGGCGATCACATTCAGTACTCGCATTATAGTTGGGCTGATCATGGTTCTTGAGCAACTCGAGTACAAATACCAAGCGCTGGCAATAAGTAATGCGAGCAACCACAGGTGAAGTTTGGTTGGGTTCACGAAACCCACCCGAGGGAATGATCATGCGGAATGCCAAGAAAAGCATGGTTGGATCTGTCGTAAACTTGGTTTCGACATCTTGTGGCCAGTGTTGAGTCCAGAGTGACATGAGCAGTTGATGAACAAGGTACATCAGGTCGACATCAGAGATCTGATCATCCACCAACCCATCCTGCAATGCCTGCAAAGCTTGTGCCACACTGAGAGGAAGGTCGTATGTAAAGATATTCCGAGTATCGCGCAGTAGCATACATAGCAAGCGGTTGACTTCATCAATATAGGTCCGCATAGTAGTATCACCCCCCTGATGTCGGTGGAAAGGCGTATTTGAGATTCCTCTGCGTATAGAATTGGGTCAAATTCTGTACGTAAAAAATACAGAGATGAGGAACACTTGCGTTTTAGCTCGGTCCGGAGTATTTAATCGCTGCAAAACCAACTCTGGCAATTGTGGAATACTCTTTATTGCCAAGTCCATAAGTCCCTGCATCACAACACAAGCTTTCTGCAATACAGTGTCATCTGCTACAGGCTTCTGACAAGTGTTTGACAGTGCTTCCAAGTCCCGGCCTTGTACCAGTTGCGGCCATTTAGTTGCAAGCAACCAAGGACTCACAAGACGATTGTTGGCAGAGAATTCACCGATAGGTGTTTCAAAGACAGCCTCGACTTGAGCAGTTGCATTATTGACAATCTCATCGATGGTAGATGATGTAGGTGGGTAGGCAGGTATGATAGGGAATGGAATAGCATGTTTGTGAAAGCGTTGAATAGGAACATAGTGGATCGCATTGATATCGAATGGAACATTGTGCGTGGTGCGGACATGGCGTTCGATGGTCTTTACGGAGGCTGTGACGTGGTTGCAATCACCACATTCATAGCCTAGCAGGATAGGCAATCCTTCCACTTGAGGATAAAAGCCAGGCTGCATAACAAGTGGTGCAGCCGGTACATGCCACTGGTTTTGAATGACTTTTTTTGCCTCTGTAGGTGAGTATTGCATGCGAGCATGCTCATCCTGGATGTGGCGATGGATATAGGAAGACTTGAGAAGAATGTGGTGATGGGTACACAAGACCCCCTGAAGAACTGTATGGTAAACTAGACCAAAGTTGTCCATGTACGGGTTTGATTGGATCTGAGACCATGTTTGATTAATCGAATGAATGACTGCAAAACAGATATACCTGGTCACCATACTGGATGGGTTGACTGATAAGCTCTTCTACCATTTCCCTTGTCCAAACCTGGTCTTCACTCTCTCCGAACGATGTAAAGTCCTTGGCATTGACAGAATACAAATTATTGGCTACAGCAGAATTTTTACGTACGGAATCACCACCAATTCTGTACGTAAAATATCAGAGATGACATACCTGTGTTTACTTGCATTGACAAGACATTGTTGACTGCTGGAGCCACTGCATCAATGTCTGTGGCATTGACTGTTTTGGCGTGTTCAAGAAGAGACTTGGAAAGTCTATAAATGTGACCATTGGGCTTTGCATCACACAAACACTCGAAAGCACCATCAGCGTTGCGATGAATTGTCTTGCGACCATTGAGGTACTTGACTTTGATAAAGGCAACATCGGATTGCATGGAGCGAGACATTCTACGTACAGAATGAACAGAGATTCTATACGTAAAAAGAGCATGTGTTGCTTACCTAAGCAGCTAGTTACTTGAATAGGAAGGTAGTGGTAGTGGAAAGAGAAGCACAAGTTGATACGTATTTGCTTTTATAGTCTGACAGGGGTGAGAAAATACATTCCATCAATGTTTCATCATCATATCAAGTGATAGCAATGAGGACTGGGAAAAGTACACTGCTGAATGCACTGCTTGATCAGAGGTGATAGCAATGAGGACTGGGAAAAGTACACTGCTGAATGCACTGCTTGATCAAAAGTGACAGCAATGAGGACTGGGAAAAGTACACTGCTGAATGCACTGCTTGATCAAGTCTGCAGTCCGAGTTTTGGCTTTGGCGCGATGTGGCTGTGCCAGGTTCCCACGCTACACTCCAATGAAGAAAAAAATGAAAATGAAGAGGCGGGTCTCAGCATTATAAATCTTCAAGAATTTCCTTAAAAGGTGAAAAACTGCGCCCTCTATAGGCAGTACAAGACAGAATTGCCCAGTATGGTAGAAAACTCTGCCAGCAGGAATTGCCAAGTATGGTAGAAAAGCGCAGGAGTTACTCAAAGAGGAAATAAAAAGCAGGCAAAAAAAGCGCCTCTGAGGAAATCTCGGAGGGGGGAAAGAATACGGAAATTAGTTCCCACGCTACATGGAAAACTTGAAAAATTGAAAATGAAGAGCGGAGAGAGGCGAGTCTGATGATGTAACTGCGACCTTATGCGGCGGAATCCTCACGGTGCTATAAACAAAACAAAACAACAAGTCGGATGTGAATTATGCATCAACCAGTGCTCCGATTTGAATGATACTGGTGGGTGACCCTAGGTTATTTTGTAGTGCGAGTTCAATGGTGACATTTGCGTGACCAGAATCGGAGTATATTCTCCACTAATGGAAAGATGTCTCTCAATGTGCATAGTGTTGAGCTTGCTGTACACATCCCTGTGACAATGCTGAGCTCCCTGTGTACAGTGCTGAGCTCTCTGTATACAGTGCTGAGCTCCCTGTGCACATTGCTGAGCCTTCTCCTCCTGCTGTGTACAATGCTGAGCTCAGTACATAGCACTATTCCAAGTACAGTCTCATTCCAAAAACAGCACTTGAGTTGATGTGCAAAGCTATGTCAGAAGGCTATAAAAGTGCGCTTTTTTGGACCCCCGTGGGAAAAACTTGGTCAAGAATCGAACAAGCCAAAAATTTTACGTATGGAATTTTCAAAATTCTGTACGTAAAATCTCAGAGACGTTTACGTATAGAATCACTTTCAATTCTATACGTAAAATGGACATCTGGGCTGACAGTGGACAGTATTGAGCTCACTGTCTATGACGACGTCGAGCTCACTGTCTATGACGACGTCGAGCTCACTGTCTATGACGATGACAATGAGCTCACTGTCTACGACGACGTCAAGCTCACTGTATACAACAGCGATGACAAGCTCACTGTATCTGACAACGTTGAGCTCACAGTCTACGACGATGACAACAAGCTCACTGTCTATGACAACATCGAGCTCACTGTCTACGACAATGACGACGAGCTCACTGTCTATGACAACATCGAGCTCACTGTCTACGACAATGACGAGCTCACTGTACGACGACGTCAAGCTCACTGTGTACAGCTGACAGCACTGTCTACGCAGCTCACTGTGTACAACAGCAATGACACAACTCACTGTCTATGACAACATTGAGCTCACTGTCTACAACAGCAACAACAAGCTCACTGTGTCTGACAATGTTGAGTTCACTGTGGGAGATGATGACCAGCTCATTGCATACAGTGTTGAGCTCACTGTGGAGGACAATGACTAGCTCACTGTCCAAGACAATGACCAGCTCATTGTATACAGTGCTGAGCTCACTGTGTAGGACAGCATAGAGCTTGTTGTGGACAGCATTGAGGTCACTGTCTGAGACAACATTGAGGACACTGTATACAGTGTTGAGCTCACTGTGTATGGCAATGAGCAGCAGCATTGAGCACAGTGTGGAGGTCACTGTGGGCAACAGTGGTGGTGAGCTCACTGTGTAGAGTGTTCTGCTCACTGTGTAGAGTATTCTACTCACTGTGTAGAGTGTTGTCCTCACTGTGTAGAGTGTTCTACTCACTACGTAGGCCAGTATGGGTGCAAAGGAACTAGACCGGTAATAGAGGTGTAATATAGATAGGAACACAGATGATAAGGCCACAAGAATGTCACGGACAGGTTGTTTACAGAGACAGAAGTTGCCCACTAGTTGCAAATATATTCTTCATAGTCTAATATGAACACATCCAATAAAGTGGCATTGATTTTATGGAAAGGTTGTGCACAGAAACAGAGGCCATAGCTCCAAGGCATACAATACATCATTGTCAACAATCGACTTGTGCATTGGCACTCAAACGTATTCCGGGGCTTTCGACTTTGCCATTGATCCAATGCACGTGCATGTATAGTCAGTGGTGCAGGTGGGTCATATCAATGTAGGCCATATATCCAATGCGTACAACACAATCAACCAGAGTACAAGCACTCGCATCAATTTCCGATTTTGTAATAAGCAGTTGTTTAACATGTCACAGGCCTTGAGAATGGTTCTGGATTGGATATGAAGTTGAGTCAGAATGCATATCAAAATCAACAATGAGGGCTTTCAAGGCAACATGCAGTCGGAAAGGGAGGTCATTGAGAATTTAGAATAGACTGGACCACCGGAAAGGGAGGTAAATGGGAATTTTGAACATGACCTGCCTTTCCAGTGATATTGTGGTTCAAATCCTCAAAAGCTTGCCAAAATTGAGTTGAATTAACAAAATAAGGAGGATTGGATATGAAATTGAGTTACAATGCATATCAAAATGGAGAATGAGGGCTTTCAAGGCAATATACAGTCGGAAAGGGAGGTCAATGAGAATTTAGAACAGAGGATACAGCCGGAAAGGGAGGTAAAAGGGAATTTTGAACATGACCTGCCTTTCCAGTGATATTGTGGTTCAAATCCTCAAAAGCCTGCCAAAATTGACATAAATTAACAAAATAAGGAGGATTGGATATGAAATTGAGTTACAATGCATATCAAAATGGAGAATGAGGGCTTTCAAGGCAATATACAGCCGGAAAGGGAGGTAAATGAGAATTTAGAACATGACCTGCCTTTCCACCAGAACTGCCTTTCCATAGATCCAAAGGTGTGAAAAGAGGTTTTTGCTATGGATGGGAGCTCAAAATGATATCAATATTGACCAAACCAGTGAAAACGAGACATAAACAGAGGTTTTGGAGTGATTTAGGAAGACTGGGTTTCCGGCTGGTTTGCCTTTCCATGAGAAAAAGGGCATGAAAGGCCCAAAACGCTAAGGGAAAGGGCATGCCCTTTCCGGGTGTAATATAGTTAGGCCCGGCCAGTTTCGGCAGATATGGATTTTCGAGATTCAGTACGAAACCGTGTGCGGGAGAAACGTGCAGTGCGGTCCATTTCTGCGGCGTATGTTGGGCTCCATGTGGTAGTCACTTCTTCATTTAGCAGTTTCGCGGCGTTCAAAGTTGCCTCGTAAATTAGAGGATGAAGGTCAGTCATGTCTTCCTCCGTAGCTCCAGGAAGCATCAGATAGATTCGATTCCGACCCCCGTTTGTGCCGCAAACGCCCCACAAAACATTACGATCGTTTCCCGGGTCGCGGTACTCATGATCTCCTGTACCTGCGTTATCCTGATTTAATCTATGCGTGAATTTGTGATTCAAGTACATTGTAAAGATTGCGCCTACCAAGAACCGGACTTGAGCATGCAGATGGCCATGAACCGACTTTTTGTTCTCGTACGTGGTGAAGATGTCGTACGAGCTGGTCCAAGGAAAGTGCTCGCGGAAAATCAACGCAGAATCGATATCGCGCATAACGGACACATCGGGGTCATCTAGTACATGATGAAAAGTCGTTGGAATGTCCAGAGTATACTGTCCATCCTCTCCAGTACCACTAAGAACCAGATCTATGTATTTTTCGACTGCTTTTCGATCCAATTGGCGAAATGGAGTATTCGCAGGGCGGACACCAAGGAGGGTCGCACGAGCGGTGTCGAATTCGGCGATGAGAGACATAATGTTGATTTTGTTCAACAGCTCGACGTCGGAGTCCTCTGAGTCGGTGAAAAGGCTCGCAGTAGACATAGCGGTTAGTGGGCCAGACAGATAAAAACGGCGGATTTATATACAGCAATTCCACGACTCCTGAGTGATGGGTAAATTTTCACCACTCCTGCGCCACAAGTTTCAGATGCGTCTTATATTACGCGCCGCCCTGATATTAGTACAACATCTGTCACGGATGAAACACTAGAATTACTGATATATTCCGACGCACTGCCACAGATTGAATGGAGGATTCTAGCCGATGTGCTAGGTGCCTGATCGACATTAGATCTACCTTCACACTACAATATTCCCCCACACGGCCCCTAAGGTCCACAAACATCAAGGACACGCTCGACTTGAGACATCCGACTTATTCACATTACATCAGTGGAGCGCTTATTTAACTGGCGGCGATAATTTGTCGCCGGTTGACAGGGAAACTTAAGCGCTTAGGGTACAACGTAATGCTTATGAACGGCGAGATTTTCTCGCCGCACATGTGCGAGCCCGGTGTGAAGCGGGTTGCGGCGACATTTTCTCGCCGAACAGACACGAGCCAGCCGTCAGCTAGGTGCGGCGAGTTTTTCTCGCTGCACCTGGAATAAATAGCGACCGCCCACCACATTACAACCATATACCTTAGAGTTAATCCTAAGCTATACTACGCGTTTATCGTAACTACTTCCGGCTAGTTACACCTCTTTCCCTTCCTCTCTTCCTAACCACTGGCTTCTTCGAACGGTGAAGAGTGGGGTCCATAGGAGGGGCGTCGTCCACGTCCGACTACGCAGAGTGAGTCACGGTATGTGAGCTAGGCGGAATACTTACCGGTGTTGCCTCCCGTTTCCTGCGAGACTTGGCCGGTTGTTTCGACTTTCCCCTGTGCGGTGGACGGTACGGATCTTCTGGTTCAGTGAGATCGACACGGCGCAATTGCGAGACAAGAGTTTGCGTCTCTGCACGTCCCTTCCCTTTTGAGGTAGAGATCGTCAGGTCAGGAGCATCCTCAGACTCCGAATACGTGAACTCAATTTCGGAAGCATCCTTCAACTGGCCATCAGAACCCATTGCAGGTGCGTCGAGAGTAGGTTTTACGGGGGGTGGTGAAGGTGTAGGTGATGGCAAAGAGGAAAGATCGGACGACAATCCAGGTACATTTACCGCAGGGAGTTGTGGAGAAACAGGCGCCGTAGGGGTTTCCACCGGTTCGAAATCCATTGGTTCAAAGGGATTTGGAAGATCCATTACAGGGGCTGAGTGAGTAGCAGGGCCGACCGGTGCCGGAATGCCCTGTGGAATGGGGGGTGGGGACAGGAAGTGATGTTGCGTCTCACCTGGTGCAATGAAAGGCATAACTGGTCCCAGCGTGCTACCAGATTGAACAGGCTGGTCCTGACTCCTGTGCAAAGTTCCTTCAGCGTTATTCCGGGCTTCTTGCTGTTTCGCCGCGATCACTTTCCGAAACTCGGCTGCCCGTTGTTGGCTAAGTTCTCGATATGCCGCTGGGTCAAGTGCTTCAAGAGGTTGTGGAGGTGAAGGTGGTTCAGGGGCCGCATTGAGTCGGGAAGGAGTAACAGTAGCGTTGATCTGAGATGGCCCCGCCGCGAGTCGCATTGATCGTGCTGGGCTTTCATCGTGCACAACTTCGGAAGACTTCACCTTGCTCGTTTTCGTCTTCTTTTTAGGACCCTCCTCATTCATTGCGCCTTTCTCGGCGGTGCTCGGCACCTTCCTCGCACGTTTCTTCGAGGCAGTCGTAGACTGTTTTCCTTGCTGCGTTGACTGTTCCTCACCTTCCTTGAAGCGGTCTTGTAAAGCTACGCCGAGGGCCGACTGCGCACTTTTGAGGTTCTGATGAACCTCTTCGGCCACGTCGTCACCTGCACTGACCCCTTTTGTCAGTGCCTCGTATTCTTCTACCGCGTGGCCAGCAAGCATTTTGAATGTTTCTAATGCAAATGAGCTATAATCATTAATTAGGCGAGCAGACTTACTCAAATTACGGTCCAATTCCAGAAAGGTTCCCAAGAGGAAGCGCTTGCCCAAACCAGTCGCGATTAAAAGGACCTCCACTGTTTTATCTGCAACCAACTGAATGACGTATGTCGGGAAACGCTGGCCTCGTCGATGAATCCGACCTGCAGTTTGTTGGGTGTTAACTGCCGTCCACGCCGCTTCCTAAACTGACATCAGCATAGTTCTCGGGGATTCAATATACACGTACATATAAAATCAATGTCCGTGCACACGTAAGATTCAGCCTGGTGGCACCGACCTGCGACATTATAAGAACGTCGACGGGTCCGTGGCGGAATTGCTCAATAAGACGAGTACGCTCCTTAGATGAGACTGCCCCGCTAATGGCGACATTGCGAATGCCACAGCAGGTCAGAATCTGAGGAGCGTTAAAAAGTTAATTTGCTAAAAGTAATGTACTTACGTTCTGCATCCAGGGATGAAACTTCGCGTAAGTTGTGAACAGTATGATTTTTTCATTTGGTGCCCTGGGCTCGTCGGAGAGAAGTGGACGAACTTCCCATCCGGAAAGGAAGTCCGGTAGTCCGATGTCAGCGGCGTCAACAACCCGGTCCGTTGTCGAATGAAACTCCGAAGGAAATGTATTGTCTGCGCCTTGCCGAAGGACTCGAAGCATGATTTCAATCGCAGCTTTGAGCTTCGTCGCGGAGTCAGATTGCAGAGCCTCGAGGTTATACTCCTCAGGAGTATACTGATCCGCACTGGGAAAAGAGAGTTTGGACCGGGCTTCATTAAAAAATTTCTGGAAAAAAACAGTCAATACGGCGTGAAATTATCGCTGGTTTGTTACGTACTCCCAAAGTGTTAGTATCAAACACCCGTGCTTTGAGTGTGTCTTGAACAGCGTCATACGAGCTGTCTGCTTCCGATTCCGTTACCGTAACACGGACGTGAATCATCGTGTGAGGTGGAAGTTGAGCTCCCAGTGGCTTGCCTTCGAAATTGAGGGATTGATTGGTTCGCTTGACAGTATGTGGTGCAAGGTGGCGCTGAGCAACTTTCACCATTATTGACGCGAAGTATGCAACACCCGTGCCCTCAGTTTGCTGCATAATTTTGTCCCGTTCCGTAAGCTGTAAAGCTTCTTGATGAGTCCGAACAGTCGACTTCCCCTTGAGAATTCGAAGATCTCGGGACATTCCCCGAAGATTCGTCGTTTCATCCTCCACCAGACTCGGAGGTCGCACAAGTAAGGCAAGATTGATGAGATCCTGAATACCCATTGAATAAACAATTTCCGCGATAAAAAGGAACTTACATTTGGTGATTCAAGGAGGGGTGTGGCCGTCATCGGGACTTTAATCAGTGAACTGTCAAAAATTGCAGAGAACGCTCTCCACAAAGCTTTCCCCGTTCGAGCGTCCTGCACCTCATCCAGAAAAGTAGAGCAATAAGGAAATGCATAGACCGTGTCTGGTTTCTGCTGATACTTTAGCCGGGGAATACCATCGATTTGCATGACTGCAATGCTTCGTTCGTTGTATGTGAACATACGTTGAAGTGTCTAATCAAGGGTCAACCTCAATACGACAATTTATCACTGCACTCACTCTCGCTGCAACAACCAAGATCTGATTAATTTTCGGCACCGAGTTTGTGCGCAGCACCTTCGCAATTTCGTCCTCCCATTGACCTGCGGTATTCGAAATGATGTGAAGATGGATAGCATTGCCTCGAAAAAATCGAGTGATTTCGGCTACCCACTGATCCATCAAACTCGTGGGCACGACCACCAGGTGGCGCTCATTCGGTATTCCGGATGCTAAATTACCAAAACTCGGCGCTTAAATGGCGCGTCAGTAAACGGCGATATTTTATCGCCGCTGGCACGTACCATCTCTGAGGCACGCGGGTAACTTTGACCGGTCCATTTCTTTCGCTTTCACCTTCTCCTGAATTTCATACAATGATTGCAGTGTTGCAATCGTTGCCATTGCACACATTGTTTTACCCAAACCAACCTCATCAAAGAGACAAATACCTGGAACTTTTGCCCACTCCTCACGCACTGGTCGGATCGTCCTCTCGTTAGCAGGACCACTGTGGAGAATATTCCGAAGGTTGGCTTTTTTTGGCGTCGTCAATGATAACATGACCGCTGCAACAAATACAAACTGGTGCCAGCTGATCTTCACGGGTGTGCTGTTCAAAAACGGTTTATCACCGTCACTGTCAGCTAACATCGCTGGTTCGTCCGCTGTGTGTCTTCGAAATGCCAAAGGGAGACCGTCCTCGGGTAATCCCAGATATTCCTGCAGTGTTTTGTTGTTGTATTTTCTGAACTCTCCGACACCGATGTCTGCTCCGTCCGACTTGTAAAGCAGGAGTGCTTCATCAACCTCCGGATTCTCATACATGGAGATTGCGGTTCGGAGGTCAGTGCCGTCCCGTTCAACCCATTCTTCTGCAAAGTCCGCTAATTCCAAGGCAAATGCCTGGAAATCACTTTCACTCGGAGCAGGGATGTGTTCAATCTTCTTCCTGGGAATGGATCTCGCCAACACCCGCCCATATCCCACTAAAACAATACTTAGGACCGCACAGCGATAAATTTCCACCCCCACTTACCTATCTTTTCGTCGTAACCACCTGCATCCAAGTGCACTTCGATTGTTTTCGACGTTTTCGCCTCAATGACTCCTACGAGCCACCCGATTATCATTTGACAATAATCTAACTTTTTGCCCTGATCACTGAGACGGGACCACCTCGCTTCAATTTGTTTCGGCGCGTCCGGTGACTCAATATTAACGTCCTCCTCTCGAATTTCATCGTCCTTCTCGCTCGCCACTTGCCATGCTAGTTGAGACTTCCAGTGCTGCAACTTTCTGAAAACACTCCGCGCCTTCTTAACGTCAAAGTCATGCGGCACCTCGAAGCTTCGCCAAAACTCGGGACCGAGTATTTTCTCCAGCTCCGTTTGAGTTGCATTGAGAGAATCTATCGCCCTCTTGCACTCCTTCGTCGCCGCATCCAGGTATGTTTGGATCACGCCATTCAGCCACGTCTTCGCCGTGTCCGGAGGCGTGATATCCTTCCCTTTAATAGCATCTCCAAATATCTCTTCCAAGATATTATCCTGACGCCCCGTCCACTGCGTAAGAGGAACAAACCCTTTCACAACCCGTCCTTGTGGGTCCTTCTCAGCGAACAGCTTTACCCACGCGATGTAGCGGTCACGAATACTGAAACCCATGTTCTCGAGGGTGTCCTTCAACTGAAAACCGTTTCATGTCATGTCAAATAACCTTACATTATGACTTACAGGTTGGTCCATACAACTTCCCCACCCTTCGCTCTTGTTCGAAAGCCCCACGTCATTCAAATTCCGATTTTTGAAGTTGTACTTCTCGATATCGTTCCTCCCGCCCTTTCTGAGGTCCTCCAACTGGTCGTGGATATCATTCCAGCGCGCTCCCCACTTCTCTTGGAATTTCTCGGGACAAGACAAATCCCAAAAAGGCGGTACGTTGAATCGGCGCAACCGTTCGGTAAGCACGCTTTCTTTCGTGTACACAGTCCCGTCGCCATCCAAAAATTTCTCAGGTTTTAGGAGACTGGGGTTGTTGAGGATGAGATGAATTAAAAGCGCTAATTTACGGTTGGAAGACATGTATTTTCGTGCTAAATGATTGTTTTAAGCTGAGTACCACGCTGTCCTTACATTCAGGTGAAGGGCAGGAATACGTACCAACAGTGAAACGTTCGAACCGGCGATTTTTGAAGGTTTCTAGTTTACAATTGTTCTCACCAGATGGTCGTGGTTGGAGTTCAAACGACGTTTACGGAGGATTGTTGCTAATTACTCTTGTTTGTCAAACTATATAGTTAATTCCCACGATCATTCAGTCCTCAGCCAAACGCGATAATTGAGTTTCATTTTTACCAAGTAAGAATTGGGCGAGATTTTCTCGCCTGCATGTACACCCTGTAATCTTTTACGTGGTTGTGCTCCGTGGGAATCATCCGACTATTTCGCAACCTCACACCCGGCTCTGTAACCCCTCGAAAGTTATCAAAAAAACATCACAGTGTGGCGATATTTTCTCGCCGGCTACACACCGCCCTCTGTCCACCCCCTGCCTATCTAACTGGTCCAATTTTGCTTAAGTAGAACTTTGCCTGCTCCCCACCTTCCAACTACATCCTCTGTGCTACTGAGTTCCACTCAGCTGAGCCAAGCTTCAAATTGACCACCTTGCGAAATTATTTGGAGGGGAAACGTTAACATCTGTACTCTTACGTCTGCTGACGTAAGCTTCGCAGTCTCTTTCAGCGGCGATAAATCATCGCCGTATCAAGTACATTGCAGAAACAACACTGAAATTGCAAGAAGGTGGTAAATAAAAAGTTAAGGTCCAATGACCACAAAAGCTCGATATGTACATATGTCCGTGTATATGATAGTCCAAAAGCAAGTGTCTCATTTTCGCGCAGACCTACCCCTGGTTTTCTTCGCACCCTTCCTCCCCTTCGTACGTTTAACTTCGGGTTCCGTTGAAGGTGCGTCCTCCAGGTCGGCCTGCGCGGAAGTTAGTATATTCTTCGGTCAGTAATATTAAACACTTACTTGAGAGCTGGGAATTGTGCGGCGTCCTGTTGCTGGCTGTTTGGATTTTCCCTTGCGAGTCGGTTGCGAAGGTTCTTGAGCATCGCCGATGTCCACACTGCTCATACGAGTTGAAAGTTCTTCGAAAGCTTTGCCTTTACCCTTCTTCGCGGTTGCACCTTCATCTGATACACGTCTCTTGCGCTTTTCCGTTGAAGGCTTTGCAAAGGGGAGTTCGTCCGACTCAGATTGATAAAAGTCCATCTCCGACGCATCCTTCAATTTTCCGTCGCGACCCAAAGCTGGAGGATCAGGGAGAGGCACCGACTTGTCCTCGGGGCTGGGAGTGAGAGTTTCGAGCGGAGTGAGGTCCCCATCCATTGCATCTGTGAGTTCTCGGGCTGGTTGAGGTTCCTGCTCGTGAATGGGCGATCCCATCCGAACGTCACGCTCTTCGACAGGGTCCTCACTAACAGGGCTAAGAGGTCTAGCTGGAAGATCGACTTGCGGGGGATCAGATACTTTCGACCTCGACGGGCCCGCCTCATTAGATGGTGGGCCAAGAACTCCTCTACTTACGCCCACGTTCGATGGGCCCGCTTGTGAATCTTCAGGCGTGGGTGCAATACGGCCAGGACCTTGAGTTTCTGATTCAGACGAGCTGAGCGACTCGTCAATAAACTCCGCAGACTTGACTTGCGAAGCTTTTTTGGTGGGTGCTTGGGCTTTCTCAGCTTGCTTTCCCTTGGCCTTTTTCGATTTCGGCTCCGTTGGCCTCCCGTCATTGATAGCAACTCCCAATTTCGACTTGGCGCTTTTCAAATGATCTTGCACCTCGCTAGCCACATCCTTTTCTGTCCCCTTGCCTTTGACCAGTTCCTCATACTCTTCCAGGTCTTGTCCGCTTAGCATCTTCAATGTTTCTGAGGCAAGAATTAGAGTGGGAAAAACGACGATCTTACGACTTACTTTCATTCCGTGGGATGGAAAGAAATGTTCCCAGAAGTTGCAGTTTACCCAATCCATTCGCAATGAGCAAGATTTCCACCGTGCCGTCGGCCATTAATTGAATGACAAATGTGGGCCATAGTTGCCCCCTTCGGTGGATCCGTCCTTGCCCCTGTTCAGTATTTACTGCACTCCAGTTTGCTTCCTGGAAGTCTGCCATTAGATCAAGACTACTTGTATGAAACAGAACTTACGTAGAGGATCATGGTGCGAGCACATGTTAGGTTAAGGCCGGTTGCGCCGACTGCCGACATTATAAGAACGTCGACGTCCCCATGACGAAACTCTTCGATGAGACGCGTGCGCTCCTTCGCAGGAACAGCACCACTAATCGCAACACTCTTGATCCCGCAGCATTTCAAAATCTGTAATGTGTCAGTAATGCAATGGTAGCAATGAATATCTCTTACATTCTCAATGTGATCATGGAATTTCGCGAAAGTGGTGTACAAAATGATCTTCTCCGTCTTGTTCTCGCTGAGCTTGAAGCGTTCCTCTGGTTTCAAAGGATCCACGGACCAGCCATGGAGGAAATCAGGTAATCCCAAGTCCTTCGCGTCGATAACTCTGTCGGTGGTGCCGTGGTACTCAGCAGGAACTACATTACCTGCGCCATGGCGCAAAGTTCGAAGCATGATTTCAATGGCACACTTTAACTTCGTGGCGGAGTCCGAGTGCAGCGCGTCGAGATCATATTCCTCAGGAGCATACCTGTCTGCACTCGGAAACGATAATTGAGAACGTGCCTCGTTGAAGAATTTCTAGTACTTCAAAGTCAGTAACTGGCGAGAATATATCGCCGCCCATCACGCACCCCAAGTGTATTGGTGTCAAACACCTTCGCGTCCAGTGTCTCGCTAACTACACGATAAGATTCATTCACCTCTGAATCCGTCACTGGAACTGACACATGTAAGACTGTGTGTTCAGGAAGTTGTGCACCTAGCGGCTTTCCCTCAAAATCCAACGACTTGTTCGTTCGGCGCACAGTGTGGGGAAGCAAATGACGTTGCGCTATCTTCACCATAGTATTGGCAAAGAGCGCGACCGCCGACCCTTGGGTTCTCGCAACAATTGTCTCTTGCTCGGTTAGTTGGAGCGCCTCCTGATGAGTCCTCACCACCGATTTCCCCTTGAGAATGCGCAAGTCGCGCGCCATGTCTTGTAAGTTGGCCCTTTCTGTAAGCACAAGAGTCGGCGGCCGAATTAAACGAGCAAGATTAACAAGATCCTGTCAAAAGTACATTAGCTTCCATCGTCATTAAACGGTATTTCATACATTTGGATGTTCCAGTAAAGGAGTTGCGGTCATTGCAACTTTTACCAGAGTAGCATCAAACAAAGCCGATAAAGCCACCCATAATGCTTTACCAGTACGAGCCTCCTGAACTTCGTCAACAAAAGTCGTAGCCCAAGACATGCTATACAAGGTATTTGCTTTTTGGGTGTAATGAAGGCGCGGGTAACCATCGGTCGTCATGATTGCGATGGATCGATTATTATTTTTGTACATCCGTTGCAGAGTCTAAAATGGTCGTCAGATGAGGCGATATTTTATCGCCGGCTACTTACTGGAGCCGCAACAAGCACAATCTGGTGAATCCTTTCCACGTCTTTGCATTCGAAGACCTTTTTCACGTCATCGGCCCAGTTCTTTGCCACGTTTGAAATAATATGAACATGAACCGCGTCTGGTCTGAAGAAACGCGTTAACTCCGCTTTCCATTGATCCATTAAGCTGGAGGGAACGACAATTAAATGCCGCTCATTGGGAATCCCCCCATCCAGGTTCCCAAACTTCCCCGCTACAAAACTGCTGTTAGTACACAGCGATATTTTATCGCCGCCCAACGTACCTTCCTTCAAACACCCCGGCAATTTCGACGAGTCCATCTCTCCCGCCTTCACCCTCTCCTGTAATTTAAAAAGCGACTGGAGCGTCGCTATCGTCGCCAATGCGCACATCGTTTTTCCTAATCCAACTTCATCAAACAAACATACTCCCGGCACTGTGGCCCATCGCTCCTTAATCGCACGTAGAGTCCACTCGTTCACTCTTCGCTGATCTAAAATATTGGGAATATCAGTTTGCTTCCCCGAGGTAAGTTTCAAAACCAGTGATGCCACGAAAACGAGTTGATGCCAGCTAATTCGAACTGGACTACTATCCAGAAATGGTTTGTCGGATGCTCCGTCAGGTATCATTCCTGGTTCATCGGCCGTATGACGCCGGAAAGACGTTGGCAAACCATCCGATTCAAATCCCAGATATCGCTCCAGCTCGTCGGGAGTTAAAGACTTAAACTCCCCGACACCGATGTCGTCTCCCTCCTGTTGGTACATCCGTAACGCGCTGTCGAACTCCGGATTTTCCCACATCGAAATAGCAGTACTCAACTGGGTGTCATCTCTTCCCACCCAGGCGTCCGCAAAATCAGAGAGTTCCGCTGCAAACGCACGAAATTCGGAGGCACTCGGCGCCGGCATGTTATCGATATGTTTCCGAGGAATTTTTCGAGCAAGCACCTTCCCGTACGACACTAAGAATTAATTAGACAATGTCAAACTCAGAATGTATTTCACCTACCTATTTTCTCGTCGTAACTCCCCGGTTCGAATCCCAGCTCCACAGTTTTCGACGTCTTCGCTTCAATAACGCCTACAAGCCAGCCGATAACAAGCTGACAGTAGTCTAGTTTTTTCGCGGTTTCACTGAGATCCGTCCACCGCGCTTGGATTTTCGCCGCCGCCTCTGGGTCCTCGATATCGATGTCCACCCCTCTCCGTTTTTCATCCTGCGCAGTCGGAACCTGCCAAGAGAGAAGGCCTTTCCAGTTCCGTAACTTCTTGAACACGGACCGCGCTTTGCGGAGGTCAAAACCCGTAGGAATCTCCATCTTCTCCCAGAAATTTTCTCCAAGAATATTTTCCAAATCACGCTGACACCGTACAATCGACTTCTCCGCGCGTATCACCTCCTTTGAAGCAGCGTCCAGAAGTGTTTGGATGGTCCCTTGGAACCACGTCTTCGCACTCTCGGTACAAGTCACATCCCCCGCTCTCACACCATCCCCAAATATATCTTGCAGAATATCGTCCGCCATCGTACTCCAGTCGTTTAGAGACACAAAACCTCTCAATGGTTCCCCGCCCGCTTTTTTCGTCTGATTAACCACCCAACGGTGATAACGGCTCTGAATAGACATTTCCTTCCTCGCAAGTGCCGCTTTCAACTGATATCATTAGTTTAGAACCCCTAAAAACTACGACACTTACCGGCACATCGAAACAAGCTCCCCAATGACCTGCCCTCGCTGCGTCAAGCACATCTGACAGCTTGTTCTCTCGAAAATTGAACCGCTCGCAGCTAGTCCGGTTCGCGAATTCGAGTTCTTTGAAACCCTTTCTTATATCAGCCCAGCGGGCTCCCCATTTTGCTTCGTGTTCCTCAGGACATTCCTCTTCCCAAAACGGCACCACCTTCGACAGCTTCAGGTAGTGCATCGCGGGGGAGTCGTTGTAGAGAATGTTGCCCTCGAGGTCGCAGAGTTCGTCAGGGTCCAAAAGAGAGGGCGTGTCGAGAATAAGGTGCATCAACAACGCATATTTACGGTTGGTGTCCGCAGTTCGAACTTTTGACTCCTTCGAACCCTTGTTTGCTGAGTTTTGCGACATTTCACGATTCTGGCTAGAAAATATCGCCGCTCACTGAGTACCTCTTCTTTGCTTACGCCCCATAACAGGGGACATACGTACCAGCTAAAATTTAATTTTTCGGCGATGTTCACGGTTATGGTTACGACTACGCTCAAGTCTTAAGGACAAGCTAAATTTCGCACTATAAGAGATGGTAGAAGTTCGAGTTCAAGAGTAGTTTAGCCGAATTGACCTGTAATTACTGTTGTTTACCTACTGTACAGTTGGTTCCCACGGTAGTTTCACACGGTCACGCCAGTTCCTCGTGCACCCTGTATTACCAAGTCTCGATCCCATTGCTTTTCACAGAGTGGCGATATTATCTCGCCGCCCACTGCCGCCACAAAAACATCCTCACCCAGCCATCCTGCACTGACCGACTCCTGCACACCCTGCCCACCCTGTGTATCCGTGGTCGAAACTTCTGTAGTACCTTATAATATTCGTGTTGATCTCGGTAAGAATTTAACGTCGCTACTTCATAACCCTCCAGGCAAGAGTATTTCCTCAAAAATCTTCATCAGCCTCTCACACACGATCTGGCGATGTTTTCTCGCCGCACACTGGCCAGCTCTGTCCACTCAGTCCTTACCTCGCTCTCATGCAATTGAACACCTTGCTAAGTTATGTCCTGCCCTAAGAATTTTCAAGAACACACCTAAGCAACTGGCGATAATTTCTCGCCTCCTCTATACCAAAACTTGCATTTCAAAAGTGAATACGTTTCCAAGATACTTCCTCCCTCAATTTTTAGTAAGCCCGTTTCCAGAAGTGGCGAGAATTTCTCGCCTCTCTTAAGCCACCCTTTCTACGGTCCATTCACATCTCGCTCTCGTGAGCAGAATCAACACAAGGTCTCGCAAACTAGTATTTCGGTTTCACTAACCTCTATGTCAAGCCCTCCGGCGAGAATTTACTGCCGCGCGCTTCCCAAACTTCACCTGCCCTTTTTCCTACCTTCATCCCGCAAACATCTGTTTGCGGTTGTTCCACTTAATAATCCGGCAACAATTGATCACTCCTTAACGTTGTGTACTTCATGGTCACTGAAATAATATTTTTAAATACTGTTGACAGAATGCATGGGTAGTCCCGGCGAGAATTTACCGCCACGCATTGTTGCCTTCAGGGTATTCTTTACGCTTATTGCAACAACACAAGCATGACAGATATTGACGTTCCCCCTCCACCCCCCCCCCACGGGGGACCGTCAATATCTGTCATGCTTGTGTTGTTGCAATAAGCAGTGACTTGGATGGAATTGCCTTATATGGTAATCACAGCCACCAGGGGTCGACCCCCTACCGCCGTTTTCGAAACTTGTATATAACCCCCTAAAGTTCCTCAATAAACACGTCGGAATTGTAGAGGTCGGTCTGAACACGCTGCGAGAAGCTGTTCCCCTCCTCATCTTCAACTTGCTGAAAAAGTTTGAAGGGCGTGAAATGAAACTGACTCGCAAGCCGATCTGCAAATGCTGCGCGGATTACTGAAAGGGGGTCGCGGTATAACAGCTGCGGAATCGTGAACTTTTTGGGGGGAATCTGTGCGTCACCAGATGGGACTTCAATTTCTACAGAAGTCTCTGTAAACGAGTCCTTGAATCGATTGCGCTCCCAGTTTTCATCTGCTTTGGTGATCTTCTCATTAGCGGTTTGTGCATTGTACCCTCGAAGTTCATCAACCCGGAATTCAGGCCGCTGGATGATACGTGCAAGTCCGTCCATTTCGATGTTGGATTTTGTTGAGTTTCCATTGTTTTGCCAGCCCATGAGGAGCGTCTGAGTCGGATTCAAGGGGGAGTCTTCCAAGTCCTGGGAATCCTTCGAAGCCTCGTCATCATCCTGCTCATCGTGACATGGCAGATTTGACAAATCCTGGATGCCAACCTCTCCATCGGGGTCATAAGAGGGTCGATCCGGGTACTCGCGCCACAAGCCAAAGCGATTCAGCTGGGTCTTCAAGCAGTCACGGACAATAAGTATGACTCGAGGTAAGTTTGTTGTGGGAATAGAATTTTGTTGCTCAACTCGCTCTTGGTCCTCTATCTGCGAAGTCACAACAGCAGGAGTTCCCCGCGGCAGTATGTCATGGTAACGTGCTGGAAGACGCCCACGGGTTGAGCGAATAGGTCTACCTGCTGCTGTCAGTTCCTCTGGTGATGGTGCAGGTAAATGGACTGGTTCCGGGGATACATCAGGCGAGGATCGCATCATATCAGTCAGACTCTGTCGATCTGTCTGCAAAAATAAAATCAATGAAGCTCAGCAGCCCATACTTACTTCAAGCTTTGTCCAACGTACCTGTGATTCAATGTTCAGCGGAGTAACAGTACTCGAAGAGGCCTAATACACATTTGACAGTTTGTCAAAATCCCCGAGATTCAAATAAGTACATACCGTTGGATCAATAGTAGAAGAGTTAGGAAGGACTCGGATGCCTGGTGAAGGAAGAGCACTACTGACACGATTACCAGGAATAGTTTCAGCTTTTTTGAGCTTCTTGCGTTTCTGTTGCCTTCGACGGGTGATTGCAGGATCTTCATCCTCACCACCCACTTCTTCAAACCCACGTTTCTGTGCTTGAGTTGCAACATAAGTGTTCCATGTCACACAGCTTCCGCGATGTCGACTGGTTGCCTGAGCAGAAGAAAATGGACCTCGATTACATCCAGGTGCACACCGGAACGGATCAGACATATCAGCAGTTACGAGAGAAGGAAATATGGGTTTAAAAAGTGATCCGGGGCCGCCAAAATGCTCGCGAGACGGAGAACGATCAGAGGATAAAGAGACAGTGGCAAATACTTGGAAAACCAATACTAGTGTCAGACTGAGCTGCTTAAATAGCATAGTTGTTCTTGTCCTCTGAGTTGACTCAGAGTTGACTGTACTAAGTCACGAAGCGATGCCAGAAGACAAATTTCAAATTTGTATATTTGGTAGATACGCGATCACCTGATGGAGGGTAATTGGAAATTTTGCACAGGATATATAAGGGGGAAAAGCAAACGAACCCTTCTAATTTCCCTTCACCCATTACCATCACGGTCTTCCTATGTCATCCCACTCCCAAAGTCACTCAAATGGCCCCTCGCGCTCTCCAAGTCCTCACTCCCACTATCCAGGATCTGGGAGACGCAACACCTATAGCTCTCCTCCTCCAGTTGATGTCCGAGGTCGTTCCAGAGAACGCGATCGCCATACACAAAGCTCACCACCACCCCGTCGAACTCGTTCTCCCTATCAATCCAAGTCGCGTACTACCACACGTGATAAACACTACTCAATGCAAGATCGGGAACGTATCAAAGATCTGGAACGTCAGCTGGAAAGCGCAAGGAACGCGAAAGAAAATGAGGTCAGAAAGAGAAAGGCACCGTCAGTACACAACACATAAACAGGAACTTTTAACTTACACCATCTTATAGTGAGCCCGTTGACAATGCATCAGCCATGCGGCGAGGACGCGCTATCCCTAAACTTATCACTGCATATGAGAGTATTCATACCCTCCTTGCACAGTACGATGAGTACCGGCAAAAGGGATACCATCTTGGAGATCTTGAAGAAGACGATGATGATATTGATGAAGAGAAACGCGCAGAAGAACTAGAAGAAAAGCGAAGGTGAGTATATCCGATGTTTCACAGAGTTCATTATTGTACTCAGAATTGTTAGGCTACAACGTGGATACTCAGCTATCCTTACAATCAACAAGGCAATTTACCCAGACTTCGTAAATAAGATCAAAGATTCTGGGGGCACACATATTATCAGCCAGGTGAATCAAGCATTGCGAGCATTACCAGTCATAACTGGTACACTGACATACCTTGTTTCAGCTTCAAAGGGGTGCAAATAGTGCAAGGTCCTTCGATACATCCATGGTCATGAACTTTGTCGGCGAGGCACTAAACAAGGAGGTTCAAAAGATCAACCAAACGAGGTTGAAAGAGTACCAGATCAAGTTGCGTGCTCACGCCGAGCGTGTCACAGGAAGTGACAACTTAACCGATCTTCCCGCTGCCACATCACCCGAACCGGTTCTTGAACATATTGAAGAATTTCGTACAAGCTCCAGAGATAGCAGAGGGCTTCAAAACGACATTACTGGACGTCTCCTCTGTCCTGTGGAATTCGACTGGAAGGATCCAATGTGAGCAATAACACCTTTCTCAGGCTGAGTAACAAGGGATGACATTCAAATTGTGCAGTGTTCGTGCAGCTGTCCGCGCCTTCGATCCAAAGTACGATTTTGCCAGCTCTGCCCGTGCTCGCTGCTTCTACAAGGACGAGGAGTTCGACCCAGACGATCTAGACAAGGGTTTTTTGCAGAGCTATCTGCTCGTTCAGGTATGCAAGGTTACTTCTTGATTATTCACTTGTTCATCGCTTGTAGGTCTATCGCCTGATGTTTACGTCGCCCTCATCAACTAAAGATCAGCCGGAAGATGTCGAAAATCTTCCAGCCTCAAAGAAAAAGAAAACCACTGCCACCAATTGTCGCGGGAACGTCGCACAAATCATTCACATGAACGATGTCAAACCTCGTTCAATTGCCTATGCTGCTATCCATGTCCGTACTACCTTCAAGTTCTTGTACAAATTCTTGATGTTCACACCTATTGCTAGCTTCATTTCGCACTCAACGACGCTCCTCACTGGGCTGAGTCTCATATGGGTTACAATTATCTTGACCTTTGGAATTTCATTGTCGACTTCTTCGAGGATCCAGAGGATGAAGAGGAGAAGCAACCGAAGGAGCTTTTGAAATGGTGGAATGAGTGAGTGATTCTATATCTTCTCGCCGCCATCATCCTGATTTGTCGATGTTCTAGTCGGATTTTCACCGGTACTCGCTCCGCTGCCAACAGTCGTGGCACTAAAATGACTTCTCGCAAGAAAGATCTATCCCAGCGGCTGCAGCCTTCCTCCCCTCTAAATGATATCTCATCCAATGGAAATGGAACTGTTCCATAGTACAGGGCTCACTGTCGTCGTCTACGTAACCTATATTACATCTCATGTGTACCCTATTCTCGAATGAAATTGGTTTCCCCACTCATTTTGCGAGCACCGACAAGCTAAATTTGCGCAGACGGATTCATTACTGCTGGCATGCAATCCTGCTGTCACCCATTTAGCTTATAAATAGCCATAGTCGCTAGTTAGTACTGTCTCAAAAACATAAGATATGGACAAGTATTATTTGAATTCTGTAGGGTAGCATCAATAATTTCACGGGATTCATAGTCCTCCAGCAACAGTCTCACCAAAACTACATGCGATCATAAGTTGGTGCCGAGGTTACAGGTATATCATAGTGTCATCACAATAATTGTCGAAGTGCAATGACTTTATAACTCACTGATAAGTTCTTGCAATACTTCACAAGATTGTGGTACTCTTGTGAAGACTTGTTGCTACTACAATTTATTGCAACTGGCTACGATAAAACTACCAATTTAGCGATGTAATGCACATCGTATATAAACTTATTGTACTTCACGCTATGTTGAGTTGAATGACTGTTAGCGGTCGGAGAATAGTGATCTTGGCTGAATGTACATATAGTATAGAACTCAAAGAACGTCTCAGAACGCGAGCTTGTTCGGAGTCCAGTAACGCCTATGCCGGCGCCTATTGTAACATATTCCCCTTCACCGTAACACTCTTGTTTCTTCAATCTACTGCCGCCCTCTTCGTTTAGAACAATACCGTCTATCTCAAGCAAATTTCGAGTTATCTATGGGAGACGCGACTGGTCACATTGGCGAACAAGGGGTTTGAGACTGAGGCGCTCTAAGGTGTTTTGATCAAGTTCGACGTGACGCGGCCTGAGGTACACCCAGAGCTTATCTGAACGTCCTTCGTCTTTTGACCTTGTCATTTACCTTCTAGACGTGTCTAAATCTTATGAAACTCGTCGCGGGTATGTTTCCGTATGGAATTAAGATTTGGTGCGACCTCCTTCCATGTTTGTTTTCAGTTGTGACTAACCACATTGAATGCTCATAGCACCCTCGCTAGACCAGCATGCCCTCAACTTTCGTGTTCTCAGTTCATTCCCTACGTTCCACGCACATGAACTCCCTGCCCAACCCATACCATGCTCATCTGCGTCCGACTCTGCACTACGCAGTTCCACAGCTGTGCCGTGCTCCCGTCACAAAGGCATTGATGAGAGGTCAGCGGATGGACTCGTCTGGGCTCTGGATGTTGAAGGATCGTAGTTCGGGACGACTGGACGTGTCGAAAGGACTGTGATTGGGGAGATATAGGTCAATCATTTCTCTTTGTAGTCATCCTCGCTTCGTTAACTTTGCTTGCCCTTTTTACAGCGCGTTTCTCATATTTGATGATGTTTGTTCCCAATCGTCAAACGACCTTTGTTCGTTTTGTGAACTTCTCATTTCACCGTATCCTCCATGCTCGTCTCATATGCGCAGGTGTTTTCGGAGGTATTTCTAATTCTCGCTTTCTGAGTTCTTCTGATAGCCTTTTCTTTAGCTCATGCAAGCTTAAGCTGGCCACTCTAGACCGACTGGACGAATCATGTAAACGTAGGAATACAGAGGAAACGAGTTCTTACTCGTCTGAGATGAAAGAACGGATGACGCGATGACCGTCGCTCTCTTACAGCCAGGTAGACCTGCGGCATCCTCGAGGTCCAAGGTGAGTTTCAGTATATATGACGTCCATTTTCGTTAGACACCCTTTGTTGATGTCCAGTCCCCTTCTTTTTGTCCATTGGGACCCGCTGGCTCTTCCTCACAACTTATTGAACCCGTCTACCACGCTCAATGAACGAAATCTCCTCTTGAAATTCACGTACAGCCACGAGCATCTCCTCAAGTCATCACACCTTCACTTTGTCCCACGTCGCTTCGAGAATTCCTTAACGGACGATAATCTCCCACAACTCATCCTCTTATGAAGCATCCCCATTGCGATGAGCCATGTCAATGTCTGCGTCTACATTCGGCGGTTCATGCTTCACTCTCCACATATCCTCCGCGTATCACGCTGGTAATGATCATGCTCACCACAACTGCGACGATCAATTAGTTGCCTTCTCCGAGCGCTGATTCCGAATTCAACACTGGACAAGCTCAGGACTGTGGATGTCAAGTTCTACGAGCAGAGGACAGAGTGACGCTGATCGAGTTCGATTTGGTGAGCGACGTATCCGCCTCCAGCAATTTCCGCTGTATTCATTTCGCTTCCTTATTTACGCAGTTCCACTTATTTAATATCGACGGATATCACCCTAAATACTCCAAACCCGTTCGACCTATTTTCTAGATCCGTCCAATGCACGTCCTCTTCTACGCCGACTCCGTTGCGTGAACTTTTCATACATAAGGGAGAATTCTCGCTTCGTTGTATCACCCTCCTCGGTGTCCAGCGTTCCACGATAACTACCGTGTTCGATCTCATGGTAAGTTCCAGTGTCATTTTGTTCCCAATACTTTGTTGTTCTGACTTGTATAAAGCAGACACGTAGTCTGCGCAGAGTGCCTTCGCCATATCATGCGTCAGATTTGTCCTCTGTACCGAGTTGCCTTCGACCCCAGATCAACGGTCAAGCTTCACACTGACTTGGATAGCGTCAGAGCAGTGTCTTCCGGCCGGGTTTGGCAGTGGAAGAGATAGTCCCTCTGCTGAACAAGAGGCCCGTTCTCTTCATTAGAGGCTTGCTGCAGTTGCCAATGCTGGCACTTCTGAAGCCAATCTTCGCTCGCTGGAATCAGAATGCAAAACTTCTCTCCGGTCACCGTCGAGGTCGCAGAATCAGTACGTTGATTCATTCAGAGAACAACTTGAAGGGAGCCGAACAGAATATGATGAACTCCAGGTGCGATTGTTAGAAGTGGGACGAGGAAAGAGGCTGACAATGCAAGAAGAAAGGCTGAAGGGGATAAGAAAGACGTGCAAGCTACTGCCGTGCGACAAGAGCTGGAACTGATGCAAAAAGTATCGGAGATGTAGAACAAGTACATTGACCTCTTAGAGTGAGTTTCTGCATTTCATTCCCTTTTGGCAGTGACTGTGCCCTCTGTCATTATAGACAAGTGAATGTTGTTTTGCGCAGACCCGTACTCTAAATCCTCAAGTATGCTAGTTCAACCAGCAAAAAGGCGTTGAATGACGGACTCCGGAATCAACTTCATCGTCTCAGTGGTCCATTTACCAGGAACACCCTGACTACCAGCGCTAGACGAGGATCAGTACTGATTTGTCGCGAGTGTCCGAAGAGCGTTTTGAACGTTGGGAGTTGAAAGAGGGTGTTCCTGAGCAAGATTTCATGATATTTCCTTTGCCTGAATTGACTGTTTATGTGCTCGCAGCAGATAGCTTTGTCAGTCTTCCTGGTGACGATAATTCAGAAGGCAGCTCCCGTGTTCGTACAATTGCCGGTCATTCCGCCTGAAGATCTCAAGGACTCGGCCTCCTACCAGAAATCTCAAAGTATCAACGAAGATATCATGCTTCTGCACTTCACCGTTGTTATCGACGGTTCATCCTACCTCGCATTCTTGAAGCACTGGACATTGATATTGAAGGTTTTCTATACAAGTATTATCATCTTCGTGCATCAGATGAACTCAGGTACGTCGTCCCTGTATGGTTGGAACGTATTTCTAAATCTCTCCTCGAAAGGCCATATCTTGTTCATACCATGAGGAGAGAGTAGTGAAGCAATGTTACGTCGATGCAGTAAGCTGGGCCTGGTCTCTGTCTCCCCCTTTCACAAGCCACTCAAGCATTACCTTGCAGCTTCTAAATACTGGTCCACATTAGGTTTGAGCTAGCGACTGAGCACCACGCAAGTGGGCTTGGATATCGATGAGCCAGGGAACTTTGGGGCCAAAGCGTCAAATATCGGCCCAATATGGGAACGCGCGTTGGGATCCCGTTTTACGGATTACTTTTTCCTACGAACCATGTGGTCAATGGAGATTGCAGGCGCAGGCATCTCAGAATGAGATTACTCTCTTGAATATCTGTATAACCACATTGTCAATTCTAAAACGACTGCAAAGCTTCAATCATGTCAATGGGTTGACAGAACTAAGATACGTCGAGAAGTTTCCTGGGGTGCTCCGTTCATTCAACTTGATGATGATTTCGGTTTCGAGTTCTTCAATGGATGATCATCGAGTGTTGAGTCACCTTATTAATGCGTCCACGGTTTTCAACCATGCTCAACGCATTCCAGCATCTTTCATTGTGATTCTTGTGAGAATTCGGGTTTACAGACCGAACCCTCAAGTCCGATAGCACATCTTCTTCTCAATAGCGTGTAATTAGCCTCAGGACTAGGAGCAGTAGCACGAGGATAGGCAATCTTGCAAGTGAGCTGTAAGTGTGGCACGCCAGAAGATCACTGAAGGTCCGCGGCAAACGTCGTCACTGAAAGAAGTAAGAAAGGAAAGCATTCGGACACTGGCCAAAGATCATAATCTTTGCGTCAATCTCTGGTTGGTCAAACGAGAAAGGGAGCGCCGAATCGTGGTATGTCAATCTCTTCCGCAGACTTCTCTTTGCTCGTGTTTATCGCAAGAAAGGAAAGATCAATGTTGAAAACCCGAGTATCCATCCCGTCGTCTTGCTCCTTCCGCTTTGATGCAATGCGCGCCTTGAGGTGTTGATAAAGTTTGGGTTGAGACGGAAAATTGGGTCATGAGTACCGAATATGCCACCTTTAGATCGTGGCGCTCATCTGACTGATACAAAACCGGAACGGTCAGCCTTGAGGAAGGCATTAGATTCGGACAACACAAACGATACGCTTGTTGGAGGTAATATCAGGAGTACATAGGGGAACCTCAATTCTTCAGCAAATCATCCTGGGGATACATGGGACACAACAGGTTCAGTCATTATATGAGTGGTGAGCTTTGCTCATGCTTTGCACTTGAATATTCTTCACAAGCCATCTAGCGGACGTAGCGGCATATGCATAGTATAGGTAGAGGTTTACCCATAGTACACCACTTAGAAAGATCCCGCGGACTAGAAAGGTGAAATGAGTGGTCACATTGTGCGGGCAGGGAGTTATCATACTCCTTCATCTCCGCGTCCCGACTTCAACATTGTCATCTCAAATATGTTTCGGAACACGGTAACTTCGAGAGGGACTGGAGATGATCAATGACGTCTTGATTTCATGATGATAGAGAGGAGGATCAAAGCCCTTTGAGGCCGCTTTGCCCGTTATCATGGGCGTGTACGGTATAATGAATGGAAAGGTGTATAATTTACTGTAGCTCCGTCGCGAATCAACGGCACGAGGCGAGCTCTGAGTAAACGCGTGGTGCGGAATTCTAGGACGTGCTTACCGCAGGCCTGTCGTTCTCCACTTATTACATGACCCTCGTCCCTGGTATATATCGATATCATGCAACCGGATGCACAAAGACCATCGAAAAAGAAATCAGTATACTCAACGGAGTCAAAAATCCACGATACCGTAGAGAGAGTAGCTCTCTAAAGGACTGCTCGATGTTCCAGTTCAGAGACCTGAACACTGCTGCAACTTAGTAGTTTCGACAAATCCCTACGTCCGCATTTGAATTTTGCGTTGAGTCAATCTTACTTAATCGAGAACATCTTCGTTAACCGTGCTAAGGTGAGCACAAGCGGCATGATTTCGAACTGGATTTGAACGGATTTTTGTGACATGTGAGATTGGGCAAGAGTTTATCGCTCTCTGGAAGAGGGTCCTACCTTTCTGGATTGAGCTTCTGTTGCTTGAAAGACAGGTCATAGATAGTATAATCCTGCAGTTAAGAGCTTAACTAATCAGGGTTGGGCGAACCTTCCATCGCCTTGTCCCTTTTCCTCATCTACATACTCAAAATAATACTTTTCTCAAGGAATGAGGTAGCTCTGCCTTGTAATTGCTAAGACTGTTTCCCTAGGATATTCTTCGTATTTGAAAAGTCCCTTCACCAACTGATTCGGCTCCAACAAAGATCTTCAAATGTCGAATCATGCTACAGTTACCTCCGACAAAATTCGCTTCAGTTGGGACTCAGCACTGATAGCAAGTGGCTGGTCAATATCCGTTACTGGATATTCTCTAGCCCCCTCCCTCTTTCATTCAATCAATTTTCTTCCTTAACAACAGTTAATGTCCATACTTACGATTTCCAGCAGTCCAGAATGTTGTCATAAACTGCAACAGCAGTCCAAAATGTTGTTATAAACTGCAACAGCAGTCCAAAATGTTGTCATAAACTGCAACAGCAGTCGAGCCCCAAAGTTTTGGAATATTTCAGGATATTCTCAGGTGCTACGAATAAATTTATCAGCGAAATATACACGAACATCCCACGAACATCATAAATGACTTCGATCAATCAGATTGCCCGCCAAACTACCTGACGTGCTGTTCATGAATCTAGAATTGCAATGGAATGCAAACGTCGTAGCATTCTCAATACAAAGCCTCAAGGTTCTCGTCATATTCCAATCGCCTGATATTCCTTCCTTGGAAGCCAATGTACGTATATCTGGTGGCAGCAAAAATAAAATCTGTGATCCTGTTCACATTCGCCCGTTGTAGGCGTGAGGATTTTGCCATGACTTGTAGGAACATTGTATACATGTGCCACTCCGTGCTAATTCGGGTAAGAATAAAGCACGATTAACGACGACCAAAACAGGCCTCTGAATAGCAACTATGAGAAGTATTCTCTATCTAAAGATAATGCTGTTAAGAGTTCTAAGTACAAGAAGCTTTCGCAGTTACAGCCAGAGCATTCAACTCAACTTTGTAGTCCTCATTGTTGCCAGGATTGGATAGGTTCAATATCAAGATTCAAACTCCACCATTGCCCTCACATTTTTGGATATGGTACCTATCGTTGCACAAGACGGATTTCAGCGAGGTGATCATGAGAAGGCTGAGAGGGAAAGAAATCTGCCAGCCATGGTACGTACTCTAAAAGCACCGACTCGAACCTCGAGCGGGACCGTATACGAGAATCGGCCACCTTCTCCCCGTACGACCCACAGCCCCAGCGCGGAATGATGCCCATGTCCAACGCGCATTGCACTTCGACAATATTTACCCCCACAAAGCGCAGTCAATTTTGGGCGCGTATATTCCCGTTTCGTCCAGATCTACCCGGCGGGCATCAAAATAGATAGCAAAAGCCGAACGATGCGCATTGATTCTGATTGAACCGTATAGCCTCGTATAAAGGAAGAACGTTTTAGGAGTCTTTTTAAGTGTTCGCAGACCGTATGAGAATGCTCCTCTACTAAGTAACACGCTTGCTAGATGGAAATAACTTGATATTAATCCATTTAATATCGGATTTTTGACCATCGATAGCTTTGCCTGCAAGTGCAAAGAATGAGAAAGAATGTCGCTAGACGTTTTTCACATGTTCTCAGAACATATGTCGGGCGGAAATGAAAGAGTACGTACGTTCCTGATTTTGAGCAGGTGCAGTATAGGGAGACAGGGAGTCCCAGGGAAAATCGATGGGACGGAGAGTATTTGACCCGCCAGGAGTTAGCCCATAACCCATAGCGCCTTTTGGACGTTGCTTTGCCTTGCGTTGGGGAACAGCTATAATTTCTACATGATACAAAGAGTCTGACATCACGCGCAGGTCAGAAATGATATGTATGCTCCGGTTTACCGAGGACCAGCGAGGGGGTGATGTCAAGCAACACGGACCATGAAAGGATCCTGTTAGGGTATTAGAATAGCTCGTTGCAGATAATCGAGGTGGAAGTGCATTCGAACGCCTACAGATGGGTGATGACGATGCTGAAACGGTGGAACGGTCGTTGAGGAAAGGGCGATCGTGAATGAAGAAGTTCACAGCCACGAATAGATATATCAACGAGGGATATAACTTTACGTCGAGCAATATGAGCGAACGACCAAATGATGGCCATGGGTAAGGATTCCCGAAAAGGAATCTTCAAACGAAGTTGACGTGTTCCGGAATTGGCCCGAAGGTTCCTTTGTTCCCCCGCCCCTTTTCTTGTCAATCGTCAACCGTCGAACTAACCATTAGTCGAAATAGATTGAGCCCCAGGATGCAAAGCACATTCAAGATGGAGGGTGGTATCGGCGGAGGAATAGAAAATTATCGCAGAGAAATGCAATTTCCAGAATGGTTAGAAAGGAAAATTACGTGAGATGGAAAATAAATGGAGGAAAGATAAACTTTTGCGGTCCATTTACCGGGGCTTGTGGCGTGCTGAGTCGAAAAGACAATAAAAATAATTATCATCTGTTATGATTACCATCCTGGGAGCAAATAAGCATTCATCCATCTATGCTTTCCGTTTTCGGATCTGGTTCCTCGCGACAACTCAATCGTAATCCGTGCGACGATACGGTTAGCAAGTCCACGGGTCCAGGCTTCTGGTACCATCACAAGGATATTCACATAGCTGCTATAAAATAACTGCTCCGTATTGTCTTTTTGTTTCGTGCCCCGCCTGTCCTATTGTTTTTGCCCGATCTACGGCTTAGTGAAACAAGAAGAAAACCCGGAAGACAACAGAGCGACACCTCACTATTATTCTTTCCTCCCCCCACCCAGCGTGCAGGAGTGCTGCACTAATCCAATCATCCTCACCCATTAACGACCATCCATTTGTTCTTTCACCCGCTTCCTTTCACCCCTCCCTTATCCATCTCACATCCTTTTTGTTCTACCGTCCGATTTGCTTCCGAACATCATGCCCGCACTCCGCACGCGCGATACCCAATCCCGACGTGAGTAGCTGTTGGATTCTGCCTCAGACTAGATCTATTGACCACTCACCTTTTCTCAGCACTCGAAGTGACGACGGACGCGCCCCAACCTCCCACTTTGACGATAATTTCACCAACGCCACGCGCCTTCACCTTCCCTTTCACCCATAACCTCTCATCAGACAGTCCCTACTCTACTCCATCTAATTCCCCATTCGAGCCTGACCTCAATTCACTCGCTATTTCTTCCGCATCATCATGTATAACACCACCTCCGCGAACCCTTTCTCCCACATCATCTTTCACTTCTGTATCACCTTCACCCACATCAAACACGAGCACTTCTCATCTCAGCCAGAAATCCCCAGGCAGCGACGTTGAGCGTCGGCCGAAGAAGGGCGATGAGGACTATGTTAAGCGACCAGAGAATGCATTCATTCTCTTTCGACGCAAATGCTGCGAGGAACATCAGGCAACAGAGGAAGAGACCTCGCCTAGCCGCCTGACGAAGAAACAACGCCAGGCAGATTTATCCAAGACAATCAGCCAACAGTGGAAATCACTGACGTCTGAAGAGAGGAAATATTGGGAAGAGTTGGCGAAAGAAAAGAAGAAGGAGCACGCGCAGATGCACCCTGGTTATGTCTACCGGCCTCAGCGTGTGCGTGACAAGGACGGGAAGGCGAGGAACAAGAAGCGAAAGCCCAAGGTGAATACAACCGGAGCTGCTTTGGAGGCCAGTCCGAACAAGGCCACAGAAAGTATGTCGTTTGTCGTCGCTCCTCCTCGTCAACATGGTCGTTCCGCTTCCGCACCGACACCTCCACCTATGTCGTACCAATCCATTCAGCTTCCCAACCTCTATTCTTCTAGCCCCTCCTGCCCAACTTCTCCGTCTCTGCTTCCTATGATTAGTCGGCGAACGCCTCACAGCGGAAACCAGGAGGACATCATGGCAGATTTCGATTTTATGCCCAACCACGAGCACCTGCTAGCACCTGCCTTTGGTACTGAGCAGCCCAATCTTCAGGTGAGGTTATTTTGGTGTGTTAATGATATTTGAGCTGATTGGTTCCGACTAGTCTTCGGAGTTCCTGAGGAATACTTTCGATATGTCGTTGAACGAGGCTCCGCTCACTGTTTCTACCGATACCTCTCTACTTCTTCCTGCCCATCAAATCATCTCGCCCGCTTCTTCGATGGGTTCCAGCTCGTCTGGACCATCATCGCCTACCACTGGACCCTTTACGCCCACCCATCCTATTCACCCGCACAATGCCTTTGATTTGAGCAATATTCCCAACAGTGCCTGTGTACCCGAACTAGACATGCAATTGCAGATACCGAACGTAGACTTCTCTGGAAACTACTGGCCTATGCAGTCAGTGTGGCAAGACGAGTCAAATATGGGAATGATGCACAACGACTTCGACCTAAGCTCGATACCCTCTATCCAAATGGGCGGGCCAAAATACGTCGACGAAACGAACACTTATGTCGCGTCACCCGAAGTTATGGGACTGGGCGAGTATTCTCAGGAATATCAGCAAGATTACTCGAACCAGTATATGGCGGAGTACCAACAGGACTACGTTCAACTTGGACACAGTCAGTTCCTCGAAGGTCACCAAAGCACTGAGTCAAGCTTACTTGGCTATGACAATATGATGGGCTCTCCAGAGCAACGCTTCTAATTCCCCTCCACTGCTGCGCACCCGAGTGGATGTTTCGGACAATTCTTCCTCTCCTCTCTGTCTACGTGGAACTGTATCTCTTCTTTCCCTCTCCCTCGGGTCTACTCGTCGGATTGGTGAGCATTTGTACCACCAAAAATTCTTCAGTGTAGTCATTAGTCGCTTGTTTCATTGATTTTTCTTTTTTTTCATTCTCTCTACTCGTTAGGACAGACGTCTCGACGGCGGTATCCTACGTTAACGGATGCGTCTCGACGACGGTCTGTACCTACTGTATATAGTCATCAGTTTACGCGCGACACGTTGATTACATTTTTACGACTCACCATTCCAATTACGAACCACTCCCTCCCTCCGCCTCGACTGATACCCCAGTCCATAATTATTGGCTCCCTGCATTGTTATTCTCTACACGTTCAGCCCCTGGATTCCTTTCCGAGGTCCCTCCGCTCGTCATCATTTATTCCTATATCGAATAACCTGTCTGACTATTATCAATTGTATTTAGAATGCAATGTGCTGCCATCTACCGTCCTTTACCTTCTAAAGTTACATTCCAAAGTCGTCTGTAAAAACTCCGAGTTATTCCATAGCGAAAATTCTGCAAATATGTTCCAGCTTCTTTGAAAGACAATAAGGTCGGCTAGTTTTGAGAAATGGAGATGAGAAGATGGCGGTTAGAAAGTGACGCTTGTGCCGCGTAACGAATTGGGAAGGTATGAGAATTTCCACAGGTCCCGTGGTGGATGTGCCACAAGGAACTTCGAGGACGAAATGAAAACTCTCTCACAACCCTCATTTTTAATTGACCCTTGTAACTTTTTTGTAAAAAGTTACTGAGGTTTGATATATAGTTGGGAGAAGCTGGACCGCTCTGCTCACCTCGAAATAATAAACCCTTTTTTTCTAGATTTAATATCACTTTGGAGAAAGAACAACTTCAGATTATCGTATCGGCGGATGAAAACGAAAATGCTATCTTACTAGAAGGTAACAGACCGCAGGGACTTGACTGATAGTGGCGTTCTTGGCCCTACACATAAGTATGGAACCAGTATGAAAGCAGAAGCGTTCCGGCCAATGTAGAAAATGACCAAAGGACTGATTGATATGTTGAAGCCTGGTGAGATTGTCTGATTACTAGTTACCTATTATTCGTGTTAAAATGAACGCTTGAAAATCCGCCTCTTGAAAGCGTCTGCAACGGGATGGCCCCTCATAAAATATACCGATGCAGTCACGTCCTGTGCGTGGAGGTATAAAACTTCCGAGTTATCGACGTCGATCAAAAACTTCAAGTTGTTGAGCGGGTAATCTTCTAGCCCCGCTAAGTGTTCCCCCCGCCATACAAAGAGCTTGAAAACCTGGAGCAAAAAGACCAACCAAAACCATTAATGCCGTTCAACAATGATCCCGGAAGTAATGAATTCACCGAGGAAATTATGAAAATTCTTTGATGTGAGAAACGGATTTTTTCTACGTAGATTCCCCCTTTGTCGGATTACCTTGACATTTGTTGTATCATCTTCTCGCGATTCCTATGGATAAATACGGAAGGTTCAAAGCAATTCCCAGAAAGGCTCACAAACCTTGTTCGATAAGCCAAAAGAGTGGAGCACAAGGGGAAAGGCACACAGAGAAAGTTGATTCACAACTCGAGTTTGTAGATTATCTTCACACCTAGAAATCAAGGGGCGCATAGTTAGCAACGAGGTAGTGGGTGTTCACATAGTCCATATCCATGCTTCAAACTTTGTTTGAGTTTTCGTGGACGTTTAGCTTGAGTCATCTTGTCAGAACTGTGATCCATCATCATCTTGATATCTCTTTGACATGAACAATTGAGCGGGAAAGATAAGATGTACGGAATAATTTCCAATGTTACTTGATGTCGAACTTCTATCTCATGTCCGTTGTCCGTCTTGAACGGGAATAGCAGAGCAGTAGAATTGCACTCCGAGCCGCTAGGAGCTCTCCTCCCGTCAAGGACTGAGAATGGACAGCGACGCGACAATGCTGGTGTAACGATTTTACAATAGAAAAAATCTTCCGTTGCAACTTCGTTCCGTCCTCGAATGATGTAGTCCGAGGAATTGTAGTATCGCTGAAGTAATATAGTTCTTACGGTGCAGTTAGCATGGTACATTCGACTGTTAACCACCACATGAACGGGGGAAATCGATGCGAATAGTGGTTGAGCTTCTGATGACCATATTAGATGTGCGGATTGTCCATAGATCCACCGAGCAACAACGTTAACACTGGGAAAACCCACTGAGTCTCTTGTCATGTTCAGGTTCTGTTAAGGAGGATTTCAGCTCCTCGAAAAGGTTGTTATGAAAGGCACTCACACTAGATAACATCTGTTGCCAGGTCGCCGAGGTCACGAAAAAGCTCACATAGGCCTTATGCCTGGATGAGTACCTTCCGCGTCATTGTGAACGGCTCAATGCCTTGCCTGAGTTGATACTCAAGTCATACTTTCTGGTCCTGTTCCATCCAACTACGCCTTGAACGTAAGCCGACTTTTCAAAAGCGTGATATTGTGGACTCAGCAAGTTGATGAACGGCTTTCATACATGTGGGGAGAGGATGAATATCGCGCGTTTCGAATTCTTCTTCCCTTCATATACTTCGAACGTCCTCCGTCTATCTGTCATCCAATAAGCCAAAGCTCCGTGAAACTCGAATAACACGTTGCTCTCGCATGTTTGCTGGACGCCAGCAAGCCTTGAAACGATAAAGACAGGCGTTATCCTGCAGGCTGAATTGAATATGGCTTCTGATTTTTGGTAAACTCTGTCTTTGACAGTCGCTCCTGCGGCTGATAATTTCATAGCAGCCTTGGGCGATCGATCTTACAGTAGTTTGAAGGGCGACGTAGCTAAAGCCGGTACATTGAGGTGAGTTTGTGATTTGGGCGAGCGTCAAGATTATGCAGGTCAGAAAACATACAGAGAATGGTATTACATTCAGATGGGAGTTGAGAATGTTTGAAACCACCTATCCTAATCTACGTTCGCGACAAAATTCTGGCAGCTTGTGGTTACACAGCACCTGTGACAGCTAAGCGTTAACTACATTAGTGAAAAAAAGAAAAGAGGCTCGATATTGTGAGTAGCGAGGCGAGCAGTGACAAGAGCACCATCTTTGCTGAAAGGATATTTGAAACACTCGGGTTCCACAGCTTTCGAGTCAAAAAAAAAACCCAAAGTCATCTTTTCCTCACAGAGTCTGCCCGGCGCTCGAACACCACACAAATGATAGCGAAGATCCAAGACGGGACTCCGCCGTTCAAGTGCTTGAAACATCGTCGGAACCGAAAGCTTGAAGTCCAAATGCCAGGATGGAAGCTACCTCAGCGAGAAATAACGAGCAACCGGATCAGTATCGTCGAGCAGAAATGAAGAGACTATGTAAATCTTTTCTGTTGGTTGCGTGAGGCATAGAATGAGACGTGAATGAGTAATTCTAGACGTCGTTCTTGAACATGACGAAGAGAGCCGACAAGAAGAAGATCTATGGGATATGATGCACACTCAGCAAGTAGTAGTGCAATGATACAAATGAAAAAAGGCGTACATTCTACTATTATCGTTCTCTGAGTCACCGCGACAGTGCAGCTTCTAGGTAGACATTCCCTCTCCAGTCTCATTCCTGCTACTGAGGCATTTGATCATTGAATCGTTTCGTCTGGGCGGTAGCGCTTCTTCACAGTGGTAACATCATTGCATGCCGATGATGTTGGTTCGGGAAGGCGGGGTGACGTCCGAAATATTGTAAGTGGTACCCGCACTAGTACTTCTCCGCTTGCTCATGATACATACCTTTCATATATCCTCGTTGGTTCAAATTTCTACACAATGGTATCTCCAGCCCCCCCCAATTCTCAGTGTTGACTGCCACTGGAGAGGCTGAAATTGTGAAGAAGGCCCCAAATTGAGTAGTAAACAATCTGAGGCAGCTGCAGGATCTGGGGTCACAGATACCATACATGTGCTCCGATAGCGCAAGCGGGAATTTGTAAGCTAAGTAGACTTCAAGGGTAAAATACAGAAAATCCACAAATCCAACATGTCAATGTGCTCCTCGGAAAGCTTCTTTTTGCATCAAAGCTGAAATAGGTTGCCACTATATACAGGCCGTTGCAGGCTCATTCTCGTCTTCGCGCCTGACTATCACCCTCTACCACCCATATCTAAAGCCTGACAACGTCAAAGTTACAGGATTTTCTCAGAAGATTGCAGCGCACATGCTATTCAAAACTTGGAGTCATAAAGCAAAGCTCACGCTCACAAAGAAGGTTTGAATGAAGGACCGATCCTGTCACTGTTCTCGTTCTGTTCTCATTGAGTCCCACATAGTACCAATCTATCAGGGAACTGTTATAGGGTGAGCACTTGCGGTATCTTCTTCCCGAGATTTTGGTGGATGGTTCAGCCTGAGCCAGCCTGAGCCATGACACCCCAGAATGTTATTGAGTTCTGATCTTCGTGATTGATTTGTTTTATGCTCCATGTGTTTGTAGATCCTTCTTCGTTGCTAATAGTGCTATACTATATCTGCTGACAGTTCTTCATGAGCTTCGCGATTTGAATGCAGATCTACAAGGTTGGTCGGTCAATGAACTCCGAGTCCTGTGAGCATTTTTTGACTGGAAAGGGAACATGCAGGATGTAATACTGTATCAGGAACCATTCTGGAGCAACTTGAAATAAAAATATGGTAAAACCGCGACAGCATGCACCACACCTTGAGTCCAAGCATATTATCCCCTCCCCGTGTGATTGCCACAGTCATGGCATGAGAAGATGTTACAAGATATTTTGGTGGAATGAGCATTTGGTATACCGGAGAATCATGAGCTTGAAGAACATGATAGTTTTGGCCACATCCTTTTAATTCAATTGGACATATATCATGATCGCTACGGCATTGTAAACCTTGACTGTATTTTTTGGGATGAATAACTGTAATGATCACGAATTGGCTCAATACTACGACCATTCAGATTTTGTGTTTTGTCATTGAGGACAAGAAGCTACTGACCTCCCAAATCCTTTATATTTTTCGACTTGATCTAGAACGGGTGAAAGATAAGCTCCTTCCCCAATCATGTCTGCCATTGCCGGAATCGCTGTGAGTGTCTTGCAATGGTTGTAGTCCTTAGCCTTCCACTAGGTACACTATGTATCAGTATTGAGAATCCATGCAGCGAGATATTACTTACCTCGGCGACATATCTAAACCCCCAAAGCACGTCTGAACTACTGCTATGTAACCAACGCTGACGAAGACCGGAGCTATCGCTGTGCTCATTAACCGAAGTTGCGTTTATTGGATTCGGACCCGGACCGATCTGAGGGACAAAGAGTATTAGGAGGACGAAGAGTAATTTGGTCATTTCATAGAGACCGGCTCTAACTTCAGTGTAGCGTCCCTAAGGAATACAAAGCATATTATCCAGGCTATAGGCCTAACTTTCATCGAATTTCATCCATTGCAATATGTACCGCCCGCCGATACTGTGCGATTCGGAGGGGGGGTTTCGACGACGCGGGCCGCCGTATTTTCCAAATTCTTACGCAGCGCCTTTTGGATGCAGTTTTGGGAAGGGAAAGGAAAGGAGGGGTAACTAGGGCTGAGGGATTCCATGAGCATCTGTCGCAGCGTGCTACAGGGTCCTATTTCTGACACCGAATTTAGTGGGACCGTGATAGATTAGAGAGCGTGGAGTAAACATTCAAGGGACGGCAAAGACTGTTTGAGGACCGAAATCAGTTTCTGAAGGAACGGGTAACAAAAGTGGAAGATTGAATGTTGAAGGTTGAACAGGTTTAGTAACGCCTGTCGTTTCAAGCCGGTATGATTAACCTATAAATAAGAAATGTGAACAAGTAGAAGATCGAAAGAACAAATGGAAATGGATGCGTCACGGAGGAAGCATATAGCAGCGAACTGTCGACAAATGGAGCCAGGAGAAGAAAGGGAGAGGAAGTAAGATACTCACCAGTGTAGCCACTCATACTTCTGTCATTCACTACTTAAGGTGGAGGACGAGTTCTAGCTACGCCCCACAATGATTTTCTAAATGTGAGTTGATGAGCAGTTGAAGAAAGCAAAGAATCGTTTCGCGGGACGCAATCGTCGGTGAAATAAGCTCGCGTGAGCATACTGTGCTTTCATAACGAAGATAATACAGGACGATGACGGTTTGCGGAAAGGCTTAGCCAGCGCTAACCGGGCGTTAAAGGTAGGCATTCTACATAGTACATCCCTGTACATCCGCCGCGACATCCAACTTGGAAATCGAGGCTTTGTCAGGCCAGTCCAATTTCCTATATCCTTGTGGTAACACCACGCACGCCCATAACGGTGTAGCTGCAGAGGCTGTCGAAGGTTTGTACTTGGGACTCATAAACCCTCGGTTCCCCAACGGTCAACCTGAGAAGGTTCATTTCCGCTCATAAACTTACATAACCCAGCCAACGCGTTTGCTTCAGCAATGTGTAAACTTCTATCTTGTCCCCAGTTCTTACCATCGTGATTTCTGCTGCGGGGAAAGTTTACTAAAGCTCAACAGCCCTGATCAAGGGTGTGGTGAAGATAATTTCACTGTATGCTTCTATTGAATCGCTTCTGTACATAGGGCCACAGCTAACCAACTGACTCTAACGTAGAAGCATCCCAAATACCCCGTTGGGAATGAACAGCAACTTCGAAATAAAGTTTCCCCATGGAGATCAATAAAGAACAACCTTCGTTCTGCAGTCCCTCCTATTCAACGAGATATGGACACTATATGGACCTGCATACATGACAGCTTAATCTTTCCTCCGGTACATGTACATTGAAGACCTTTGAGGACCTAATAAGTTCTATTCGACTTGGCATTATCCAAGATTCTTCGAAAGTATCGCTGCGGTGAATCGTACTGCGGTCATTTCTTTGCCCTTTGAAGACACATCTACTCGTCCAAATTATGTGGTTCGACCAAGGACTATTCCTACACAAATATCCATATCGAGTGGCGCTAAAAGCTATACCATTCACAGCTGCGGGACCATATCCTTCAATCCCGGTTTGCTGAAATAGTCGAATCGCGACTTTCGTCAATGTTAGTCCCGGGTTTATTGGTACGGTACGTATTACCGATGTTTTCAAATACGTACAGCTAAGCGTTGATTCTGACTCGGTTCATAGTGAATCTGCTGTTGGCCGTCGTCAATCGGTAAATAAAGAGATATGGGCTCTCTGAAGAGGCAAGTCTTCATTCGGATGCTAATAATCGACCCACCGTATAAGAATCGATATCTCTTGACAGGAAGAGAACGAACACCCTCTCGACTGACAAAAAATTCGAAAGATACGTTATTCGTTCTGTACAGGATTTCCTTATATGTCAGGTATGAAAACTTCCTCTCTATATCGTTCGTCGTTATCGCTAAAGGGGATTCAGAATCGTCCGACATGGAAGGATCTCACGACCATTCTAAGATGCGGGTCAATAACTATGCCCAAGGTGCACATCTGTCATTTCGAATTGATAGCAATCCTAGTGGACCCAATAATGCAGTTGTGTGGTTATCGGTTGTATATAGTGAGTGTCCACCTCGATAAACTTATTTTTGGATTTGGTTGATTAAATCATGTTTCGGGTAGTCAATGACGAAGAATACGGCCGGGGAGAAGGGCCTAATAAGCGAGTCGCAGAAGAGAATGCTGCAAATGCTGCTTGGCGGCTCATTAAGTCTTTGGGAAGTGTCTCAAGATGAGCCAAAATCCGACAGCCCGAGTGAACCTCGAAGTCTGCAATATTGGCGTGAAAAACTTGAAGTACTTTGACCAGATAGGATAGAATATTTGAGTTGGTATTTACATTGAACTTGCGGATGAACCGAGTATGCATATGTATGACTACACTCCTAACTTCACTACTTAGCCCAGTGGTTAGTAGCGTATAGAGAGGGTACATCTTCTTCCAATTGAATAACAACATTGAATCACCGAGCCTGTTCTTGTCCACAGTGACTCTTTCAATTGGTGTCCTTCAGTCTGGGGCTTCAATGGGTTCCCAGAACAGGTACTAACCCGACCCCTCATTGAAATTCTCTCGAACAGTTCCGTGCTCCTTCTAGTACAGAGCACGAAAGACAACTGTCACTTGTATATCTTAGTGGCCAAGGGATCTAAGGAGGTTCTGTTCTGCCAAGTCCTGGCGTGTTAGATTCCTTCCACCTTTTTGCAAGGTTATAAGATTGGCCGAGAGTCTCTCATCAATGTGTTCTCGGAGTCTTTCTTCAAGGACGGGCTGCTTGAAGTTCCAATCGTTGCTCCCAAGAAATCCGCTGGTCTTGACACAGTCAATTTTCTCGCTTTCCGCATTAGAGCGTTAGCAAGTATCAGCGCCTTCCCATCCATAGATCGAAAAAGATATACCTTTGGTGGGATCACGACGTCCAAAGGTCTCTGTCAGTTTCTGCCTGTCAAGATCTGCATTTGACATGTCTCTAGGCCAAACAGGACCAGGCAAACCACGGAAAATCTAGTCTGAAGCAACAAAGGGAAAATCATAGTTTGGTCGAAGAAATAATACATAGACCTTGTATCACAGGCTCAGATTGACCCGCGAACCTGCCTGGAGCAGGACTTTGAGACTCCGAGGCGTGGACAGATTACATGGGACTCTCTTGACCAGGGGCGGATAGCGCAGAGGTAATGAAGGTAAGAAAAACAGAAAGAATGGTAAGTGAATGGACCATTGTGAATTTTTAGATTTCATATCACCCATACAACGATGAAAGCGATGCTGAGTCTGCGACTCGATAAGAGACAATGAGGAAGTCCTCCAATAACTTGTATAAGGATCGTATCCTCTTGGTTTGGTTCGAGCTTCGGCCTAAACCACCATTTCCAAGTACATTTGAGGGGGGTTTTTTTGAACAGAGTGAATTGAAACGAATGATATTACAAAAAAAATCCAACAAGCACGACGAACAAGAATCATAAGATACGCTATGACCACAAGATATTAATCCTTCTCCAACCCTTTGCAGGAACCTCCTCTGGTTCCGGGTTCTGATTTGCGATATCAATGAAATACCGAATGGGCATTTCGTCTAAGCTGACGATCTTTGTCCCTTTCGTAAATTTGTAACCGAAATATAAGAGAAAGATGAGGGGAATGTTGAAATAGTGGCTGAAGAAGGTCTCGATGTCCCACTTTCCATGGATGAAGATTGCATACCCTGAGGTCAGGAGAATCAAGCCGAATCCTAGTAGAGCCATCCACGCAGCGAAAGGCTGAAATGGCGCCGCCCAAGGTAACTCGCTACGGTCAATACCCTGGCGTTTGCAGCCGTAGTAAAATCGCAAGTATATTATGCAGATGACCATCCATGCGATGATAGCCGCGGCAGAGACTAAATCTTGCAGCCACGAAAAGACGTTTGAAGCCGAATCCTGGAGCGTCATGTATCCGAGGGACATGAATAGGCTGACAAAGCCAACACTGATATAGGGGATACCGAAACGATTCGTACGCAGGAAGATCTTTGGTGCGTGACCTTCCCGAGCAAGACCATATAACGTTCTAGACGCACCCTGCATTATTTCATAAGCTAGAATCAATCACAATTGGATCAAAGAGTGCTCACCAGCATTGTAGAATTACCAGAAGACCAGGCACTAGTCAAGACAATAGCATTCATGATATGAGGAATAGCTTTAATGCCAGCCAAGTTCGCGGCTAGGACGAAAGGGCTTTCACTGGCAGTACCCGTTGATTTGAGCAGAAGGGAGTTGTTCGAAGGAACAATCAACGTAACGATAAAGATGGAGAGGACGTAGAAGAGTATTACTCGAATGAAGATACGTTTTGCTGCCTTTGGGATGTTCCGTCTGGGATTCTTGGTCTCAGCTGCAGCGGCAGCAATAGTCTCGACGCCAGAGTATGCGTAGGCGGCATTGGAAAATGTTGTCCAAAAGCCAAGGAATCGACCGAGAGACCCTTCGATGCCTAGGTATTGAACGAAAGGACCCTACAGCAAGTGAATACCATGATGAATATTTGAGAATAACATCTACGAACGGGATTTCTCCAATATTGGAATCCAAGACGAGGTTGACCCGATACACCACCTAGATCGATACAGAGACCCTACGAGTATGCTGGTCATTTTATTGTACTCACAATTTCCGACATGGGACGCACCATAATGATTGAACCGACAACGAGCATGATTTTGAGCATAGAGAAGCCAAACTCCAACTCTCCGTACACCCTGATGAAGAAGAGGTTGGTACCGATGATGAGGAGACCCATCACCGTGATCCAGACACCATTTGATACTGAGGTCGTCCAGAAAGATATCAAGACAGCCGCGGCGGTAATTTCAGCGGGTATGGCAACGCATGCCGCGTAGACATGATTCCAACCGATAGCGAATGATAAGGCAGGATCGACGAAGCAAGCAGCATATCGAACGTATGAACCAGTGAGTGGTACTAAGGCGGCGAGCTCGGCGATGGAGAGCACGACTCCGGATACCAGGATACCAGTTAAGAGATATCCGAGCAGTGCACCGACGGGTCCCGCGGCTGCAAGGGATCTACCTGATCCTAAAAAAAGACCCTGTAAAAAGAAGCGTTCAGAATCCGAAGGCACATGTGCGAGGAATGAAACTAACGGTGCCAATGGTACCAGCAAGGGCAATCATCTGGATATGTCTCTGCTGTAGACCTCGTCTGCAGTATGTTAGCATTCAGTATTGATCACACAGAGCACAAAGACTTACTTTAACTCCCTTTGCTCCGCGAACGCCTTTTCATCTTCGACAACTACAGGCGGGCCAACTTCCACGTCGAGCTTTTCGTTACTTCCATCAAAGAGGTCCTTGCCTTCAAGTCTCTCCTTGTTGTATGACATTATCTTGAAGTCCAAGGAAGACTATTGAGTTGTGAGAGGATAGGCAGAGGATGGAAAAATCCAGATATCAAAGGGGACGAGGATTCACGTCCGTACATATACACCGATGGAGCGATTGCACCATCTCTGATAATCACAACGCACACGATTGTGGAACGATGGCGTATCAGTGGATCTCGCTGGGAAGCGTTCCAAAGCGTGCCTCGAACGCATGGGATGCTCGCTTGGATGGGTCTGCGATGCGGGAGTTATGCTGAAACGCGTTATAGCGCAGAGAAGTCGCCGACCAGGAGATATTACTAGAGATTACTTCCGTTCCATCAGAGTCCAGTTACCGACTGCAAAGATATGCGAATGCATGAAGCTAATCATCTGAAAGAAGCTTTAGCTTTCAAGTCTTAAATGACATTGATCGAAGCATACATACAGTTCGAAACGCGCCTACAAATTGTACAATTTTGGAGCCCCGGTGTCTCTGCGGAGCGTATCTTGAGTGTACGTCCACATGTACGTCCACACAGCCTTGAGTGAGAAGGAAACTGAGATCTTGCCCCACAAGCTACTACATTGACAATATATCAGTCTCAAGGGAGTTCGACGTATCGACAGCATACGCATGTAAGAATCTGCTTTATAGCGAAGGTGAGGGCAAGAAAATTGTGGTGAATCACCTTCGGGGTGATCCAGTGCAGCGTCGGGAGAAGGAGAGCGCATATGCTGCAGGAGACATATTCGCGAGCACGCAATTGCACGTAATCCGTGCGCGATGATAAGTGGCGCACGACGCGAAGAACGTACTATGTGGCTGCCTTGGACGGAGCCCAAGTTGTGGCGCCATCAACGTTCAAGGAATCTACACTATCCTGAGTTTGACTACCTATGTTAGACTGGCATTCCTGTAAAAGCAGTGGTGTTCTTGCCTTGTTATGTACAAGGCGCACCTCCCAACGAAATACCCCACTGATTCCCAGTACCAGATACATCTGAATTCCGAAACTGAGCAAAGGCCAGTAGAGGCCAATACGGATCCGAGGCCAGGAAAGAATACACACAGCCACTTTGTTTGCATTCACGAGGAGGTTCTAAAATTTGAGATTATTTATGTGGCACCGGCGATAAATCGTTAGAGCACGTACCATGTTAACCATGACCAGCTAATCCCCTGTTTCATTCAAAGAAATGATACGAGAGTCGAGATCCAGTTAGTCCAGACAAGCATCTCGAGTTGTGAGGGTCAGGCTTTCACTTGTTGGCCTTGTAATGTTCAATGGATGAGGCGGGCGGGCGAGCCAAAGAAGCAGAAGTTAGTTCAAATTAGCAAAGGAGCTCCCAGGATGTATGAGCTCGAGTTTCCTGGACCAGTATCAGCCAGTATCATATGCGCGAAGTTCACGTTAACGGTCGTCGATTCGGACCGGTCACCGGAAAGTCATGTGAAAATCCGAGTTTGCCTCTTTTGACGATATTTTCCCATCACTGTTTGTCCTTCCTCCGCTGCTTTCATCTCGAAAGTCCACAGATTCAGAAAGAACAATTGAATTCTCTTCATTCGCTCCTTGATACATATGTATATTCGCTTGTACTTTGACCGCAGACACCGAAGATCAATCATGAATACAAGAATATCAGTGAGGCTTCTGAATTGAATTGTACCTGGACATCTGCGTCTCATACAAGCTCGTACACTGAGGACGGAGTTATATTCGGAGGATCATTGGTTCGGGGAACAACATGGAGCAGAAGGTATTCCGGAAATGACCCGCCACGCGAGAGCGAAATAGCTTGGCCAGCGTGGCATTGGTATGCATCAACAGTCAATCAAATTTGACGATGACTGACATTTAGATTTTCTACTTATATAGGTTCTTGCTTTTTTCTTTCCTTCAATCTCTTTTTCCCCAAGGAACTCCCTCTGCCGGTGCAGATCTGTTCACCCTCACCTCACCCATCCACGAAGTTAACAGGATGGCCTCCTCGAATACGACCACGGACCTCGAAAAACTTTCCTTGGATTTGTCGTCGCCGGCTCCATCCTTGTGTATGCGACACTGGGAACGAGGAACGAGGATATATCTACATCTCTTGATCGCCGTCTTTTCCTTTATAACACTCCTCGTTATCCTATCCGAACTTGTTCTCTCCTACCCTCGGACATTAATATCGTTTGTCCTTCCAGAAGCATCCAGGAGACAGCTCGAGCTTGCAGCGGTCAAGTTGGAAATTCTTGAATGGCACACGCGGGTTCAAGCGAGCGCTTTAGCATGCAGTGCCTTCGTATTTTCATGGTACAAGCTTTTTATCCGCGGCTTCAGACTCTTGGTCCGGTTTGGGAGGTTTGTTGGGTTTGTGCTCGGATGGAATGACTCCGCCTCATGGGTGAGGGTCGAGAATCCGAACACGAATGTCCTTGGCAGGGTCAACTCGTGTCGCTGTCTATGTCCTATGGGAAATGAGCTCAAGGGAAAACCATTCCATTTACGACCATATGTGTCGTACCTGTTGACTATCATCATCATAAACGATAGCATCTACAACCGATATCGAGACCTATCGCTTTCTTCAATGTCCTCTGCTCATATTGCATCCTCATCTCCAGACACCATCTTACTGGCATATTCCCACATGCACAACTACCTTTCAATCATTCTTCCTGGTGCTATAATCCGCTTTAAGTCGATGTTGTTCCGAACATTCTTCATCTGCGCCGCAGAGATTTCTGTGCTGTCCCTTATACTATATCTCAGCGGCCTCTGCACTCATCGTTCAACGACGCAGTCCAGCATCTCCGGGTCGAGTGCACTTTTCAGAAGCGAAAACAATCCATCATTGCCTTCAACGGAACTGATAACTACGTCGAGTCAGAACTCTGTATCATGCACCCTACGCACAGTAGTCCTACTTGGAAAGGACTCGGAGCCAGGTATTCCGTTTGAAGAGGCGAAGTTGGCCCCGAAATTTTCCTCCGACGGCCTTCCGAGGTATACTATGCATGCCAGCTCATATGAACCGACAGAAGACAAGCAATTTATTCCTACTGGTACTACCTGCATGTGCCTCGAACAACATCTATGATCCATTCTCTCTGTACTCTTTGTGTCCGCATTCTGAGGCACCATCAGTCATATGGCAATGAGAGTATTCGTCTATATTTGCTTCGGTTTTGGGAGTGTACTGTCCTATCATGTGTTCTATTGTTCTGGGTTTTTTCGCAAGTAATTCTGGAGTTATGTAGGATACGGTTGGATATCAGTTGGATCTATTACCACTTCAGCAGTGTCAATGATCATCTTCGTAGGCTATCTAAAGTGAGTTATCACTTTATCTTTCTCCTTCGATGACTTATAATGTTCAGTTATCATCCAGGTTATTTGAGGCTATTTGTTTATTCTTCAACGAACTGTCCATTGTTACTCTACCCTAGAACGGAACAATGTAGATTGATACGATTCCAATTGATTCGCATTGAACAGTTGAGGATTTCTCTGGCCAGGCTTGGAAGGAGAGAGCGAAAAAATCTCGTGTCAATTTTGAACTCTTGAGACTATGTAAACAATCGGGAAGGCGGCTCCGAGTGTGTTACCTGTGAACTCTTCTTGCGTAACGAAATAACTTTTTTCTCTGGTCTAAACGAAGGATCGCTTGTACAAATGGTTCCCCAACACAGTTATTCTTATACGCTGTCGTGACTACAGTATGATACTTGTTCTTTCATCAAGCCCTTGCTCATATTTTGCCCTAGCTTCTCGTAACACAGATACACCACGCTATTGGTTCGACTTCAACGCGTCAGCAGGACTTTCCCAGTCTACCGCCCTGTTCAGCTCCTTCCATTTCATGTAGTCTTCGGAGAGGAACGGCGGTACACGCATTCCATTCGCGTTCCACAGTAAAGGCTTGAAGTATGTATGAAAGTCAGAAGACGAGGGTGAAGGTATGAGTACAACATCTTTCATTACGCCTAAAGGAAACTCACGTCTTCGTTAGTCATCTGTAATTCCCAATCAATACCTTTCTTCTTCGTAAACGGTTCCAAAGCTTTTTCGTAAGCATCTACCCAGGAACGTCTGTAGACATCGGGATTTAGGACTTTCCAGACACGAAATCCAGAGTTAAAGAACGAGTCTACATCCCACTGCCCTCCGAATCAAACACAGATAGAAGAACGTACTCTTGTACCGGATTCGCCGGTTATTGCACATTAATCCTCAAATGTCTATCCTTCCGCTCGCCGCCAACATAGAATTCATCTTTGTCGACTAAATTTTACTCCAGATTGCCTCCATCCCTCTCCTTGCTTAGCTTTATCGACCGAACTTGATAAGATAAGTATTCGCTCAACCAAGCTCACTGAGGAATGTAGGGAGCGCACTGGTGAGTGCTCTATACTAGCGGATGAGGTTTTGCCTGGGGCGCAGCCCCGCTCGGGTGGGAGAACACACGAAGCGCGGTTTGGCTGATCCTGAGCGTCTTTGTCAAAAGACTGGACACTAGAATATTACTGGGAAAGGAGCAGGTGGGATCACAAAGAAAGAGCTTGAATGAGTTCCGCCACAGCTTATCTTATCTTCTGAGAAGACAGCTCTGCTGCCTTAGGGCTGAGGATGAGTACCTTCCAATACTTTCATTTTAGTGCACATCGTGCCAGGCTTAAGCAGGTCATCAGCAGATCCGTTCGTGGTCTAGGTCGTCACAGTTGAAACGAATTCAAACCATATCATGTATAGCTATTTCCGATCGTTGGAGCAGATTATACCATCGACCTACAACGAGCTGGACAGATCCCACAAACTATGTTATATCACACCCATAATAAGTATTTTTACTTCCATCTGTGTTACTGTATGGTATTGAGTTTAAGCGGCACGCTGCTAGGTATATGGTAACATCACAGACCTGTCGTTCACTTCGTTTTCAATCCTTGCTTTATCTTTTCCCATTCTGACAATAATTTGGCATCCACAACCATCGCATGTCCTTCATAACCACTAGGAAGTTGCGACAGGTGAGTTAACACAGCATGAACGTAGTCGCTGGCACTAATAATGAGGGGCCATGACATCATCCGAGGACCAGCACCAAGTTTACTAAGTTCCTGAAGGTCTCCCAAAGTCGCCATGGTATTCCTGAGTTGCACCTCATCACGGAAGTAAGCTATAAGCTGCGTATTATCCGGTCCTAAGTTCTGCAAGCCCTTCGCACTCCTCTGGATGGGAAAAATGTACATGCGGCCATATGGATCACGTCTAGCTGTCAGGCCGTAATTGTTGTAAAAGAAAAGAGCTGGTCTTTGTTCACCGTGGAAGAACGCTGTGGTTTCGTCCCACCCGAGGCTGAGCACAACTACGTTCGGTGCTATATCATACTATCCATGAGCATTTGGTCGGACCAGAACAGGTGCTATATTACACACCGAGGGGTCGAGGAGCAAGTTTCAAGGGGGCAGCAGCCACAGTAAGACTGAGGACAGCGACAAGGAGAAAGAATGCATATAACAATTGACTTCTGGCATTGGAAGGTGGAAGGAGAAAAAACATGTGCATGTCGAATGTATGAGATAGCACTGTGTTAGACGATAGATATCTGTTGGCGACAATGACACTAGAATTGGTAAAGGAGAGACATACGAGACTACCACAGAGTAATTTATAATGGAAGAAATTTGTCCAGCAAATTCGCCCGTAAGTTGGGAATGATGATTAGATCTGGTGGTAGAGGGAAGAAAACACAAGGAACATACCCGACCAGTGTGATGGAACTTCAACGAAGCATGGATCTTTTATACCCTGATTATACCTGATAAGGATCGGAAAATGATCATACAATAGCCTCACACAAATGAGCTCATTATAGCAAAAACACTTTTCGACGTGAACTAAATTGGTTAGAGCCTGTTGGAGCTGTTCTCAGCCAATCAAATCCGCCCGAAATTTGCTGCTAATAAGCTCTACTGTCAGCTTTGACCTCGTTTATTTACAGCGAACACCCCAACTCTTGTTTTTAGCATTTCTCCATGGCGCCGCCTCTATCACCACCGTCAAGTCACCGCCAACGAGGGTAACAAATCGTCCACCAGAGACTCCTGTATATTCAGAATTATTTACTGTAATTGCGGCTTCCAGTGGACGCTGTAACTTCTCGCCTCAGGGAATCTGCTGTATGCAGGACTGTGGTGATAGCATCTAAGAGGTATTTCACTGCTACCTCGAGCTTTGCCCTTGCTCCCCTACGATCCGAATCACAAAGATTGGGAGCTTTTCCATTGATACTGGCCCCAAAAAACCCATCATCATCGCGTGCGCTTGGTAGTACACTGTGCGTAACCGTGGTGTCAAACAACGGTTGTGGAGAGGATTCGTTTAGAAGGTTGGGCTTAATCGGAGTAGAAGTTTCAGCGAGCTTCCGAGCTTCCTCCTGCCAGTGCGTAGCTTGCTCCTGAAGAGCTTCACATTCAGCCTCTAGCTCCTCAAACTCGGATGTTTCGCGATTGTTCTTCAATTCTTCTAGGAGTTCGTCCATCTCCTGCTGGTGCTTCTCCACTTGTCTGAGAATTTCCTGCTGGAGCTCCTTTCCCGCCGCGGTTTCCGATATTCCCTTGGACTCTTCAACCATTTCGCGTTGTATCAGAAGTGATGTCGCGGTTTTCGCAACGAGATGTGATAAAATTGCATTTGCAGACTCTCGAGTTCGCTCGTGCCGGAATATCGCTCCGCCGCCGTCAAGAATGGGCTTGTACAACTGAGGTTTCGTCTTCAGTTCCTCTAGCCGTGCCTTTGCGACTGCTTCTTCCTCCTGATCCCATCGGGTTGTGACGATTGCCACGTTGGAGAAAGCATCCTGGCCGCATAACTTTTCAAACATGGCAAAGTTGCGTTTGGAAGCGCCTCCCATCCTGACATCAGATATACGGTGCAGATACATGATCCCGCTAAGACGTCGCCCCGCCTTGTATCTGGAACCGAGGTGGCAAATGACGTCAGGGAACTACGGTGAAAATTAGATACATGGATGTCTCACTCGGATGCAAGGAAATCAGCGATCATTTTGAGGATATCGGCGTCGCTTTTGTTCGTATCGTCGAAACCAGGAACATCGATGAGGGTGACAATGTGATTGTTGAAAGTGAAATCAATCGTCTGAATATGCTTGGTGCAAGATTCAAGCCCATTCCCAATTTTGAATCCGGAGTCGCTGATAAGATTTGTAAACTATTATCCTTCAGTGCCGACTTGTCCTCTGAGACTAAATCACTCACAGTGGTCTTCCCCGTTCCTGTTCCCCCCATAATTCTACAACATGGAGAAGCAACAATCAGTCAATGCGCAGACACTTGGGTGGATGAGCGAACAGAGTCCATACGCAATAGAGATATGATCAGAAACTTTTGCCATGGAAGGGAAGGATTGAAGTGGTGGCTGTTTGGTCTTGCAAAACCCAGGTTTTGTATCCTTGAAGCTGCCACTCGCAGATCTTCAGAGATTCTCGTGAGGCCGCCAGATAGTGGCATGCATACACGCCGAGTATCTGGATCGACGGATATGATGAGATTCAATTTATTTACCGCACCAATCATTGCAGAGATATAATATCCCATCGATCCTTGATGATAGGTATGTAAGTAAATTCGAGTAAATTCATCGCCGAAAAGAAGAGATCACAAGGAGGATGCAGACAGTACATAAACTGTACTTCCATTCAATGCCAGTCCTGTGCTAACAGCGTGAATGGAGTTGGATATTTGGTTCGAATTTCCAGGGGATATAAATTTCGGGCACGAGCGGACAGATAATCCATGATATCCATATCGGCGATTGAAGCTCGGTATGCCCTGGCATGCCTCGAAGCACCTTGATTCATGAAGTAGTTTGACAGTGGTAATAAAGACATGAAGACATGAGGACGGGAATGACTCACAAGAGCAATCAGTGAAATTGCCTGTGCGCCTAATCAGCAGCGACTTGGAGGATCCTTCGTCTTTCGTAACCCAACTCTAGCTTGAAGAATTCAACTGAGATGTCCAAACCTGTTAGCCAAAAGGACGTTGTGATGTTGTGCGTATCACAACGATACCTGATTGCTTGTGTGCTGACTATTGCGTCTAACAGATTAATAGGCAGTACTGGGACGGGAAAATCTTCTGTAAGACTAATATCCAACTGGAAAAACCGTACAGACTCACTTCAGTGAACCACTAGTTCATCAGGCTCCTCACAAACAACACTGGCGTCAAAATCGGTAATAATCTAGACTCCCAGACTAGCGACGTCCAAGTTTTCCACTTCTTTGACAAGGTCAGCAGTCGAAACATAGTACTTGTGGACACGCCGGGATTCGACGATTCACGTAACGATATAACTGACACGGCGGTCTTGAAAAAGATAGCTGAGTTCCTCCTCGACAAGTGAGTTGAGTGTCGTTTTCGTTTTCATATTTATAGAACTGATGTGATTGTAAGGTATGACGAAAAACGAAAGTTGAATGGACTCATATACCTCCATCGGATGTCAGATCCTAGGTTCGGAGGACAAGCAAGCCGCAATTTGAAGATGTTCCAAAATCTTTGCGGACCAAACGCCTATGGGAACATTGTCGTATTGACCACGTTCTGGGATCGTGTCAGCGCCGAAGAGGGATTGATGAGGGAGGAGCAGCTGAAGTCCACGTTCTTCAGCAATATCGTTGCTGGAGGTGCACGTTTTATGCGACATGACCGTACCGCCCAAAGCGCACGTGAAGTCATCGCACACATCTTGACGTTGTCGCCCACAGATGTACGGATACAAGAAGAAATACGGGTCGATGGGAAGGGTCTTGAAGAAACTGCTGCCGGTTTAGTCCACCGGGAGGAAGTGGAGCGTGTCTTGGAAAAACATAGGCAGGAAATCGCGAGCCTTGGGAAAGAGATCAGTTCAATAAAGCAGGATAATGAAACGTTGAGGAGGGAGCTGGAGGAAGAAAAAGAGGAGTTACAACAGCGTCTGGCACGATGGGAAAGTGAAAAGGCTGACCTGAAGAAAGGGCTAGACGATTCATTGAAGTCTCGAGAACGACTAGAGGACCAGTATAAATCTGTGGACAAAGTACGGAGCGCAACGTTGGAGGTTCTGCAAGTCAAACTCAAGGAGGAAAAGACGTCAAATATGGTGGTTGAACAAATGAGCGAGGAGGTAACGGTTCAAAAGGTTTACAAAAGTAATCAAGGTGGTAGGTCCATGTATTTTTGCGCATAATTCGATTTGTGACGTCTCCAAAGACCTCTTCCAGTTCACATACTCTGACAAATACCCCCCGTACATGAAGACGATTCCTGTTGACGACCGGAAGAATCCTTTACGTATATTCGATTTTGTGTCCTTTGCAGAGACCACCGCCCTCCTTTTCATTCGACCGGAATTGCTATGGTCCAAGATACGGAACCTTGCGCCAGATTTGACAATCTGCGATAGCATGCAGGCTCTTGAAGTTCATAATTTCCGCCTTCACACAGAATCAAGGAAAAGAGCAAAGTCTGATTCCAATGCTCGAGATATGTATTTCAGCAAGAATATCGGCCTTCGTAGAGATTGGTATACAGATGCAGCATTTGGCCAGCAGCAGTTTACTGGAACCAATCCTACCACGATTACCCTCGCGCCTCGTCGATGGATAGATGAGTTTACGTCGACTGCCCAGGCTCAAGGACGTGCCGATATCATAAGCCTCCTGACGGAGAAAGCGGAGAGTCTTTACATGCAGGACTATAGTGATTTCCGTTCGAGCATTGGTATATCTCCTGGAGAAAAGATAGTGTCAGATGGGCGTCATGGCTGTTCTTCTGTTGCTCTCTTCCACCTCGAACCCGAAGGAAAACTGCATCCATTGGGTATTGTTCTTGATTATAAAGGCAGCATAGAGGAGTCTGTGACCATCTTCAACCGTCGAATTACATCAAACGTCAACGGCGATGAGTACATGGATTGGCCATGGCGCTATGCCAAAATGTGCGTACAAGTCTCTGATTGGCTCCGCCACGAGGTCGCTATCCATCTCGTCAACACCCACCTCGTCGAAGAAGTGATCATTGTTGCTGCGTATCGTTCTTTTGGACCAAACCATATCATATTCCGACTGTTGGAACCTCACTGGAGCACCACTCTATCGCTGAACAAAGCGGCACGAGAGACTCTAGTGCCAAGTATCATCATTGGGATGACCGGATTGACTGCGTCTCAAACATATGCTTTCCTGAAAGCGGCGTACGACAGGTTCGACTGGAAAGGTCTTTATGTTCCCAACGACCTGCGCACACGCGGATTTCCAGTCAAGTGCCTAGACGAGCCTAAGTATCACAACTACGCCTATGCACGTAATATTTCAAAGACGTGGAATATCATACGCAAATTCGTCGCCACTGTCCTCTCGAAGGAGTATGCCGGAGGGGACGCGGCGGTACAGAGAGACGCATCCATTGGGATCTTCTGCGATGAAGTTCGTTCCCGCAAAGGAGGCCAGTTGACTAGTTTCCCGGCAATTGAAACACTGGACGAGCTAATTGACTTCGTAACCATGTGTATTCATGTCGCCGCTCCGCAACATACCGCGGTGAACTACCTGCAGCAGTATTATCAGACCTTCGTGCCCAACAAACCATCCGCTCTCCATTTCCCCATTCCTCAATTTCTGTCGGAGCTCTGTAGTTTCACTGAGGAGGATCTTTTATCGGCGCTTCCGCTCAAAAGACCCCGGGATTGGCTGCTGATGGCTCAAGTCCCGTATTTGCTCTCGTTCGAAGTGCCAGAAGAGAGCACAATTCTTCATTATGCCGAAACGACGTCAAGTTCGAGGGCGACCCCGACCGTTATTCGTTCTGCAGCGCAAGTTCTGGCAAGTGATCTCCGGGCATTTATTGATACGGTGATACAAAATAGCAACGAGCTCGACGATCAGCAAACACCGTACTTGGTATTGGATCCAAGTAGGACTGCGATATCCATTCTCATCTGAGGGATCTTCCTCTAGAATACCACCGCATAGTTCATAGTAAAATTACTGTAAAGAAACAGACGTCAATAAACCCGCAATCAGACTGGTCACTGAGGGAAAAAACTAGCCAAATAAACCAGATCAGGATATAGCCATCCGCAGCAGGCCTTAGCAGCTGAATGAATTCCTTTTTTCTTTGCCTCCAGGCTTTCATTTGACAGTTTCTCCGGTCATCTGGGCGCGCGTACAATGCATACGATCGATTAAGAAAAACATGGGTATACACTACATAGAGAACAGGTAGAATGATTAGTTTATGTTGATGGACCGGGAAGGGTGGAATAATGGGAATTACCGTGGAGCCAAGAAATACATACTTGTCCTCATGTCTGTATAGTGCTGTTTGCATAATGGTCAGAATAAGTCATTCTTGACGGCCTTTGGCTTCAACCGAATTTTTAGAATACATACTGACATTGAGAACCTTCTCAAACATCCATCTCATGTACTCTGTCAATCAGAGGGGAACATAATTCATCGCTACTGTGTTATGGTTGAAACGAGTCAGAAAACAACCTGGAATTAGGCCGTAGAAAGAGAATTTACCTGCAAGGCACAAGATTCCTTATCGGACTACACGTTGTTTCAGTGCTATGACTCTGGGGAAATCACCATGTTATTATAAATGATTACTTGAGAGCACAAACGGACGCACGGAGGCACAGAACAACTTCTTCTCCCTACTTCCTCCCTGCACCTCTGAAGAAATGGAGAACCGTAAGCCAGCTGATACTCAGGATGAGGTTGTCATTGCGTACGTACCCGCAATTTTGAACACTTGTGGCCACTGACCTGTCCCCGTATATAGATTAATGGGCAACACTGGAACGGGAAAATCATCAGTGAGAAACAACAATGGTTCGAGAATGTAGTTGAAACTTACCTTTGATGTGCACAGTTTATCCAACTTCTTACGGGAGACAAGAGCGTTCGAGTCGGCGACAGTTTGGACTCGGAGACGGATGATGTTGTGAAGATTGCTTTCACAGATCCAGTGAGCGGACGGAAGGTGGTTTTGGTTGATACGCCTGGATTCGACGATTCGCGAGATGGACGCACGGATACGGAGATCCTGCGTAAGATATCGGAGTTTATGTTGAACGAGTAAGTCTGGCCCAGTCCCACGTCCACAAAGACCGATACCTTTTCCAAGATACGACGAACATCGAAAACTGAACGGGACTATATTTTTCCACCGTATGTCTGACCCAAGATTTGGTGGACAATCTCGCCGCAGCCTCAGAATCTTCCGAGAGCTCTGCGGAGCCGCAACATTCAAAAATGTCGTCGTCCTCACTACCTTCTGGGACCGAGTCAACGAGGAGGAAGGGTTGGCGCGAGAAGAAGAGCTCAAGTCGAACTCAAACTTTTTCAAGGATCTCGTCGAGGGGGGTGCTCGGTTCATGCGGCATGATCGCGAAAACAGTGGTGCACGCGAAGTGCTGGACCATATCTTCACGCTGGTTCCTATGAATGTCCAGATTCAGGAAGAGATCCGAGTGGAGGGTAAGACGCTTGAAGAGACTGCAGCTGGGTCAGTCCATCGTGAAGAGATTGATCGTATGGTCGCCAAACACAAGAAGGAGATGGAAGACATAAACTCCGAAATTGCGACGGTGAAGAAGGGGAACGATGCATTGAGGAAGGAGCTGGAGGAGGAGCGCGCGGAATTGCAGAAGAAGATCACTCGATGGGAGGACGAAAAGATGGATTTGAAGAAAGGTCTGGATAACGAGAGCGAGCTGCGAAAACGTTTAGAGGACGAAATCAGGACGCAGCGGGAGAAGTTCGAAAAAGCACAGCAGGAGCTGCAAGCAGAACTCGAAAAGTCCAAGAAGGGACGCGATAGCGTGGCAGTGATGGAAGCGCAAAGGAAGGCTAGGGAAGCAGAGAGAGCAAAACAGGAGGCAGAAAACACCCTGCAACGGAGGATGTCCTTCAAGCATATGGGACATGAGATAGCGAGGGGTATTCCATTAGTACCCACTAGTCTCGCCAAGCCACTGTTTGGTACGATTGGTCGTGGGCTGGACATCGTCGACCGTCGCAGAAGGGGCAAATAGCATTTTTCGCTTCTTCCTCTGTACAAATATTGTACGATAAATGACCGGGAATTTCTATTGAAGGAGTCGTATGAAGCCATGACTAACATTGAGCGAATGATAGAACGCGAAATGAGTAATAATGGACTCACTATCTAATATGAAGTGCTCCCGACCACAGCAAGTTCTGTGTTCTCATAAAACCCTCTATAACCACTTGCATTGACGGCTGTGGCTTGAAGGTATAAAGATAATAAGCATTGGAAGTGCCGAATATCAAGATGGCAGGGTGATGGTAAAGAGAGCAAGTCGTTGTCGTGTAAGCGCCGAGCCAAACACGAGACAAATCTCATTAGATGAGCTTCACGGACATACATACTACTAGTATACCTACTACAAGGTCCAAGAATAATTATACAGAGACATTGAAGTTCATCCGAGGGTATAAAAGATGAAGTCCAAACTTCGAACCCGGTAATAGAAAAAAAGAGCAGTTACGCATTTTCAATTCCTTCGGCACATAATCCGCATCCTATACACTCAAGGCACGCTGAAAGCAAAGAGCCTTAGTTCGCATTTAACCGGAGAAAAGGATTACCCACCTAAACCACCACAGCAGGCACACAGATAGCATGGACAGCAAAGTGGGTTTTCAAACGAACCTAACGGAAGAGCATTTGTTATAGAATGAGGAACGCAGAGACTGTAGTGATGAACATACCTCGACAACACCATGCGCTCAAGCAGATCCCAAGTATCACCACGAGGAGAAGACCGACAAAGACGATGATGAGGTATACTAGTATTGCATGCCAAAGTGGTCGGTGATTACTTCTTCAGGCGTAGAAATATTAATACTCACATTTATTGTTCACAAAAGTTCCATTCCCATCTGTAGCACGTTTGAACAGACTTCCAGCCTCTCCGACTTCAAAAAACGCATCCAACACGCATGTAAGCGCCAGTAAACCTCCTAGCGAGACAAGAGATACGACAATGGGTAAAACGACACGTCGTAAGCGAGAGCCGTGGCATCTTTGAGCGTTGGGGCATTGGTGAGGTGATGAACAGTCGTCATCAAGTTGGTCAGGATGAAGATGGACATGCGATTCAGCATATGGAGGCGGAAGAACGAGAGAAGAATTCTTTTCAAATAAAGGAAGGTGAAAGTCGCGGTAGAGGTCCATCGTGTCTGCGGCGACGGGCTCGTTGGTTATCGACTTTGAGACTTTGACGGACATAGTGAGAGCGGGATAGAAGCGATATGAGGAAACAGTAAGCTCAGAGGTGGGTTTTATACGCTTGCAGCGAGGCGATGGTTCTGCGATGATTCGGATGGAAGTCGAAGAATGAACTAGAATGAAGTGCTGCGCGATGAAGTTAAGTCCATTTTCGGCCATACACAGCGTCTTGGCAAAGGTTCGCTTTGGCCTTCCACGTGGCTTTGCTGTGTCTTTTTTCCTCGTTGTGTCCACTGTGCCGCAGTATGCCACTACATACCGCGTTTTCTGTTCATAATGCTATGTTTTACAGCTCTTTAATTTAATCACAGTTGCCTCAGTGTCCGCGGCCGGACAATCAAGTTGGGCGCTTCTGGGCGGAAACTAGTGCTCAAGAGACACTCGAGCAGATCGCTAGTAACTACGTCCATCCCTTGCAAAATCGTGATGTCCGAAGCTTGGGAATATATACCCTCTCTCAAGTATAATCCTGCTCATTCAACAATTTCACTTCAAGAAATGTTCCAAAGCCATGATACGATCTATTAATCGAGCAATTTCGGTCCTTTCAGTCTTTTTAGGTCGTCTTTGGTGAGTCGTCGCTCTTTCTTTTTGGATGACGTTTGACCAACGTTTATTCACGTAGTCCATGCTATACTTCGATGTCAATGGATTGGGTTGTCGATTGTTACTCTACCATGGAACGGAAACATACGACGACATACGGCTAGGTGCCTCTCTGGCTTGGAGAAGGCTACGGCATTCATGCCCTTCAGAGTACGAGGTTCAACCTTGTTTGGTGAGTCTCAGCGTCATCTCTGATTGCTTTCATCTTACGCTCACCGCAAGGACCAGGCGTATGTAAGAATCTATTCCGAAACAACCATCCTCGTACGCGGTAGGAACGATGCAGTACGTTGACTTCTTGTTCATTCAAGTCCTTGCTAAGGTATTTCTACCGAACGCAGTTCTAGTCTATTACTAATATTAGTTCGACTCTGAACCTGCTGGCAGTTCGCTCGACTGAGCGGGAGTTTCCCACTCTACCGCCCGGTTAAGCTCCATCCACTTCATGTAGTCTTCGGAGAGAAACGGTGGTACACGCATCCCGTTCACGCCCCAGAGTGCAGGCTAGAAGTGTGGCGGAGTAAGCGTAGAAGTGAGAGAGGAGTGAAAGTGTTAGTGTGGAATCTTCTGCTGTATCCTGGGGGAAACTCACGTCATCGTTAGTCATCTGTAATTCCCAACCAATCCCTTTCCCTTTCGTAAACGGTTCCAAAGCCTTCTCGTATCCTTCTATCCAGGGACGTCTGCAGGAAGACATCGGGTGTTAGGACGCTCTAAACACGAAACAACGTACCCTTGTACCGGATCCGCTGAGTGCTGCACATTAATCCTCAAATATCTATCATTCGGCTCGCCTCCTACATAGAAACTATCCTTATCGACGTCAATGAAGCTGACTAGAACAAGGAATGGAGGCAATTTGGCGTAGTATTTAGTGATCGTTTGTGCGATCGCCTGTTTTTCTTCTCTTGTGTAAAGGTTTGGGGAGCAGTAGAAGCGGTGGAAAGGCATCCTGAAATGAACTGGTTATAGGAAACGCGATAACACCGATGAAATCGAGCCTCACGTTAATACAAGGGGTACGAAAGGACGAGGATGTTCAATGCTTGGGCTACTGGGTTTTGTTTTTGGAGGTGGATAAAGGAAGATGCGATGGTACGATCTCTCGCTTTATATAACAGCTATCATGCTTGGACTCATAAGCATGTTTCAAAAATAGTGGTGGTATTACGGTGCTCAAGCTGAATTTTCAATGAAACTATTTCAAGCCACTGAATAACTTTGTTCGACTGGGTCCGATATACTGCCAAGTTTTGACAAGGAAGTTTCGGCGTTATCACCGACCTTGGTAAGTTATCATTGGATCTCCTCTGACGCTGATTACTGATTCTTACTCAGACTGGATCATACCTTCTGGATCGTCATAATTGGCTAAAGAGACATACATTCCATACCGAATTCATGATATCATTCAAACTATTGATACTTGGCGTGCAACCAAGAGGAAAGACGAGCTCCCTGAGTATTGCACTGTATCGTTAAACCAAAGATCAGCCCAAGTGTATGGCACATAAGACTCTTTGTATAAATCTCGCGTACACTGAGTATGGATGTGAAAAAGCGTTTGAAGTTCGGTCGAGCATCACCTCACTTACCGACTCTTATCGTCAGCGATGCTCCTTTATCGCCGCCGTCAAGTCATTGCTCGCTCTTATAACTTTAATCGGTTTACCCATTTTCGTCGTTTCTCGATAGTTGCGGTTGCCAAAATGATGGATACAAATGTTGAAAGACACACCTACCTACTCGTGATCGACCTTCAGCTCTTGTGTTACACAACCCTCTCGTACGGAACATCCATTAATAATCTGAAAATAATCAGTTGTCAAAAGGCTACTGGAGGTGAACACTCCTCATATGTACAAGAAAGAGCCTATAGCTTTCTGAGCCTGTTGGTCAAAATGAAAATTGCATCAAGAGAGTCACAAGCCGAACTACATAATGTGGCGGCGGCATTCTATTTCAAGCAGCTGATCAGAGGGAGTTTGAGAGATGAATTGAAGCAAACCATTCCTGAACATAATTTTGGAAAGTTCCTACACACATCTGCAATTCTCGTATTCCTCAATGGAATGAACAGCTGTACAGGGTACAATATTAATATGGTACATACTGCCCCGGTAACACCATGTGGCGTCGAACCGCGACCCCAAAATCTGAGGTAACAAAAGCTAGGTGAAGTTCCGAGCGATTCGAGTCTTTCGGATTTCCTTTTTGTCAATGACTTGAGATGAAAGGGATGTATAAGGTCTACAACGTCGAGTGATCTGAGGGTCATACTATACCGTAACATCACTGGAACGGAGCAAGCACTTCAGGTTGTGGTAGGTAACCCAATCGCAGGAAGTAATGGAAGAAGCCTAAGAAGCTGCAACCACCGGTCTGTGTACGTAGTATGAAGAGATGTGAGGACTTCTCCACTGGCGTTTTCGGAGGAACCACGACGACAGGCTGTGTTCCAGCTGCTGCCTGCTGTATTGTGGAAACGCGCTTATAGATTATGTAGAGTCATCACAACAGAAGTAAAGCTAAAATAACATTTCAGCCGGGTATAAAAGGGGACAGAGAACGATCGAAGTTTCCTCACTCCATCGAGTTCAACCCATTCTCACAAAGCTACCAACCATTTCGATTTTTTTCTTGTTGCCACAATGTCCACCGTACGTCGTTTTCTCCTCCTGCTAGCGCCGCCCAACGCTGACGATCTGTTCTGTTCATTACTACAGACCACTCAAACTCTCATCTCCCAGGCCAACTGTGGCAGTAGCAGTTGTGGCTGCACCGCTTCGTTAGTCTTATGTGTTGCAATATAAGACATATATTCTGACTTACCATGTTTCCCGATAGCTGCGGATGCAAGCCAGGTGGATGCAAGTGCTGAAAGCATCACCAGCTAGTCAGTGTACTCGTTTTGCACCACTCCATGGTCATTGTGAATTCAGAACCGGGAGAGTGCACGCGTCGAAATCATTGCCAAGTAGGCTTGTCTTGCAGAGCTGTTCTATCGCATTGTCACTGTTGTCTACGGAATATTAGAAATGGACATGTTCCCATAAGCATCTGCAATTAACAAATACGAACGATAAGATAGAGCAGTGAGGGCATAGATCTGGTGTCAGAACTGCAGAGGACTCAACGTCAATGAGTGTGCCTTCGCGATTAGCCAGAGCAAATCTCAGTCGGTGTATGCGATGTCAATGATTCAAGCACCGTTGAACAAAAGGCCCGGGCGGTTGTTAATGATATGTTGATCATCGAAGACTGAAGTTCAAGACAGGAAATAAGTCGTTCCACGTGACCGAGTCTACCCTCTCTCCGTTTACTTTCACGAACAAAATTAGAGCTTACTGTATTAGCAACGCACGGCAGTACTTTTCTTGGACGGAAAAACAAAAACGCTAAGCATTTACTCGTTAATTCAATGGCTGGAGCTCTCCCAATTCATTTTCCAGTGAGTGGAGCCACTCACTTTGCTAGAGGATCGGGGATCTTTTCAACGTCGAATGACTTTGCCATGGACTGCTAATAAGCTCTATTGTATATCTTTGTGGACCGACGGCGGGCCAGTCAGGCTATGCCGAGGTTTAAACATAATGTTTGGCATGAACTACTTGGCTGCCCAGCCACAAATGCTATCTGACAATACTTTCTGTGGTAGGCTACTGTTCTGCCTTCGAACCCGTCTCGTCAGCGGAGTGTTTCCATGCGACTGGCCTGTTGAGCTTTTTCCACGTCATAAAATCTTCAGAGAGGAACGGCGGTACACTCAAGCCATTCACGCTCCAAAGCAAAGGCTACAAGCGTACGCGGAAAGGAGTAGAAAGTAAGTTGTTGCAATTGCACGTCACAGACGAAACTCACATCTTCATTGGACATCTGCAATTCATAGTCGATGCCTTTGCCTTTGGTGAACGGTTCTATGGCCTTTTCCCATGATTCTACCCAGGCGCGACTTTGATAAAACGTGGATCATCAGTGCATCGTTCCGACCTGTTGAAGCGAATGCAAACGTACTCCGGTACTGGGTTAGCGGATTGCGTCACATTGATCCTCAAATACTTATCATTCGGCTCGCCACTGACATAGAAATTGTCTTTCTCTACATCAATGAAGTTCACGATGACAAGGAATGGAGGCAGGAAGGAGTAGAACTTGGTAACAGCTTGAGCGATAGCACGCTTTTCCTCCGTGGTGTAAAGGTTGGGCGAACAATAAAATCGGTGGAAAGGCATTCTATGAAAACAGTTATAAGTGATCCAATAACCGTGATCTTAGAGCTCACAGGGTCAAGTGCAAAGGTATTTGTGACTAGTTTAACTGGATTGGGCTTCTGGGATGGAATGAGAGAGGGAACCACTTCATGCTCTCTTACTTATAACATACCGCGCGCGCTAGGATTGCTAATAAACGGTTCCGATATTTCGGCTCACAGGGAGTCAACAAGCCTGGAGGAGCGACTCATGCTGCGTGGTGAATGCTCCGGATTCGGTGTTCCTGCCTATGGACCGACCATGTTTCAAATTCTAATGTCTTACTTCAATACGATTTCTCATTACCTCGGTGTGCGTATCAGTATCAGTAATATCTTCTCTAAGTCTAGTTTGGATGTTAGATCATTGATTTATCAGATAGTCATTCTACCGACTACCGTCTTACCAATAGTATTACTGTTGAAGTCCAATCCGAGTTGTGGACCTCACACCAGCAAATCGGGAATCAGGGAAAGAAGAGTCTATTTATTATTGTGGAATCCGTGAACAAAATGGGTGGCGTCTGTTATTAGCAAGGCAGCATTTTAAGGTGTCAGTGTAGCTCGAGGTAAAAGCTCTAGCTATCAAGTTGACGAAGGAATCAGGAAGAACGAAGCCGCAAGATTTTTGCAACAACGAAAAACCTACTAGGAAAGACTAAGAAGCTAGTACATTACCGTAGGTAGGAGCATGTTTAATGTTGACTTAGCATACTAGTAAACAAAAATCCACGATCTTAAAAATGTTCATTGAAGGTCAACCTTGATCTTTTTTTCCTGCGTATCCTAAAACTTATCATCTCTTATCATCTCTTATCATCCAGGAGTTCATCGCGGTCACGTGAGGCATTTCTCATCAAACTTACCATTTCCACGTGTGGCACTATTCTTCGTACCAAAGGGTGACATGAGCGCGTTTTCTTTTACTCTCACTTTCGGCTCTTGTCCTCGTCGAAAACCTCTTTGCCCTTGATTAATCTTCGCAGCCAGTTCTATGCTGGTAATCTTGTTACCTCTATTATGGCTGCTGACTTCGCTGTCGATTCCGTCCAATTTGAAAGGCAAAAATCGCAGTCAAAATATCCTACGTCGGTGGCGGGCGACTCTTCCACACCTTCTGCACTCTATTACACAGTCTCCAAGCTTTCTCGAACCTCTAAACAGCTTTTTGCAGGCTCTTTTCCCGCAGACGAGAATCCACAATATTCGACCCATTCCGGAGACATACAGGCTGTTGTGACTGACGGCGATGAAGTTCGGCGCCTGACGAACAAGAGACGAGCACAGGGTGATGCTCTTCTGTCATTCATTGATGGTTCCCTGGAGGGGTACGGTGGTAGAGGTGGAACTAAGTTTCATTCGCATGTTTTGAAGTCAAAAACAACCAGCCAGTACGTTCTTCTAAGTCCACTCATTGAGCTGTCTCTTGTTAAGAACTTCAGTAGCAAGACCCCGAAGTTCTCGTTGAAGCCGGCTATCTTTTCTCCAGCTTCCTCAAACGTTCCAATCGCAGGCAATCAGAATCATGATGATGATTGCAGCGAAAGTTCACAATCCTCTGATTCGGAAAACGAATATCATTCCTCCTCAAAGTTGCGGCGCTCAAGCTCTGCTTCCTTGATGTATGAAGATCGTGCTGAACCTCTGTCGGCAGTGCGCCCACAGACTTTCATGGATGCCCATTTAGCTCGTTTGGACCTCGACGCACCGAGTACCCAGATCTCCCCATTTGAGTCCTCCGATTCCAACTCTTCGGACTCGCGTCCATCTTCTCTCGGCGTACCTCAGCTACTTCTGGAAGCTCACACATATCCATCTCATCGTACTTCCTCTAACAACTGGACATCTGGACCGTCTCACGACGGTTACGATCTTTCGAGATCGAGCGCTATCGTTCGCTTGCCTGTTTCTTTTGGTCGTGACCTGTCTCGCAGGAGTGGCCAAGCTTCGCACCTTGAATTACTTGCCCCAGGAACTTCGATCCTTAATCCACGTCAACCATCACCATACACGTCGGGTTCGCTACCAGACACCGCACCAGCAGCTCATACGTCGAATATGTCGCTCTCTTTTGCTAGTGCTGGTACCGACATCGGAAATTCCATGCCTTCCGGAATACAAACTCGATTAGGATTTTCCGTTGACGGAATCGAAAGTTGGGTGGATACTTCTCCTCCGCCGTCAACGCAGTCACTGGAGATGCCGGCCATAGATCCACATACTTCCTCCCCACCTCCCCAGTGGGAACCCCCAACCACATTGAGTTCATCTATGGTGAATGCTTTGACAAATATGGCACCTCCTGGTGATGATCCTGTTCACAAACGGCATGGAATGGCATCTCCTCGATCTCCTACTGAGGACCTCTCCCTGACTTCTCCTGTAACGGCGCCTGCATATTCGTCTTCGTGCTCATCTCTTCCGCCTCCACCATGGGCCAATGGTCCTCCACAGCCTCCGCCATCGCCATCTCATTCGCCGGGCACTGCCAAGAAGCGGAAACGGACGACGGTCGAAACTCACCAGAATCAACGTGTCGCTCGAACGCGCTCTCCGACTGCCGCCCGTACTGTTCTCGAATCTGTTGTCGCAGACGGTACATCTGGTATGGATAACCTCACTACCTCGAGCAGACCTGTGATCATGTATCGTTTGAGGACCGCAGACATGGAAAATGGGATGATCAACGTGGTTTTGAAAGAGGATTATATGGCGAACTTCCTACAGAACAAGGCGTATCTGGTAGAAGAGAAAGTGAAGAAAAAGGAGAAGGACAGGGAGAGGAGGATGGGAAAGAAGGTGGAGGAAATTAAGGAAACATCATTGGACCCCGATAGGGGTCGAGGAACTGTTCGAGCGATATATACCAGTTTTGGATCCGTTGCTACAGCCACTCAACCTCCTTCGCTCCCCGCTTCCTCGGACACATCCCACGTCCCTGAACAAGAAACTCAACCATTGACCAAAGCTGAACTTCGTAAATCAACCAAAGCTGAGCTTCGTAGATTGGCCAATGCTCGGAAGGCAGAACTCAAGCAGGAAAAGCATCGACAAAAGATACGCGAACTGGAGGAGAAAGTTAAGGCAGCCGAAGAATACAAAAGGCAATTGGAACGACAAAGAGCAAGCGTTCGACCGACCAAAGTGCAGAGGCGCACGGGAAAGGTAGAAGAACGGGAGAAAGCAAAGAAGGAAAAGATTATGAAGGAACAAAGGACCCACGAAGCGGAAAAAACAGAAAGGTTGCAAAGAGAGCAGGAGATGCAGGAGCTGCTTGCATTGAAGGAGAGGCTGTTTGAGGCGAGGGCTCTTCGGAAGCATGGAGAAGAGGGCTCCGCGCTCAATCGTCTTGCGGATAATCCTACTCCAGCATCGGAAGTTATTACGACGCCTACCGAGACGGATGCTCTGGGGACTTCCGAGACCGTCAATGGGCATCCTTTCCATCGGCAATTACACACCTCCGCTTCCAATTTCACCCAACATGGAACATTGACACCGCAGTCGGCGATACCAAACCAATCAGTAGATACACAATATCGCAGCTGGGAACAGGAGCAATCAAGAGAGCAAGTGATTCATGGGGAGCGAATTGCCAAAGAGCAGGGAACGGCAACGGTACCAGGTGCTGATAGTAAACCAGCTCCAGCAACGTCCTGGAACCATACCGCTGTCACTCTACCGGGTCCAGCAGAGGATATTGTTCGTCAGGTGAATGATCTGTTCAAATTATTATACTTGTGACTACCACTGACAGGCTACGTTTTTTCGATTACTTGTGGTTTTTTTTTGATTTTCGATTTTACGGGAACTTCCTTTTGTTTTCACGCAGCAATTCGCGTTGCTCTCTGCTTTAGGAATGTATTCTGCCGATGCAACATGGGAAATCAAAGAGCTCGGAGGAGACGTAGAAAACATGTAGCACGTACAGTAATCTGATTGACTGCTTTGTCTTCAACGGTAGTTTTGTACCGGAGATACATCTCGGTATATTATCTCGACCTACTTGTATTTTAAACCCCACTATTATCAAGGGTCGTACGGAGCACATACATAGTGAAAATTTTTATCGGATGGTGACCATGTTTCGACCTCCTTCTCCTCTCCCCTCATGATCACCCAAATTCCACTTGTTATGAGTTTGTCCTGGACCTCAAGCTAGCAAGGCTCATATACAGAGCTCTCGGGGTATCCAAATAAGGCCCTTCAATGAATGCTTATAAGTAATAAAGCTTCTTGTATGTAATTCGCTTCATCACTAAATTGGGTGACTTCGACCTTTTTCTACGATTCTTCCTTCCATTCTCTACATTGTATTCAGCGTAGATTTAAAAACCACCAATCTAGCCTTGAAACAAGTGGTCGAAATAATCCGATGGAACTTTGGGATAAACAGGACTTCTCTTCCTTCTCTTCCCCCTTAGGACGTACCATTTCTCCAAAAGACGGTCAAGTTGATATCGTTACCGCCAATGTAGCTATACAGGGTGGAAAAAACGAGGGCTTCAATGGCTCAGTTTCGTCTGGCCTAAGTCTGGCAACGTTTACTGAACAAAAGTGTGTTTTTCTACATCCCCGAGTCACTCCACAAAACGCTAATGCACTTTGTGCGCTTAGTTCATCCAATATGGAGACGTCTGTAACGGAAAATTTGATCCTGGATTGCGTATCTCAACAAGGCGATGGAGAGGATATGAATTTCGGTCAGTGTATTATTGCTTTAACTTCTTTTTTCGTCGAAGAGTCATTCCAAAAATTTACACTCGCTCCAGTTCTTGTGCAGAGCTCTAACGCTTGTGAGGAAACTCGGGTCGTGAAATCCCCCGAACCAGTGCAATACAACTCCCCCAGCAGTACGGCAAATCCTGGGGCCCAATCTATGTCTTTGTCTCAGGCTTCTACACCTACGAAAATTCATCAGCCTCGGCCCCTCTATTTCACTTCGGACATGTTTCCTAGAACCTCTCTGTTATCTCCCTTTGTTCCTCCATTACCTTTGAAAACGAAGTCGGTGGACTCTCCATCCGCTGAAAATCCTTCATTTATCTCCAACACCGATTATCTGCCACCCTTCCGGAAGCAGAGATCTCTTCCAACCACGATCACTTCTGCGATGGACAAGGCGAAATCTTCCGGAACTAAATGTATACCAATGCCAAGAGTGGCTTCGTTCCCTGCATGCCAAGAATCTGTGGTCATAGGAAGGTCTAGAGCTGATAGCATTGTATCTGACCTTCGGTATGTCACTCCGCGCCTTGTTCCGTATATCCCCTCCATGCCCTGACCATCTTCTATCAGAAGCGCGTCAGGTGCTACAAGATTTCGAGTTGGCCGTAGAACGTTCGCCTCTGGTAGCACCACGTCTCCTACACAGAAAATCTCCGCGTCGTCGTTGTCAACCCCTCCGCCGAACATTAGTAGGTTACGTCAAATGTCGGTTCGGAACCTGACGTCTCAAATGCATCTTCAATACCACCCTTATCCGAAACCAAGACCGCATTTCCATCCACAGGCGTATTCATCTCAGCCTACTAGCGCTATATTTTGTTCAGAAATTCTCGAAATCAATGGAACCCTTCACGGTCGAAATACACCTAGAAATGATTTCGAGAGAATTGACCCCTCTGGGACGGACGTCCGAATCAATAATGTTCTCAATCATGGCCAGAGACCTTTGCATCCCCGGTATAGGTCGACTGCGACGAATTTGAATCAATACATCAGTGAAGACATGTTTGTTGAAGCGGCTACTAATCGGTGCAAACCTTGGAAAGCAATGGAAACTCGTTTTCCGGTTGAAGCCTCGAACTGTGATGCGTACGCTTCTGGGTTCGGACGGGATCGTCATTCTGTGGCTACAGCTCCGGCGACCATGAGTACATCCGTGTTCCCCTTGGAAAATTACACCACAGGCCCAGAGTTCTCCCAACACTTTTGTTTCCGAAATATACTAAGCTCTTGATTTACTTGTCTAGTTTGAAAGATACTATTTATTCAATTTGAATTTCAACAGTCTCGCGTCCTCCAGAGCTCGTCGCGACGATGTGACCTAGTCTCAAATTTCCAGACGCTCTTACGAGAGTTCGAGTAAGACACGCAGCAACCAGACTCACTGCAGGCTGCAGGGGACAGTTCAAAAACACTTGAAGTGAAGAATTTGAAAATAGTGTAGCAAAGCGAGAAAAAATGTGTCAGAAAGGACCGTGAACGAACTTGAATAGAACAATATGTACAATAAGATGGTTTCATCCGGCTAATGGCATCCTCAGAAGCGCCTTCATCTCGGTATACATCCCCTCCCATTTGACATCACCCCATGCCACTATATTCAGCTTCTTTAAATCCTCTATTATCTCATTGAGACTATCAAGCTTCCCTACGATGCCTTCCTTTTGAATTGCATAGTACCTGTTGAACGCTTCGGTTTTCTGCTCCTCTGATTTGAACTGAGCAACTCCTAGATAAATACCCTGCTGGGATGGTTCGATTGTTTCCATCTTCCAATTCAACGTCGTGCTCGCCGCCAGAATGTATGGTCGAGGTTTGAAGACGTGATTACGGCCAAGGGATATGGTCCAGATTTCATTCGCACTGTACTCTTGCTTATCGGAACGGACTGGTCCATATATGACTGTGCCATTGGGCAGTGCTCTAGGGAGCCTGCGACCAACTTTAATGTATAGGTCCAGAGGACCTACACAAGATGGTTAGCATCAATGTACGTTGATAGGATAGGAAGTAGAATATTTACTATCACGTTGTAAAATCTGGACCGACGTTGTATTTAAGGTGAGACTGGTATTTCCGGGGTTTAAAGGAGCAGCTAATACTCCGAAGAAGGACGAAACGAGGAGGAGCAAAGAGATCAAGCGCGACGTGAGCAACGGATAAGGGTCCATAACAGGGTTTTTTCGAATAGTAAGCAGGAATTGATGATGAGGTAGATGTAAATAGAGCGCTCTCTAAAAACCCATTCATGAGAAGACAATAGTTGAAACTCGATAGAGACGTACCAGATAGATTTGGCCAGCAAATCTACAAGCGGAGTAAATGTTGAATTTTAAGACTATACGTAGAAGATTAGCGGACTGAAAACGACGGACTCTGGTACGCACCAAATCAGCAGTGAGGGTTTGAAACTGGTTGAAATCTGAGTTTGATTTGCTGCTAGTTTCTAAGCTGTGCGGTAGGTTCCGACGGGTTTCGAGTTGAGGCCTTGAAGGGCCTTTCAATTTCGCCTATTCCTTCCTTCCCCTTTTCCAGCCTTTTCCTTCACCTTGGGCCCTGCCTATGCAAGCGGCAGTGCGCTCTACCTTTAACCCAGAGCCACTGGCAATCAATAAAGTCAAAGCTTGCCATCGGTATCACCAAGTCTCCTGATCTCTCCCACTTTTCGTATTCTGAAGAGATTAGTCTTGCTCACCGAGCCCCCCAAGCTTTGTTTCATGATCAACTTTCAAGGACAACGAGCGACTGGACGTTCACGTGAAATAAGGCGCTTATTTAATATTACTCTTCTTTCATCTCCACGGAGCCACGGAGCAACGGAGGCGGGAAGGATGGCAGCAAAGTCGATGCATTCGGCCGTGTGTGGGTCATGGGCATACCTATCTCATTCGAACCTTGAACCTGCGTTAGCTCTGGTTCGATTCCAGTTTCTAGACAACATTCAGATCTTTCATTGACTCTACTTTCTATTATTTTAGTCGTTGTGAGTGCGATGGGTATACCAGAAGACACCCCCATGAGGACATTTACATATTCCACCGGGTCTTCGGTTAACAATGCTCTCGTCGAGCTCGAGGGGCCCACAGTGCTCAACGAAGAAAAACCTCAGAGACGGAATCCTTATCCGTCTACACACTCTGCACCGATGGCCCAACATCATCCGGACATAGAGGAGATTTTATGCCGTTCTTATTTTTTTCCATTTCCTCTTCAGGGCGGTTCATCATCGTCTGATCTATCCTCCTCCTCCTACTCCTTCAACTTTTCCCATCCAGAGAGGATTTACCATACTGGTTCTGCTTTCACGTCTTCCAATCTCTCTCATGACACTCGCCCTACAACTTCTATTTCTTGGCAAGAGATCATAGAGAACAACCACCTTTCCAGACTTGCTCACCACAACTTCGCACAACCATTCAGAAACACTCACTCACACTCGCATTCCCGAGACCATCGAATCCTCTGAGACTATCCATTCAAAGACATGCCACGACCCATGGATGGTTCCATGATATGCGTAAAGAAACCCTTTTCAAAAGACAACGCTCGAGAAGCATCACACGATAGAGATGTGAATGGAGGGTATAGCACTGAAGAGGATTGAAGGTGTCTCAAGAGGAGATCGAGGGCATACAAATATGATCTACAATTATAGTTTTGCAACGTTGCCAGGTCACTTGTTAATCAGAAGTAATGAATTTGCTAGTATAGAGACAGAGAATATAGACTAGATCCTCTAGTAAATATGCTTGGTTTGATCAACTCCCGAGTGTCGTTTTTTGAGAAATGTTCAATGCGTCGACATAGAAAAAGAAAGAAAAGAAAACAAGGGCAAAGCTAGTTGTACGGTATACCAAATATGGAATCATAATGCTGACAAAGGTGCCGATTAGATTTTCCTTTTCGCCAACATGCTTCTTCTCAGTTTCTTCAACCCGGTCTCAAACTCAAACCTTGCTGCGTCAAAGTGGCTCTGAGGGGTTGTACATTGAACGTTGGACATCTCGTAGTTCAAGTCTGGTGCAAGGTATGTTAACTACGCAATTATCTTAGTACTTTCCATTGTAACAGATTGTAACTTCATAACAGAAATGGCAGTCGAAGATGCACCTTGCCTCAATTGCCTATTAGCACCAATCGATTTAAAGGACCAAAGCAAAGGGCCGACAAACCGGGAAAACTCGTGTGGAGTGAGCAGCAGTCGTGACCATCGCGGCGTCGCAAATAATGCCCGAATTTTCTCACCTGCTTCAACCCCGCCTCACCCCGAAACCGATAGCTGGCTTCCTAGCCTAGTCCTTCCACGTGGCGGTATTGTCCTTGCTCGCCGGCATAATGACCAGGCCATGCAAAAAGCCGCGACATGTTAAGCAGGATTCGAAAGGTGTGGCAGCAAGTTCATCTTGCCGCTGATAATTCCATCTGGGGCTCATATCATGCCGTCATGCAGTAATTGGTTCATAGCTATCGATGGTCCAGTAGTAGTGAGTACTAATTCATAATAGTTCGCTGTCTGTATACTCATTTATTTGCATGTAGATTAATAACGCCCCGGAATTGTTCTCCGAGTCGTTTTCAAAGAGATACCTTGTTATTTTGGTTTAAATATAGCTATGGTAATCGCTCATCCGACGCGAGATGGTGCACTGTTGAGGACCGCCTACTGTGCAGATGCAACAGGTGATCCAAGATGCAATCCCGAAAGGTAAATACAATAAAAAGAATTCCAAAAAAGTTCAACGATGACCTCGAGGGCTCTCATCGCGTCTCAAATAATCTCACACTCGGAGGTCCTCATTTGAATTTGATGAACCTCAAATTTCGAAATATCAATATTCAGGTGGCGTAGGTAGCTTACTAAGGTTGGTCCGTTCGCCTCCATCGTCCACGGACATCGAGCAGAATCTGACTAAGGGTTTCTAAGGGTCTCGAAAATCGCATAATTCTTGTATGCGTTCTGCTATATCCTCATCGATGACGTCTATAGTGGTAATATATAAAGCTTAGAGTTTGGACGTGGTCTTCACTATCCATCTGTCTCAATCAAGAAATTTCCTTCCGGATATGTCTGGAACTCGTGTACACACTATCAACGTCAATGGAGTGGAAATTTTCTATCGCGAAGCGGGAAAGGCAAATGCACCCGTTGTGCTGCTGCTTCACGGTTTCCCGTCCTCGTCCTTTCAGTATCGGAACTTGATCACTAAATTGGAAGGAAAGTACCGTGTTATTGTACGTCGCATTTCTATTATCCATGTAGGGGTTAACCTTTACACAACCAACCACAGGCGCCTGATCTTCCTGGTTTCGGTTTTACCAGTATGTAATTTGTCGAGCGAATCTTGATTGGGAGGTTGATTGTACCACGAACTTGTGATAAACAGAGGTTCCCGATGCTCTCAAGTACCTGTACACGTTTGACAACATTGCAAAAACGATTGAGGCATTTGTCGATGTCTTGAACTTGAAAAAATATGCTATATACATCTTCGATTACGGTGCACCGACGGGATTGAGGTACGACTTTTCTGATTTCAACCGCTGTCCTCTATATCAATTGCTAAATCATACACTTTTAGATTAGCTCTCTCCCGTCCTTCTGCTATAACAGCAATCATTTCACAGAATGGAAACGCTTTTGAAGTTGGCTTAGGCGAGTTTTGGAACGGCATTCGTAAATACTGGAATGATCCTACCCCGGATAACCGTAAATCTCTTGTGTGGCTAACCAAGTTCGAGGCAACGAAATTCCAGGTTTGATTCCATTTCGTTCATCTATACACCACTTTGTCACCCTAATCTGTTGAACAGTATGAAGCGGGAGAAGCCCATCCCGAAACCATCCCACCAGAGACCTATCATCTTGATCAAGCTTTGATGGATCGTCCAGGAAACGCAGACATACAGTTGGATCTGCAACTCGATTGTGCGTTGCATCACTGTGTACGTAGAAAATATACCTATTTACCTCCTTTTTTGTCAAGATCAAACAAATGTGGCGCTTTACCCTGCCTTCCACGATTATTTCCGCAACTATCAGCCTCCTTTGCTTGCCATTTGGGGAGCGAACGATGGCATTTTCATACCTGCAGGGGCCGAAGCATTCAAGACTGTTCTCCCTAATGCCCAGATACACTTTGTTGATGGAGGCCATTTTGCATTGGAAAACCACTTGGACGAGATTTCAGGCCATATTATCAGCTTCTTGGAGAGGATAGGATAGGATAGGATATGAATTATACTGGCGAGGTCCGATTCCCGAACAACCAGTTTACCATATACTGTACAATATTACATAATGTTGTACAATAATGGAACACACATATCTAATACAGGGGGGCGATTATGATCATTCATGTCCTGGTTATTGAGGGGAAAAGCGGAAAAAAACCCCTCCCATGGTATCATGAATTACACGGTCTTCCCTGCCTCAATATGCATGCAGTGTGTCACTCCAGCTGATATATTTCAACCTCATTGACCTGCAAGAGACCCCCAGCCCCCTCTAAAAATCCTCCCCAATACCCCGGAGCTTCAATCCTTCCTGCTCACTCGGTGAGTTTTTATAGCCAGCACTCCACTCCCGTGTAAATGCATCCCTATCATGATATGACCGGAATGTCATGACCAAGACCCCAAACCGGTATTCATCTCTCCTCACATCCCTGGGAATGACACTCCTTGGGACAGATTTTGCAATGAGCGCAATCTGATCACCCATGCCGGCTGTGGCATATTGCCCTCGAAACACCCCAATAGCCAACTTCAGCTCCTGCTTATCCCTTGCTGGGGCAGTTGGTGCAAAGGCGGGTGGTCGGGCAAGACGTGGCAGCGGCACCCCATACCCTTGATTCTGCTGATCATGCTGATAATTCCCACGAGTGTGAGAATCGTTCCGTCGATAGTCGTTGTGACCACTCCCTCGGTTGTCAGTGCTCCATTCATTACCCCTGCTGCCCATATCGTGTACTGACTCTGCACTGTTCCCACGCGGGAACTTCCCACTATGGCCTTCATCCGTCATTTCGTCCTCCCCCAACCTCTTTCTCTGTGCCCCATACCCCATGACTTCCCTTGCCCTTTCCGACATCCTCTCCACCTGTGCCTCCTCTTCTTGCCTCTTCTCTTGCGCCACCCTTTCCACCCTTTGCTCGAGGTCCCTGTTCTTGCCTTCCAGCTCTCGGTTCTGCCTCTCCAGGACCTCTATTCTCGCCATCAGATCCTTTACAACATCCTCCACCTTTGCCGTGTATGCCTCCGCTTTTTTCTTCTGCTCATTACACCTACTTTCCGTTTCCTGCCTCAGCCGTCCCTGGATCTCTTTTAAACTCTCCTTTGTAGCAGCAGTCACTCGCTGGATCTCGCCCTTCAACTCTGCACGCACTGCTCTGCCATCATCCCTTGCCTCCTTGCTGACAACCTTCACATCGTTCTTCACAATCCCCCGCAAGGCCCTCATCTCCCCCTGGATTCCACTGCATGTCCCAGCCATGTCCTCCTTTACTCCCTTCAGTGCTACCGCTAGCCTTCCGTCAATCTCGCTTCCAGTCAGCATCTTCAATGCAACCTTTTCCACATTCTGCACCCTGCTCTTGAGCAGCACCAGCTCCGGTCGTAGAACAAACTCCCCTGCTTTTTCACTGCCAGCCTGGCCCTTTTCTACTCTTGCCACTCGCTCCTCTAGCTTGCTGAGATCTTGACGCAGAGTTGATGTCTCATCCCGGAACGCATTCCGCATCTCCATCTGCCATCCCCCAACAGCGATAGCAGTTTTCTTCAGTTTGCTTGCCACCTGGACAACCTTCGAGACAGAACTCATGTCCAAATTGATACCGTACTCCTTCTCCACACGCGCTTCCATTGTCGCATTACCTAGTGAGTCCACAATAACGTCCGGCGCCTCCGACATAGGAGAGAGAAGCAAAGATGTTGCTAACGGTTCGTCCCCTGACTCATCGTGGTCCATTGTTGCTGCTGACAATGTTGAGGCAAGGGTCCTGGCTGCCGGAGAGGCGGTCGATCCACGTGTCCGCGGTTTTTGCTTCGCGTCCGATGGGCCCTTCTCCCCGCCAACTTCCGACTTTCGCACTGTTTTTGCCCTCGCTTTTGGCGCAGCCTGCCCCCCAGCCTTTTTCTTCGTCTTTTTCGGCGACTCCACCACAGTCCCAGCAGTGTCCGCGGACCCGTTGAAGCTCTCGCCGTCCCTTCTGCTATCTTCAACACTCGGGCCTGTGTCTTGTTCGTGACCACCGTCCTTCACCAAGCCTTCTCCCACTGTCTTCGTCCCAGGTGTAGCCCTCCTATCGTCAGTCTCCTCACTTCCAGCAAGACCCTGCCTGTCTTCTGAGCCTCGGTCCTCGCCAATAGTCCACTCCGTCTGCAAGGCACCGTTCGCAGGGCAGTCAAAGCCTTCGGTCGACAGCGCTCCTTGTTTTTGATTCATCGATGCGGAGAGGTCTTGCTTGTCCGTCTCTGGTGGCGACGACATGCTTGCTTTTTTTTGGTAGAGCTTTCGTTCGCACTCTTTTCGCTCGGTACGTGATAATGTTTCTTCAATTCTGCTCTACGTTACCCACTATCGAGGTCTTTCTTTTTTTTTTCTCCCCAGCGTTCAGCTGTTTAGCGTGGGAAAAAACAAGATGATGGTGGTCACAGAAGAAGGTCGCCTCTCATTAGAGTTTAAAATGAAGGCGTGAATGTACTTGAGGTCAGCAAGAACCGAGGGAAAATGTAAAAAACAATGCTAATCCGACGCTATCTCAAATCGAATATAATGAATCTAAGGATAGGATAGGATAGGGTATAAAATATATGAATGATACTGGCGAGCTCAATGGAATCTCCGCTTGTTGGTCAATTCTGTTGCTGATCTGAAGCGGGAAGCTGGAAACTTTGGATAGATGAATAGATTGAAGGTAACAAAACAAGAGGCTTCAATAAACTGGCTGCAATGAAATAACATACAAAGGGATTGTAAGATAACCGAAGATAACTATTGCTTTTCGGAATACAATTCGGCTTCGCAAGAAAATGGATGCTACATATGGGGTATATAATTCCATCCGGGTCTCTCGCTATATCGCTGGTAGTACCCAGAATGTTCAAAGGTTCGTTATATCTTAGCTAAGGGTGAGAGAGTCGGTTTGTGCGGATTTTTTGAAAACCTCTCGGTTATGGCGTTCCTGTATGGAGAACAGATTTTTGCCGAGTATTTTTCCTGCTAGACTCGCTCCTGCTCAAGATAGTTTGATTAAAGCGCCGAGAGACCCGACAACGCGATCCTGCTCTTTCACTCCCATTTGCTATAAAAGAGATACCTTAACTTTCCAATGGCCCACTGATTTGTACACAGGTTTCCTTTGATATGACATCTTCCCCATACTTTGCTCCAGTCAACAACTCGATTTCAACCTTCAAAGACAATATCTTTGAGGGAAAAGTGCTTTTCTGTACAGGCGGAGGCTCTGGGATATGCAAAGGCATGACTGAGTCCATCGTAGGCAATAATCTTCACTCTGTATGATAAGACTTTGCTAATCTCACTCATTAGATGCGACATGGCGCTAATGCTGTTATCATTGGCAGGAAGTATGTCGAGTCTTCCCTCCTCCGAGTCCAAGGTGAAGCCTGAGTAATTCTGTTATCCTTACCTCTAGGTTCGATCGTTTGACGGAGGCATCCAGAGAACTTTCAGAGATAACTGGAAGGATCTGCATTCCCATTCAGGCGGACGTAAGGCAGCCACAAACCCTTCAAGCAGCGGCTGAAAGGACTATGGAATACTTTGGGAGGATTGATTTCGTCATCTGTGGTAATGCAATGATTCTTAAGACGCTAACATGTCAGACTAAGTTCAACTTTCAACATACTAATAGGTGCAGCCGGGAATTTCATGTCCCCTATCTCTGGTCTCTCAGAAAATGCATTCAAGACTGTCATTGAGATCGATACTGTACGGAATATCTTGTTATGTAGTGAGTATTTGACACATCCACAACAGCTAGGAACATACAATACGGTGAAGGCTACCATACCTCATGTCCGAGCGACTAAAGGGGCATACGTCCATGTTAGCGCAACCCTCCACTATCGAGGTATGTGTCGTGAACTCCATTGAGAGGAGATGCCGGGGAGATACTAATACACGAACCGATAGGTACTCCATATCAAGTACACGTTTCCGCTGCCAAAGCTGGAGTCGATGCGATTTCAAATGTCGTTGCGGTAGAGGAAGGTCCTCATGGTGTTCGTTCAAACGTTCTCGCCCCGGGTTTTACCTCTGGTACGGAGGGAATGCGTGTGATGTCCGGTAACAAAACAAACAAGACTGAAGGCCTTTCCAATCCGCTCGGGCGCTTCACAGAAATTCATGATGTTGCAAACGCTGCTGTTTTTTTATTCAGCCCCGCAGCTTGTTACATTACTGGCCAGGTTATACCGGTCGACGGCGGCGCAGAACACCTGAGGGGCGACTTCTTCCCTTACCCTTCGTCCGTGATTGACCCGTCTAGTGTTACAAAATTACTCAAAGGAAAGATGTGAACCGGTGTAGACTGTATGTGCTGATTAGTAGACTGACTTTGACATGTACATAACTTGCAAAGCAAGGGCGCACCGTAGAGCTAAAGTGAACGATGCTATGTAATGATATTTTTCTCCTATCTAATTCGTGCTCAATCACGATCAATCATGACCTTTGCTTGATCCCAAGTCTTCATTCCTTTGTAGTCTTCCTTCCCGCTACCGAGACAATGTCGGCTCCAATCCTATTAGTCAATCAGAAATCAGACTTACGGCTCGATTGAGCGCCATCACGAGTTCCAAAGATCACCGCAATAACACTACCAGTACCTCTCCATGCCACAAGATTTTCAATCCAGCTCGCGCCATACGGTGCGAGGACTCAGGACAGGGTGCGTCACGAAGAAGTCAGCTCGACCTAAGGCCAAGGAGAATCAGATAAATTTAGTTTGGAGATATCTAGCACAGCACCACAGTATACCTGGAGAAAAGCATGCTACTCCGAGTCCCAAACTGTTTTGGGATGTGCATCAATCCCCTTGTCTTTGAAATAGTCGTGGCACTTACTGACGCACCACCGGGCCGATCTCATCACAACTTGATCTCTCGCTGCCATCGCCTCAACTCCGACGAATTATGCGTTTGCGCCTATTGAGGGGCAAGGAATTCGTGGAATATTCTGGACACCAGTCGCGCTTCAGCTTCACAATATAGGCTTTGTTCATGGAGACTTGCGCGACATGAATGTATTTGTTCGTTACCACCAGAATCAGTGGAATTGTCAGCTTATCGACTACGAGTGGGCTGGGAGAGAAGGAGAGATCGTTCACCCAATCAGGGTGTACTCAACCCCCAAGTTTCCGAGTGTTGTGCAGATTACCTCTGAGCATGACTGCAAAACTTTAGAAGAGTTTTTACATCGACGTACTGTTATCAAATGTTTTTGATATATGTATGTTTGTTGCTATCTATGTCTCTTGCATAATATGAATGGCTACCGCTCGTCAAGGTAAGAGTGCAAGGACTTCGTTTAAATTGTAGCTGACTGTTTTCTTGCCAAACCCAGCTAGTATCTTTGTTCTGACATCCAACAGCGCCCGAATGATATCTCCAAGCTCTTCCACTGCAGCCGGTATCGATCGGGTCTCGTACACATCCACTACAAGGCGTAGTTGAACAGCTTCGACCTCTGTCCATGCTTTCTTCAAGCCTTCTTGAGCAGTTGCAATCGTTTGTCTCACTGCATTCCAAGCGATATCGGCATGTTCTTCTCCTTGCAGTAATGCTTTCCACCTCTCGAGATCCTCTTGACGCTGTTCGAAATCGCTCTGAACCTCATACGCCAAGTGAATACGTATTTCTTCCTGCCATGATGTCCATTGGAGCGCAATCCACATTCTTGTTAGTTCGAGGGCATCGGTGACTTCATCCAATACCTCTGATATCTTGTTCAGCATCCTCTTTAGAGCCGCGTTCTTCACGGTACCCGGGTTCTGCAAAACTCTCTCCGCTTTATCCTTCAAATTCCAAAGAGCTCGCAGACCCTTCGCCAATTGTATCTCTTCTTCTTTCACTTGATCCGCGTACTCTTCAACCTTGCTACAAAACGCTCGCAGCCCGTCCTCCGTCTCTCTATATGTAGACATCGTAGCAAGAGCCACTCCCCCCTCATTCAAAACACAATGCAAATTCGAATCATGCATAATATCTTCTGTGTTTCGAAGGAGAGACTGAAGGTCGCAGTAAACTAATCGCAGGATTTCGATACTCTTCATGATGCTGGAATGGATGTCACGAAGTCGTTCCTTGGGCGAGGCGAACCCATTCTCGAATTTCACCTTTATGATTGCGACTCTGTCCGTGGCTTTGCTGAGCTCTGGAAGTAAGTTGTTCAGGGTCCCCACTAGATGCTCTTTTTCGGCGTCGGCGGTGGCTATGACTTGCACTTGGGTGGCGGATGTTACTAGCGCCCTCTTTCTCATCTTCGCTATAGTTATGTATCTACGAAAAACGCACGTCAAACGAAATATATTTGGACAAGAACTGCCAAACGCACGTATAAACCGGTCAAAATAATGAGAGTGACTGTGCGTGTATACAAGGGTGAAAAGACTGGATTGCTTTTGGAACTGCGCTTGAATGGTCATAAAAGAGAATACGAGCCACTCGCTTTTTATGAACACTCAAAGGAGACAACGCTTCAAGAACAGTAGTGCATTCTAGTGCATTCCTCCCCTGTTGGGACGCGGTAGCTTGGTTACATCGAAAACCGGTCAAACCCCACATAGTTTTCGATTAACCAAGAGGTTAGGATTAAATTTGACCTCCTTGGACCCGTATGACTTTGTACATACAATGAACGCGTTTTATTTCTAATTTCAGAGGGGGGGGTTTTATGGCCGTTTTTGTCGAGTTCGCATCGAGTAACTGCGACGCGTTATGTAACGCACAGACCAAGCACGTGCACCTCGTGTCAAACGCGCTATAAAGAGCTCGCGATCAACGAAACACATCTTTGTTTTCCACTCTCATCTTCAAACTCCCAAGCAGGCTCCTCGCTCAACCACTTCTCCACATCACTTTTTCCCTCCAACTCTTACTTCAACTATCTTAACAATGTCTGGCCGTGGTAAAGGAGGAAAAGTAAGCTTCAGGCCACCATTCATTATCGTCCTTAGTTCTAATTAATCTTTTCATTCTTAGGGTCTAGGAAAGGGCGGTGCTAAGCGTCATCGTAAGATTCTTCGTGACAACATCCAGGGTACGCGACCATCGCCTCGACTACTTTGCCTTTTTTTGAGTTGCCTCTCACAGGTATTACCAAACCCGCTATTCGCCGTCTTGCTCGTCGTGGAGGTGTAAAGCGTATTTCTGGTCTCATCTACGAAGAAACCCGTGGTGTATTAAAGATCTTCCTTGAGAATGTCATTCGTGACTCTGTAACGTATACTGAACATGCTAAACGGTGCGTTACTATTTCCCTGCCGTTGATGTCACAAAGCTGATCTCGCCTTTTTGTTTAGTAAAACTGTTACCGCTCTTGACGTTGTTTATGCCTTGAAGCGGTCTGGCAGGACGTTGTATGGCTTTGGAGCATAGTCGGGTTGCTTTGTGAGGCTCACCAATCTTCGTCGTCATTTACTTCCTAATGTCTGAATGAAGAAGTGTCTGCTCGTTCTCTATAATCTGTATTCATTCGATTTGTATCCTTCAATGTACTATACCACAGAATGACATTTTTGTCATCATTGTTCTATTTTGTGTCCTTCGTTGGTGTGTTTGTTTATATATAATTAGTCTTCACGAGTATCAACTAAGATTCCATATCGTTTATGTCATTGTGGATGCTTAACGAACCATGAATAATGCACAATACTGATAGTGGAGGCTGAGATCTGAGAGCCCGGGTAGATTTGCTAATCCTTGTACATGTTGATGTTTTACACACGCAGTGTAATGTGTTATTTATTAGCCGTGAGCCGCCTCGGAAAAGGTTTCTCACGTGTTTTGTCTTGGATGTAAGTGCGATAACCAGCTTTGACATTACCACAAATGCATGTTTCGAAAATTTCTGCCCTGACTGGGCGCTGATGTTGGTCTTCATCATCCTCCCAATTTCTCCCAGTCATCTCGATCTTCTGCCTTCAACCTCTCAGGTAACTCCTTAACCACTTCTGATTCGCTAAATGTCACAAGAGCTCTTAAATCCGACACTGGAATCAACACCTTCCTTTACCCTTCCACTCTTATACCTGCTTTTTGCAATTGGCTTGAGCTTTCGCTCCCGACTCCTCCGAGCTAGCTTTTCGGCCATCATACTTGCAATCGCCTATCGCACGGTCTTTTATACGAGCACCAGCGAGGCTCCTATGAACTACCTCTACGCCACATGCTCCTTCTCCCTCTTTTTCAGCGCCCTCGACTTACTGGCTATAACAGATGCACATGCAGAGTTTCGTCGTAAAGGTCAAGTCGAATCTGCATCATCCATGACTTTTTTCTCGCGATTCATGTGGTGTTGGAAATTGATATTGACTCCGAGAGGAATCGGGTGGACTCATGAGCCAACAAACGTCATTCCTCCGCGTCCTAAATCCCAATCTCGAATCTCCTTCATCATTTCTCAGCTCCCCTCTACCATCATACTCATCTTTGTCGCCGATGCCTCAAATCTCTTATTGCGAAGTCACCCAGGATTCCTTCCCGGCGGCCCATCAATTGCGGACGTGGGTCCTTTCATGCGGTTTTTCAACGTGTTCTTGTTCGGCACCTCGAGCTTTTATGCTCTTCAGCTGCAGTACAAGCTTCTCAGCATTGTGGTGACCGCAGTCGGATTATCCCACCCAGAAAATTGGCCGAATCTAATGGGTTTTTGGAGTGACGCGTACACGATTCGTCGACTGTGGGGACGTACATGGCATCAAATTATGCGACGATGGGTATCCAGTGCTGGGAATCTGGTGGCCCAAAGACTGCTTCGTCTTACCCCGGGAACCAATCTGTCGGCGTATACGAAGCTGTTCATTGCGTTCTTGATATCTGGGATCATACATCAAATGGGTGATTACTCTCTTCAACACAGAAACTTCTGGGCAGGCGGGAGTTTGACCTTCTTCCTGTTACAAGCTGCTGCTATTATGGTTGAAGATGGAGGGATAGCGCTTGGGAAGAAGGCTGGTATCCAGGACGGGAAGTGGATTCGACTACTCGGATATGTGTGGACTGCGAGCTGGTTCGCACTCTGCCTTCCAATATGGATTGATCCGTACTTCCACGACGGTATGGCTAGCGGCAAGCTTTTCAGTCCAATTGGTGGGTTATGGAAGGGCGATTGGACAGGTTCTTCCATAAAGATATCCCTTCCGCTGAATTACTAGATGGAAAAATTTCCTTCGGAGCATGACTATTTCGTTCTGTGGTCGATGACTTGTAGATGCCCGCATAGCTTGCTTGGATATTCATATGATATTTGCTGTATGAGACCCTTCCACTCCAAACATTTAAATATTGAGTGCACACAAAGAAACACCGATACACAATTGGTTATTCTCTAGAACTATTGAATACACGCAGAAACAAAATATACAGAAGTGACCACCGAATTTCCACGCCGATAAAGACAGCATATCCCAGCTGGAAGATGCAGCGAATCACAAAAATCCCATCTCAATAAAATCACAAGTAGGTCGATGAAGTGCATAGACGGCTATCGGACGAACGTCACCCACTTAAGAAGTGCAAGTGGCTTCGTTGTCGGGGCAGTGAGGAATCTCAGTCTCCCTGGGAGCACCTAGAAATCGGGTTAATTGTATTGAGTGGTAAGGTGAAAGGTGTGTAGAAAACTCACGGTCGGAGGTGAGACTCGGGAAGGGCGAAGGGCACGCTTGTTGAACATCAGCGAAACTCTTCGTCGCCGGGAAACTGCAAAACTTGTCAGATCAAGGCGTCAATCTCATAGTCATTCCGGACTTACGTCGCGGGGACGCCCAAAGAAGGAACGGGAGTCGGAACAACAGCGGAGCAGTCAATCAAGTCAGCACGGTTGTGTCCAATGATAGCCATTTTGGCCATAGCAGCCTGGAACCTCGATGCCATCAAGGATTCTTCGTCTGTTGCAGTTGCAGAAGGATACAAGAGATCAGTGTGCTATATTGATTGCTTATCTTTTCCACATACTGATCATGCTTTGCCAGAAGCAGGCTGTCCGGTTGTCACGAGCGAGCTCAAAGTCGGATTGAAGTCGCAGCTCTCCAACGTTTACACCGACAGTGAGGGGAAGAGGGGAGGACACTTCACCAGTGTTGTCTGTACCAAGTCCAATTCAGAGTTCTTGAAGGAGTTCGAAAAGCATTTGTACATACTAGGAGTTCCCGGGAATCCGACACCAGTCAAGAGGGTTTCAAGGAAGAACTGTGTGTCAAAGGTGAATGGAGTCTGATAATAGATGTCAATTTAGAACTTCGGTCAATAATGAGGATGAGTCTGCTTACCGAGTCGAAAGGCGCAGCATCCAGAGTGGGGTCGACATGGTCTGCTCGGGCGACTGAAAAGTAAAATGGGTGAGAGATCTGTGAGTTATCGGTGATTCATGAAGAATGACCTGTGTGCTGCATAACAAATCATAATATTAGATGGACCGAGTCAGTTCAAAGTAATTGCTGGACATACCGATACGAGCAGAGAGACGATGTCTTCAGAGGTCAAGTTTGCCTGTTACGGAGGAAGAATTAGTAATGAGTAAGGTGGTAGTAAATAATAAACGGCGTACCGCATCAGCGAAACGAGCCAAGATTGAGTCGACCGAGTCTTGGGGTTCAGGGATCAAACCGTCAACTGCAGGTGCAGTGGCATTGGGTCGGCCGGCCAAAAACTCCAGCTGAGGTGCACCCTTGAGAAAGTGAAGGGTATCAGCTAAAGTAAAATCTGTTTGAGGGAGATCACATACAGGGCAAAGGCCGACAGCGACGGCAGCACCGAACTGGATCATATCTCCAGCAGTGATAGTCGGGAATTTTCCTGAAGCAAGGAATGGAGCAAGGTCGTTGACACTGTCGGAAATACCAAGGTTGGCAGCGAAGTTGGGTTCGACGTCCGGGAAAATCAACATAGAGCCGTCAGCACCTCCTCCACTAAGTGAAATATTTTTAGTACAAATGTGATAGGAAAGATTGTAAGTCAGCTTACGCCGCAGGTCCAAGAGATTGGGAGATAGCGATAGCATCGTCTGAGATACATCATATTAGTACAAAACAACAAAGACAAAGATGTCGCTATAACGTACGGAAGCTCAGACGGAGCACCTCATGGGCTGAAACCAATGAAAGTTAGCGCTTCAGTCAAGATTGCATGCGCTTTTAACACTTGCCAGTTTCGCCACACTGGTTCTCGAATAGAGTTGCGGTAAGATCTTGGGCAAGCTTGGAACGTTCATCAATATACACAATATATCGGATATGATTGGACCGAACTCACTGGAATAAAATCGCAGCAAACGCTGTCGGGCACAACAGTGCCGTCAGAACAAACCGCATTTTGAGAAGCGGGGGCAGCTCTAACGGTGGATAGAGCGAGGGCGACAAGGGGTACAATACTCGAAAATGCCATTGTAGATGTATCGAAGTTCGATCGAGAAAGCAGGTGAATCTGAAGGGAAGCGGATGAGCTTGGAGTTTTCTGTCGTTCTCTGATCAGTATTTATACACTCTGGATGGCCGTGCGAGTAGATGAGAGGATAATTTCCTCGAAAAGAGTGCAGAGACAAAGATAGATTTTGCTCTCTAGCCAGTTGTTCGCTTGCATACCCCAGCATCCTAAACGTGACCGGAAGACCGGAAGGTCGACTGGTGAACCTCCGGTACCATCCAACCGACAAGAAGCATCCACGGTTATTTGGAGGAGAAGTTGAAAGGATACGGTTTGTATCCAGAATGTTGGATGGCATCGTGCGCATCAGTAATGAAACAGGATGAATTGTGAGAGCGCAATCACAGTAGCGAAATTCGGTGAGAATTCAACAACATGGTTCTTGTGGGTTATCTCTTTTGATAATTATTGCATGCAAAGAGATCCTACCCTCGTAGCAAACGTTTTCAACTTGAAGCAACAATGTGTTTTGCTGTTGAGGCACCCATCAAAATTCCCTTCTGCAGAAAATAGAATCAAGCTGTGCAGTGTCTGTTCCGAAACACGATAATAGTCTAAGTTCAAATTCTTTCACAGCCGAATCAGTGTACGAGTTGCAATACGGGCTTTGCAATTGGGTGAATCAATGATGTATTCCACACCAATTTCGCGGTACAGAACCACTTTGATAAACCTAGTTGTACTTACCTGCGGGAGAACACTGACTTTAGAGGCAAGGCGACGATCATGTCGGTATATACTATAATGATAACATCCGGATCGCTTTCCACACTGGGAGACCTAGTTTCGGCAGATGAAGAACCGACCGAGGTTCAATAGGACTCAGCGACCGAGATTCTGAGGGATGTTGACGAATAAAAACGTGAAGAAGTTCCTGTTTTTGGAGATTTAGATGCAGTTGGAAAAGGTAAATCGCGTCGTCCGTGAATACTGCTGGCGGGGTCAATCATTGTTCATTGCTGTGGCTCGGAACGCTGAGTTAAGAATGCAGACATTGAAGTAGCGATCAGAGCTGGGATCCCACGACTCGGCTTCAACTTCAACCCACGGAGCCGGATATGCGCGTGTACTAATAATATTCCTCAATGTACTCACTACTTACATAGAGCATATCTCTGATGGAATGCAATGCCTTCGTGGCGGAAGCTTTGAGACTAGGCGTGTAGCATTTATATCTTTTCGTGAGCCATTTTCGCTGGATATACTGAAAAGTAAGTTTTATTATTGTGCTTTGTGTCGAGGGCAGTTCCCATGATGATTTATTCTATCTGTAACGGTACAAACTATCCAACCGTCTCGACTCGCATCTGCAGCGACTCCATAATTCAAAAAGAACGACCGATTCACTTAAGAAGTGCAAGTCGCTTCGTTGTCAGGACAGTGAGGAATCTCAGTTTCCCTTGGAGCACCTAGAAAGCAAGATTTATCGTTAACGGTCTGCATTGAAAATCGAGTAAGAATTACTGACGGTCAGTTGTGAGATTTGGGAAGGGCTCGGGGCAGGCTTGTTGAACGTCGGCCTTGGTCTTCGTCGCCGGGAAACTACACAAGTTGTCAGATATACCATAGGCGTGAATCTTGAATCTCCTAGTCACTTCGACTTACGTCGCGGGGATGCCCAAAGCAGGAACGGGCTTCGGAACGACAGCAGAGCAATCAATCAAGTCGTTCGGGTTGTGTCCAATGACAGCCATCTTGGCCATAGCAGCTTTGAACCTCGCTGCCATCAAAGCCTCCTGGTCTGGAGAGAAAGATGAGGGAGCTCAGGAAGCAGACTTTTAGCTAGAAATGTGCCGACATACTGATCATAGATTGCCAGAAGCAGGCAGTTCTTGGGTCACGAGCGAGTTCAAAGTCGGACTGGAGTCGGAGTTCTCCAACGTTCACGCCGTCGGTGAGGGGAAGAGGGGATGAGACTTCACCAGTGTTGTCTACGCCAAATAGATTTCAGAAATATATTGGAATGTCAAAACAACCATTACGCACTGGGAGTTCCGGGGAACCCAACACCGACCAAGAGAGTCTCGAGGAAAAATTGTGAGTCAAAAGTGAAAGGAGTCTAGGACAGATATTAGCTTGAGACTTTCAGTGATTCTGACTCGGGAAAAGTGGCTTGCCGAATCAAAAGGTGCAGCGTCCAGAGTGGGATCAACGTGGTCAGCTCGAGCCACTAGAAAGAGGTTGAAAACGTAAGACTATTTTTAGGAATCATCAATAATTCATCAGAAAGCATACCTGTGTGCTTTATATCACATTATGAGATTAGACGTGTAGAATGAGCTTGGAGAGATAGAAAACATACCGAAACAAGCAAAGAAACGATGTCTTCAGCGTCCAAGTTTGCCTGTTGAAAATAAACATTAACAATGTAAAACTTGAGAGACATTTTTCAGAAACAAGAAAACGAACCGCGTCTTTGAAACGCGCCAAAATTTCGTCGACCGTGTTTTGGGGTTCAGGGATCAAACCGTCGACTGCAGGAGCAGTAGCATTAGGTCGTCCAGCCCGGAACTCTAATTGAGGTGCACCCTTATAGATCGAGTAAAAAATTAGTCCAGAACTTGAAAGATACCCAAATAGAGCACGTACAGGGCACAGACCAACAGCGACTGTGGCACCAAACTGGATCATATCTCCTGCGGTAATAGTCGGGAACTTTCCTGAAGCCAGGAATGGAGCGAGGTCATTGACACTGTCGGAGATACCAAGATTGGCAGCGAAGTTGGGTTCGACGTCCGGGAAAATCAACATGGAGCCGTCAGCACCTCCTCCACTAGGTGGAATATTGTTTAAGTACAAATGTGATACGAGAGATTGTCAATTAGCTTACGCGGAAGGTCCAAGGGATTGAGAGATGGCAATAGCATCGTCTGTAACATCTTGGATTAAAGCGAAAAAGGCAAAATAATCTGATGAAACGCACGGAAGCTGAGACGAAGCACCTCATGGGCTAATAATCCATATACATCAGCTCTTCTGTTAGAAGATGTACGCGCTTTCAACACTCACCAGTTTCACCGCACTGATTCTCGAACAGAGTTTCGGTAAGATCTTGGGCAAGCTTTAAAAGTACATCAATATACAATAAATTGAATGGTATGATTGAACTAAAAACTCACTGGAATAAAATCGCAGCAAATACTGTTAGTGACGCGAGTACCGTCAGAACAGACAGCCTCTTGAGAGGTAGGAGCGGCCTTGACGGCGGACAGTGCGAGAGCTACAAGCGGAAAAATATTTGCAAATGCCATCGTAGATGTATCGAGGTCGATTCGAGAGAGCAGGAAATGACGAGGAAGCGAATGAGCTTGGAGCTTTCTGTCGACCTCTGTTCAGCATTTATACACTCTACGTAGGGCGTTACGCCAGTAGATGAGAGGGTAATCCCCTTCGATCTTGTCCTTGGCACCAGCCTGAACGAGGTGCCAAGGACAAGATACAGGACGCGGTATCACTTCTCTTGCCATGCACAACATTGTTCGAAAAACGCGACCGGAAAGCCAGAAAGGCTCGTACTGTCCGGGACAATTTACCCGACATGTAAGTCTACACGCCCATCCGGAGAAAAAGTCGAAAAGTCCTGTTCGAGTCCAATTTGTTGGGTAGCATCGTGCAGCCTCCTCCGCATCAAGACATCAGAACACGCTGTGAGAGGAAAATCACGGTAGCGAGCTATAGCGAGAATTTGAATGTTCTTTCCCAAGTCTGTTACACCACAAATTAGTACTCGAATCTCACAGCCAAATCAGAGTGAGACTGGTAATACGGGTTTTACGATTGGATAGATACGTGATGGATATGCCTTCCACACCGAGTATGCGGTAGAAACATATAGATGAGAGCAATAACGACGATCGCTTTCCACATCAAACTAAAGCTGGGAAAGACAGAATCGGCTGCTGAGGAACCGGGCGAGAAAATGTAAGGACTAACGAAAGCATCAATACTGAGCACACGACGTACCATTAGGCCAGCCTCCTACAACAGATTCCGTTGAGTGTGCGGGCACAATAGACGTTAATACGAGTCAATCGAAAGCGAAAACATTTTCCTGCCACCAACGAAATGAATAAAGTGGATATGTCTCTCTTGGCTTCAGGCACGAGAAAGAAGACTCGAGGCTCGAATAACCGGGTCCTCGGTACCTGAGCTAACTTTGGTTCGCTCAACTATGAACATTCGTTCCCAGTACAGATACAACCTCAACAGGTCCTATGTAGCGAGACTCAGGAGTTCAGTATCCCATCAGTGCCGCCATATCAGAGCCTTGGGCTCGTAACCTCTCAATGAGTAGTATTTCGAGGCCATCTGTGACGATCTGCATTATTTCCATCGCCCTTCGTTCCCAACAACATCAAGGTATACACCTCATCTTTTGGACCAGTATCCGTAGTCTATGTCTATGTGTACCCTTCGTTAACAACTCGGAAGACATGAAACAAACGATAGCAGCACATACCTGCTTCGGAACGTCACGGTACATCCAATGAAACGTTCAACGGCTCTTCCCTTTCCTTTGCTCGATTGTTCCTCTAGTACCCCCTTATCCCCACATATGTTGTTGACAAGCGCCGATCTTTAGGAATAACGCCAGGAATACTTCCTGACTCGGTATTGGGCCCATGAGTTATTGTTATCACCTTCTGTTACGATCTTCTGACATAGGGATGCCCTATGCAGCAGAGCGGCTCCCAGAATGAATCGCTCTGGTAGGTTTCACTCGACGATGCGTATGTCGTGCCGCGCAATGACCCGCTCGAAGATAGACTTCGGATGAATTATTTTGCATCGCAGTGTCGACCTGCTACAGGAGCTCTAGGCGGGCTTGTCAAGATTGAAATCCAAGTTGGAACGCAGTGATAGTTTTAGATGGTCCATTGACACATATTTGGATGAACTGATCAGCGGAAAGGGAAACACGACAAAATTCAGAGAGCGCACCAAGCGTTGCAAATTGTTCCTCTCTATTACAAATCACTGGAAGGCGTAGTCGTTGGGTAACCGGCAGTGGATGATCTCGTTTCAAAGAGCTGAAGGGTTTAAGCGAGCTATGCTTTGTCGAATACTGGAATCTCCAAAAGTATCACCAGCGCTAGCCCAATATGCTTATAATAACCGAGGAAGTACAACGGTCTCCCATTGTAGAGATTTTAATTAAATAAGAGTCGTGAAGAAAGATCTATGAAAATGACACAGTCGTTGCCAGTACGTAGGCTTTTTCTCTGAGTGGTTACTCATCTTGCAGTATTTGGCATTATTGATGGGGACTTAAGGGCCGGCATATGCGCGTTACACTCGGCTCCCACGCTGAAAGCGCCCTCTCCTTCCATGACTAATTCTATGAACACTCCCTGAAGACGGGCATATCGACGTCTGTATCTCGGTCACCTAACTCTCACTAACGGAAAATTGGTTTCAGGCCGTTTCTGAACCTAGAAACCATTCATGGTCCAGTCACAAAACTTGAACTGGTAGTCCTACTCGCGCATTTGGGACGAATGGAATGTCCGACAGTCTACCAATTTCTCATACATACCTCTGGAGTTTCGACAACTTGACGGGCACCCATAGGTCATGTATTGAATACAATAATACTGAAACAGGCCTACTAGTATTCACTGTCATCATGATCAGCGGCTCAAGCCCAGAATGGAAGTCTGTTGTAAGGATAAAGAGAAATTTTGACACCAGAATGGCATATTCTCACGAGGATAACAGAGGTAACTTTTACTGACGGACGAAAAAACATGTCCACACTTTCTCGGATTTCCCTCTGACATACCAGGCCTATCCGTTTAGGAAGCTACGCGCACGCGGAATGTTCGAAAAGGTAGGATGTTGGACAGTACCGTTCTAGGTGCATGCACAAAAATCGTTAAGGGCCAGTTCGATGGCCTTAAAAGGAAGGAAGGGGGTCAATTTCGTCATGAACAATAAAAAACAAACATGGTTGCAGTCTCCATTAACACGTTATATCGACAACGCTATTCGTAGCCAAGGCCAGACAAGGAAGGAAATTAGACGCACGCGCTTTGGAGTGCTTTTGCCACAGTGTACGTTATTGACAACACCATCCGTAGCAAAGGCCAGACAAAGAAAGGAATTAGACGCGCGCGCTTCGCAATCGGAATTTTTGCCACAGCTAACACTTTGGCAATATGATATACATAGATGGAAATGCATGAACAGGGCTCATTAACGCGTTTATTGTTCATTGTTCATACTGTGGGGGTTTAAAAGCTTCGAAATTGTAGATCCAGTCTCAAATTGCATCTTCTCGCATCATGACATCTTTAACGTGGACTTGCCTTCAAAAAGTGAACGAAGCTCTGGTGAGTCGGTCTAACTACGCTGACTGGAATGTTATCGACGTACCGTTCTTGTCAATAGCTCGCATTAGATCGCGCATCACCACTACCCACCGCCCACGACCACTTTCTTCCTACTCTGATTCCAAGGCAATATACTCCTCCCAAACTTCAACCCTACTTCATTTCCTCCATGGGAATGGTCTACCACCCAGTATCTGGCATTGGGTGGTACGATGATCTAGCCGATCATTTATACCCCCAAGCCGTCGATGAACTGGAACTCTTCCAAGAGGACACGGTAGCCATGACACCCAGTTATCAAGTCGACGACGTTATATCTTACTCTTTTTCGAATGAAGATGGGTCGTTCCCGAGCTTGACGTACTCTGAAATCACACCGGAGGAGCAACAGGGAATATCTTCCCTCGTCCCGCTTCTCTCCAGTAGCGACTACCTCCCGGATCATCGAATCGGAGAAATCCACCGACTCCAATCGGCGTACGAAGAATACGAGATAATCACTTCTCCTGAGGAACGCGCTATAGTCCAAGCCACATTCAACCTCCTGATTCGTAGGAAGGAAGAGGAGGATGAGCAGAAAAGGCTGAGGGAACATGAGAGGGCCATGTACTTGGAGCAAGCAAGATTGGACTTGCTGAACAGCTGCGTTTTAGAAGTCGAAGCAGCTCGTGCAGCTGGCGGGCATTCTTTCTTCCCTACCCAGGAACAATCATTCGACTACCGCTCTCATACCATCGAATGCGAATGCTGTGATGCTCCGAGCACTGAAGGAACGGGCGAAATTCCCCGTTGCCCGCCTTTTGCGCCATTTTCTCCGGAACCACCATATCCTAGCCACGACTTTCTTCCTGAGACAGCTACCTGGCCACCTTTTGCACCATCATCGTCGACCCTCCTTCATCCTAGTCGCATCGTCCTTCAGACTGAAGCAGTCTGGCCGCCAAGAGCGCCTCCAGCGCGCATGTTGCCCGATCCAAGGCTAGCCTTTGCGGAAGACCCAGCTACTTGGCTTTCTGAGTAGGCTTCTCGATACTCCAACGATGTCCTGCTGCAGGAAGGTACAACAATTGACTGTAAGCGATAACGAAATTCGCCTCGGAAAGTTGGTAAAAATTACCATAGAGATAAACATTGTCTTGAGTGAAGGAGTCTTTGTTTAGAGTGTACTTTATCCTTCGCCCGTTGGTGCCCATGTTTCTATTTATCTTGCGTACATGTTCAGTGAAATTATATGGATTGACCTCCTATCGCTGATAGCAGTCGCACGCCTCCATATTCGTGGAGTGAGTATATCATCCGATGTATCTGAACTCGAAAAATCCCAGACCAAGCAAGCAATATTTGGCTTCATACTGACGACCCCATGGTTGTCAGTGACAATGATTGATAGTTTGAGCCTTTCGGAGTAGTCAAGTGACATTCCTTCAAGCAGAATTCGGTCTCAACTCGGCACCGTGACTTGGTGCCGCAAAACAGCAACAACAGCGTTGTCAACACGTTCAGCAATTGCTCAAGTTCTGCGGTGAGCGAACGAAGAAGCTCATTTTAGGATACAGCGACAGCGATTGAGAGATGACTTGACGCGCATCGAGCGCCTAAGACTTCTTACTTCCGTCTCTCATCGCCATTGCGTACCTCACCCATTATCGCCGTAAATTCACCACAAATGAAAGGATTCCAATCCTACCCTGCTCTAGCTCGTAAAAGCAGAGTTCACAAAACACATAGAACTGGTAAAATCCTAGCCATATTCAAAGGATATCATCGGCCTTAAAAAATTGAACTTTAAAACCGACAAGAGAAAAGAGCCTCGAACTCCAGCTAGGAAACTTTGCAGACGACGCCTCGGACATAGCCTCCTTCGTAACCATCGACAAAGTCCCTCGAAAACATCAGAAAGAACCAGACGATATTCGAGAGCTCAAAGGACTTCCGCGGAAAGGAACATGAGGAATATCAAAGGACGAAGTTTGTTGTTCATGAAAGACGTACATAATGGTGCTTTTTTCCCGTGAAAGATGAATTTTAACTGAACTCCGTCTTCATTAGACGGGTTGATGGCAATCATCGCATACAAGGTTCCTATCTCCGAGACTCCACTGCAAATTGACCAGTAATTCGGCCTCCGTACATCTCCCCTGCGCGCGAATACAGATGTTCTGCTCCTGATTCCGCTTCTGGCTGTTCCGTCCTTCGGCATTGGATCTGTGTTTATCCGATGTGGAGGCAATCAAAGATAGCAAGACGACGAGGAGCTAGAAAAGGCTCATATTAAATGCTTGCGGTTCGTCCCCTTGCTATTACTCGTATTTTCCCTCATCTGATTTTCTTCTTCAATACCTAGATATTCCCATACTTGCTTTAGTATTTGAGTTCACGCTCCCAGCTCTTTTCATTCAAAATGAAGTGAGGACAATTTATGCATATTTTCCAAGTGCTCAAACTCGGGAAAGGAAAGAACATTGTCATCTGGGTGTTGCTGTGCGATATGTTTCCAATATTCTTATGTTGATTCATAGCCGGAAAAGACCGTCTTTGATGGTTATCCTATCGCACTGTTTCTACGGAGCTTCATAGAGGTAAGAGATCAACTGCTACTCTTCTACTCTTGTCCACCATTGTTCATTTCCCTCTATGGTTTCTAGCTATACATAGATTTTCTTCGATGCGCGGAAAGCGCCAAATACGGACGCCCAAGGTGGTTAGTCGACCAAAGGAGTATAAAGATATCTGGGAAGGGGCATGTGCCAGAGGTAATGAAATGCCACGGTTTCGAAGAGATATGGGTGGTGGCAGTTCCCTCGATATGTAGCTCGGGGACAAAGCTCTGTTATATGTTGTGGTATACCAGGTATGGTCTGTAACAAGGCTGTTTGTTCGAATGCCGTCAAACTCGTCTCGGACCAATTGTTCGTGCTGTACGCCTCCGTCTTCTACGCGGACGCGTTTTGTACCTATACTCTAAATTTCGGCAAGAGGAAATCGCCTATGCGATTCTGCAGGTCTCTCCCGACACCGTGTCATTCACCATGCGCCTGGAAGAACTTATATAGAAGGGATTATCCGGGGTAGGAATGTTTAAATAAAGGTATGGCCTCGAAGAGAAATTGCCGGTGGCAGTTTCTTTGATATGTTTCTCGATGATAACGACCTGTTCCAGTGGTCTCTACCAAGGCTATAACGTATCTTGTGTTTGAATGCCGTTCAAAGTCATGTCGAATTGTTCATTGGTGCCGTGACTTGCTCAGATTTCACTGATAACTGCAATTGCCTTTTACGGCCTGGTGTGGCGATTTGCTGTCAAGCTGGGCTCACAGCATTCGTGCGAGTCAAAAAATCGAACTCATGTTATATCCTCTACAATGTTCAGCAAGATCGTCAACCGTTCTGCTGCAATTTATCAAGCAAAATCGCCCATTCCATAATCGTCATTCCTCTTTTCAGAGCTTCCTCTCTCACTTCCCTGTTTCTCGTTTCCTCCCTCAACTTTCCAACAGCTTTCATATGTTCCTTTGTCTTGATGCCTAATCCTACAAGAACCGGTGCAAGATACAGCAATGATGGCTCACATGAAGAGAGCAATGCTTCTAATGCCGGGGTGGATGCTACTTGCATACTGCTCATGGTAGAGCTGGACCCTCTTGGGTGTCCTGCACCGTTGGTGGTCGCTTTTGGTCTGTATGATAATGCCTCGCGAGCTGTGCTACTCGTGCGCAGCGATGCCTCTGAACCCCGAATTTCATCTGGCTCCAGAGTCCGATGTCGAACGGGTGTAGAAGTTCGTGGTTCCACGTATTCACGATCCATCCACTCACTGTACGAGGATCTTCGCCTCAAACCGACATGGACACTTCGGTCCGTGGTACCCTGTATCGACTGTTTGGACATTTCTCCGTCGACGTCAGCAAGGTTGGTGTTCGATGGCCATGGCGTTTGGGGTCGAACAGGCGACGCACTTCTGTAGTATATAGGCTGAGATAACGGCGCTACTGGTAAGCCACTATGCTACTGCTAAATTCAATGTGTTGTAATCACTTACATCGCTTCTAGTCCATCCATCATCCAGCAAATCCCGCTGCTTCCCTTTGCCTTTCCTGGATCTCGATGCCCCGCTTTGGCCTTTCATAGAATCTCTAAACTCCTCCTTCCTCCGAGTTTCCTCAATCCCAGAATCCATAACATAGTCATCTGCGTTCAAGTAGTACACACTCATCTCGACTTCGCTCCTTCTAGACTCGTTCGCCACCTTTTCCCTCCAAGTGGAAATGGTGACTGTACGCTCCGGACCGTCCTCGAGGACTCGATTGTCGACAACTTCGTAGTCGTTGGCTACAGGACCCTTTCGGCTGATGGTTTGATGTATATGTTCTTTTCGCCGACGTGTGTCAGACCGAGTGCTGTCCTTCTTCTTAACACCTTCTCCTTGGAATTGTCCGTTCTCATTCCGCGTTCTGGAGGCACCTGTGTGCGATCTCGTTACCTTCCAATGACTTTGACCTGCCCCCTCGCGCTCTGGGATCCAGCCCGGGTTTTGTTCATCAACTTCTTTTCGATTTAGATCCAGATGCCAGCCATTGTTTCCTATCGGAGAAGGCATTTCGTTCACTTCGTAATGAATTACACTTCTGCGTTCAGGATCGTAATGCGGCCGTGTTCCACGCCCATTTTCCTGTGTACTATGATATTCGTTTCTGATCCAGAACCCCTCACTTCTGCTAGCTCTTGACGGGGAAAGAGTCAGCGAATATTTCCTTCCTAGTCTCCTAACACTCCGCCTCCTCAGCCGATTCTTGTTCCCTCCTTGAGACTCAGATCCATCATATCCTCTCTCACCGCTCCTCCGCTCATCCTGCTCTCCGTCTTCCGAATCTGGTTGATTCAGATCTTCTTCGTATATCGTCCCTGTACCAGTAACCGGTCCTGCGGTGTTGGTATACGTCCACGCATCAAAATCCTCATCGAGAGGAGGCGATGTTGGTGTCCACGATGTCGTTCTGGTTATCTGGTTGATGGCTCCCGCTGTCTCCGTCAGTGGTACCCGGGTCTCGAGAGTGTACGCGTCAAAATTCTCATCCATGGGAAGCGACGTCGGAGGTGGATGCTGCCTTCTGACCACTCGTTTTCCTTGCCCATTTTCGGATGGTACAAGATAGAGGACACCGGATTCTTCCGTTACAGTGAAGACCAGCAAATATCGGCATTGTGTCTGAGGCTTACCAGTAGCGTTCTCCATATTGCATTAGGGTTCGCAACCCTCCGTATTATGTACGAGTAGAACTATTATTTCAATTGATGGTGGATGGTTTAGAATAGAAGTATCCAGAACAGCGAGTTAATAAGGAGGGAGATGAAGGGTAAGAGGAAAATGTCGTTCGTACTGCGCCACCAGATGGATGGATGCTACGTGGTTTTCGTCAAGCGACACGAGGAAACAGCATGTTTTCAGTTTGCATCTTTCCTTCGCTGGAAGCCGGCTTTGATCCACGTGTTAGGAGCCATACTTCTTCTGCAATTCGAAGAAGTGGATGTCATCAAAGATTCAATGTTCAATTCTGTTCAATCCTGTTCAACGTAACCCTAGGTAACCCTATGTAACCGTTGAGACCGAAAACAAAATCAAATGTTTGATATGATGTCCGCTTACTTGACTGGCGACATGGAGATGAACATAAATCTTGTCCGCACAAGTTCCTCATTCACCCTCACCAATACTCGGATTTTCTTGCCCCAAAGGCTTGAGACTAATGCTCTGGCAAAGCCAGGCTAACGGAGGGACAACCCAAGCCTCCCATGCTATATTCGATTGCCTAAGGATAAGAGGAAATTTCTAGACCCCGATTTCCGTTAAAGGGATATCTACTTCCATTGGGTAAATCCGGGAGATTTCCAATCCTCAAGTCCCCTGTGTGACGGGTTCAGGTATCGTTCCTTGTCGCTACCTACCCTGCTGCCTTCCTCATTTCACTTCCTCAGGGAGACTGGATCAAACTCCTTTAGTACTTTTAATTTTCTGACTTTCGGAGAGTTTCAAGGGAGGATGAAAGGAAGTTAACTTCTCTTGCTCGACGCACAACTGGGTGCATATTATCCGATGTTGCAGGAGGGACCTGGAGGGGCGGAACGTTCCACAATGTCCGGCACCGCCGCACCGCTCAAAGCTCAAACTTAAATTAGCCTGAGACACCCGAGCTACTGAATAGAATTTCGTGGGGAATCAGGAATACTAAGTAAGGGTTGTTGATACATAAAGTACGCTCGTCGCATTGCATCGTCCCTGGTGTCCCGTTTTTCTCATTTGCTCCTCATTCTCATCAGCACCACTACCTTCGAGTGCTTTTGGACCTCTCCAATCCTATTCTAGAAAAAGGATGTCTTCAGCAGCAGCAGCAGCAGCAGAGATAGCGGCATTAGAACCAACTCTCATTACGATTGGTTATGATCTGTAGGGAGTCGCATATTCTGCAGTTATCAAGTTAGACTGACCTACCTTTCACTTTACAATAGCCTATCTACGAAAGTAAGGTTGAAATTCTCCTGTAAGATATAGCCTCATACAAGCACCCACTCAGCGATATTGGATTGCAATAACAGCCCTATGGTCATATGAATACATTCTGACTTTAGGAGATGAGGTACGCAACTGTTGGCCGAGAATATTCTGGAACTGCGCTCATCAGTAGCTTTGCATAAGTAGATACGATATGCTTGGAAAGGGAACAAGAACCTTCTATTTTGGCTGTTCTTATTGGTCGGTGCATCCGGACAAAAAGAAGGCTTCGAGCTCATAGTGTGATACAGAACCGATATTTATGTCTTATCATTATTATCATAACCAATGTTGGTACGTGAACCTTGATATCATGTGGAGACGAATCGACTCATGGTTAAATCATCCAGCTTATTTTACCCCATTGTTCACGCAAGAGGTGAGCTCTACTAATTACGATTCTAGGGTTTCTAAGGCTCAGTTAAAATCTAAAATTGACCTCATGACATCAGATGTAGGTGTAGCTGGAACGAAATCTCTTGCTCAGATAATGATTGGTGTTGCCATTCTAGATGTTACCGATATGGATTTGTGGAACAGCTGGAGACTCTGTTCATGGCTACTATAGCTGAAACACTGGTGCTGCTCCGGTATGTAGTCCTACACCCATATCATATCCAACCCAACTGACACTTTATCTATATATCTAGGGTCTACGCACTGAGTGGGCGTAAACAATATGTCCTGTTTATTGCTATACCGCTGATCATCGTGCAATGGGCTCTTCTCATTTACCAAGACGTCCTGTACAAGAATGGTACCAGCGACCTTGGCGTCCTGCTTTTTGCTCGTGAACTGGACACGTCTGCGGTTCCGCCACTCCCTGATATTGATGCTTATCGTCGTATGTCTGTTTGAGCCTTTTCTACTGGGCCTACCGTCTCATTCTTTCAGTCTGTATTGCTATACCCAGTACACAGATGTAAGTTATCTCTTATCATCTCTCGACTCGACGCTTATCCATCTGTCTCACAGTGTCAAAGCCGGAGAAACTTTCCTTTCCCTTTTCATTGTATACGACGGTTTGGCAGTATCGTCAATCATCTACTTTGTTTCCCAACAGGCCAAGGGTTTTCATTTAGTGCCAATACTGGAACTTATGCAACGCGATGGGTTATTGTATTTCGCGGTCATGTTTTCAAGTAATTTTGTTTGGCTGATGATGGCATTACACGCAAGGGTGAGTGCGATTCCGTTTGGTTTCTGTGATAGAAACAATAATGAAGTTTTCTATGACTTAGCCTTCATTAGGATTCATTCAGAATCAGTGAGTTTCTAAAGTCTTACATCTGTAGCCGTTATTGACCTGATCGTCTGATACTTAACCTTAGGCCTGCCATGATGTGAATTTTTTCAACTTGCTTAGTTTCAGTCACGATTGCTAACCTCGGCTTATCATAGTATTTCAAGTATTATGGTCAACCGAATCACGATGAACCTGCAGAAGGCCTCTGAGGAAAAAATGGACATCAGTTGGTCCAATGGTCGACGAACGGTGGACGACGTGGATATCTCTGATTCAATTTTGCCAGAGAGCGACATCGAGCTAGGCTCAGTCCATGATTCGTATCACACCAACTCTCACAGATTGAGTGGTAGTTTATATACAGCGAGACATAATAATCATTAACAGTATCTATATGCATTAGCGAAATACCCTTCTACTCTGATATCATGGAACTTTGCTCGCTTCCGCTCTCTACTTCCACTTCCACTTCAAGCCCCCCTTCATAACATGTATCCAGCTGGTCTTCAATCTCCTCCGTGAGATCGCAATAAGAAACCATCAGTTTTTCCAGCTTAGCCACTCCAACCATCCTCGGCGAAGAATTATTTGGCCACCATCGTGAATGGACGAAGTCGAGGAAGTCCTGGTCGAGATTAATCAGGGATTCAACAGAAAAGGTTGTTAAAAGTGGAAGAATCTGCTTTTCAGGGCTGACTCTGTCAAAACGGAAGATTTCCATGAGGCGAGCGGTATCGGTATATCCTTCTGAACAGATATGCAACTCCTTGATTGTACTAGCAAGGGATAGAATGCAATGCAATCCAAGCTGATCGCTTGTTTCGAAAAGAGCAACAAGACCGCACTGGTCATGATAAGACCTCTTCAGTAAAGCAATGAGTGCAGGACCGACCACGGGGCCATGTTCGCCGTCGCCATCGAACCTCGATATTGATAAGGACAGTTTCCTCAGTGAAGGGAGTGTGAACACTCCAAGAATGTCCCCCAAAGCAGTGATGGCCCACCAAGTGTAAGCTCTTGTAATCGAGGTAAGGTGATGGAAGGTAAAACATGGGGTGTAGTCCAGCCAAATTGGGACATATCCATATGCGTAAGGTGCTGCAACCGTTTGGGCTGCAAAAATTCTATCGCAAAATCTCCACTGATTGGACCAGAAGCCGATGTCACTGTGAGGTCTCTGACTGTTTCAGGAATGAAATCTTTTATGCAGTGGAAACGTAGAATCCTAGAGAGATTCAACCTCAGTTTAAATAAAAGCGGAGTTCTAGGGAACGGTGCATGGTCGTTCTTTGGTGGTGAGCAGTTCCCTACACCAAGCTCTAATTCTTCAAGAGCTGCGAACTGTTTTAAGCTGGAAGGAAAAAAGTGAGTGCTCCAGAAATATGGAGCTTTCAATCGTCTCCATTTTTTCGAAAAATCAACCAATAGTTTGTTGCATATCGTTACATACACAGTTATCTGGAATTGTGAAGGCCGATCCCAGGTGTTCCGGAAGTACCGTCCAAGAAATGAGAGATCCATGCTCAAATCGGAGCAGCGGAGCACCCAGCTTGCCAGCGCCGCCTCGAAATAAGCCGCGTCCGAATCAGTTTCGAGGGCTGGAGGATACTCGATGACTAACGCTGTCCAGAGTTCGGGCGATGAATATGCAACAGATCTCCAACGCGAGCAAACTTGAGTGTAGTTAAGAGGTAATTGAATGGTTTGTGGAGGATAAATGGCAAATATTCGAGTAAGTAGCTCAGGCGGAAATTGGTTCAAAGCACTGGGAAGATGAAAGAAAGAGGTTGCTGAAGTGAAAGCTGTGGATTTATGAAACTGAAGGAAGCTAACCTAGTCATATCCGTATATCTTTGAGCTTAAAGGAGTTGTGCAATCAATGAATGTGGAAGGTGGTCAGTGCTAAGTGCGTGTTGGAAACTAAGAATTCAAATAAGAATCAACCGTGAGCCCGTGACAACCACTGCCAGGACGAGCCCCCTTCATGTGGCCCGACCAACACAAACTATATGCCGAACTCTGGTCCTTTCCATCGGCGGAAACAGCGTTTGGAAATGGGTGCTGGGGCTATATAATTGAACCCCAGTCCTAGCTGCTGACTACGTTTCCCTCGTGCATTGGGCGACGGTACTTGTAAAATTTCACATTTCAATGCTCGGGGCTCAGATCCCATCCCGTTCTTGCTACATCTGGGCTAGGACACCGTTCTCAACACCACTGCACCAGCAGCCCGGGCTCGAATGCCCCCCAACCAACTGAGCATTCAGCTCGAATACCTTCTCAATCCATTTATTCCCCGCGGAACACAGTCAAGTCTGCTCCACGTTCGCGCTCGCACTGGTCTACAATTTACAGTACATACTAATTTATCCGTTCATTACTTTCTTCATACAGTGGGCACTAAAAGAGTGGTCATCTTTGCATCAGCCTTCGTACCCCCGGGCTACCCAAATGTGGCTCCCGGCCGCCATATCCTCCCAGGCTTCGTTGTAACATATATCCAACTGCTCTCTGGTCTTCTCTGTGAGAGTACAGCCAGAAAGTATCAATTTTTCCAGCTTAGACACCCCTACTACTGGTTGAGAACCATCCGGCCACCAACGTGAATAGATGAAGTCGAGAAAGTAGCCCTGGTCAAGATCAGATAAAGATTCCGCAGAAAAGCTCTTCAAGTGCGGAAGAATCTGCTTTTCAGGCCTAACTCCGTCGTAACGAAGGATTTCCATAAGGCAAGCAGTATCGGTATGTCCTTCCGAACGGATATGCAACTCGGTAATCGTACTGGCAGCGGATAAAATATGACACAACGCTTCCAGAGTGATTGCTTGGCCTGAATTAATGTCCCTGGCCAACATCCATGTTAAACTGAGAGCAAGGAGACCACACTTGTCGCGGTAAGACCTCTTCAGTAAGTCAATAAGTGCAGGTCCTACTACGGGCCCATGATCACCGTTGCCATCGAACCTCGATGTTGATAAGGACAGCTTCCTTAGTGAAGGGAGCGTTAACACCCCAAGGAAGTCCGCTAAAGCAGTGATGGTCCCACCAAGTGTAAACTCTTGTAAGTGCGGTAAGATGGTGGAAGGTAAAACATGGGGTGTAGTCCAGCCAACCCGGGAAAAATCCATATGTGTAAGGTTCTGCAACTGGTCAAGCTGCAAAAAGCCTCGCATAAAACCCTCACTGACGCCGAACACACCAGGATCCGATGACAGGGTTAGGTCACTGACGGTCTCAGGAATGAGGGTTTCTAAGCAAGCAAAAGATGGTGACATGGGGAGATCCAAGTTCAGTTTGAACAGACACGGGGCTTTAGTGAATGTAGAATGATTGCTTGTAGACAGCGGACAGGTCCCTACGGCAACTTGTAATTCTTCAAGAGCAGCAAAATGTTTTAAACTATGAGGAAAGTTGTGAGCATCCCAGGTATATGGAGTTATTAAGCGTCTCCATTTATTCGAAAATTTGACTATGATTTTGTAGTTGACTTTTCCATACAGTCTCTTCTGCACTTCTGAAGGCCGATCCCAGCCTTCCCGAAAAAATGGTCCATAGACTGTGAGATCGATATTCCTACGGGAGCGCAGCACCCAGCTGGTCAGTGCTTCCTCAAGATAAGCCGCGTCCGCTTTGGTTTTAAGGGCAGGGAGAAGCTCAATAGTTAGCGTAGTCCAAAGTTCAGGGGATGTGTACGCAATGTATCTCCAGCGCGAGCAAACTTGAGTGTAGTTAGGCGGGGATTGAATTGATTGGGGAGGTTGAATGGCAAATATCCGAATCAGTAGTTCGGGTGGAAATGTGTCCATAGCACTAGAAGATGCAAGAATAAGGGCAAAGTTTAGGTCTAGAATCATCGGGCTAACCTAGTCATATTTATAGATCTCTGAGCTCGACTGAACCGCTGGGGAGTTTGCAGAACTCATGCAACGTGAAGGCGTTCAAGTTTCAATTTGTACTTGTGTACACTACACTGCCGCATCTCAAACACCTCGAAATTCGCCGAACTACAAATTGGGGTGTAACTAGCTAACTATCTGTTAGTGTTTGAATTAGGACATACATAGGTGGTCATAGCGCATTTGTGTTTTTTTTAATAATGTGACTATTGAAAACCTAAGTGTTAGCAACGATAATTCCACAAACGAAGGGAATGCAGATCGAGGGAAAATCTCATTAGCGTACGATTATCCAAGTAAGGTAAGATGGGTGGAAGGTCGGACACTGGCAAGAATGGATAATACAAACAGATCCGTATGTGTTTGAAAGTGTTCGAGCAGCTGAAAGTCCCTCAGCTAGGCGAAGATGACAACGATAGTTTACGGGCTTTCTCAGAAAATGAATCTTGAGTCCAAGCAAAAGACCATGTTACACAGCAAAGATCCAAGCTCAGGTGTATAAATGCGGGGCTATGGGAAATAGGCCATGGAGTGACCTCGAGATCGACGTCGTCCATTTGCATTTAGAGGGCTGAAGAAGAATGATTGCGGTTCACAGGCCAGGCAATGTAGCGCATAGATCGAGCAAACTTGACCGTGGTTCGTAGATGAATTCGCACTCGAATGTAGATGAATGAACGCTAGAACACCTCATGGCAACAAGGAGTTTGAGTGCTAGGAAGTAAGAGTCTGTCCGAAATCAGAAAAATGAGAGCCTTTGAAATCAGTGACATTGTCATCTATGTTATGTCTCTTGAGTTCGTTGTAACAGTTTGTAAAGAGCAAAACCGTGTTATGCGTGATCACATAATCGAACCCGACACCGGATCAAGTTACCGGTTGACCCGACGAGCCCTCTTGCCGCACTTTCACTTGAAAAAGTTGAAGTTCTTTTCCGTCAACTATCAACTTTTCTACGGCAATGATCAGTGGCCGGTACTTGTCCTCATGACACTGTTGGCCTAATGCACATAAAACGGACACAAGAACTTCTTGAATTTCTCGCAACTTTTCTTCTTCTCCTTCCATCACCCCCGGTTTACATATGTATCTGAAATCTTTCTTCCCCGATCCTCAGCCTGTACAGGACATAAACGCCCACGATTTCTTCTTTGGCCGCCCAGAACAATCACAATGGCCAGAATACAACATACATATCGACATCGAAACAGACCGGAAACGAACTTTTAAAGAAGTAGAAGAACGGATAAAGAATGCATACATGGCGTTTGGGTCTTCACTGAAGGATGGTGGGATGGAGTTTGGCTCTGGAGGGCAAGAAAGCGGAGAAGTAGTTGGTATCATGAGCGAGAACTCTTCGGTATGTATTTGGTTAGGTTCCTGATTCGAAAGTTCACATTTATCAGTATAACTTGAACAGGATTACATGGTTCTAGTCCACGCGTTAATCGCAAATACAACGCCATTTGCACTAATTTCCGCATACTTTACTCGTTTTGAGCTTTTACACGCCTTCAAGCTATCAAAACTCACCAGGCTTTTCGTTCAGCCAAAGCACCTCCACCATGCGCTCTCTGTAGCCAAGGAAATCGGATTACCTTCGCACAATATCTACGTTATCGGTGGTCGTGTTCAAGGCCATCAAAGCCTGTCCGGGATGATAGAACGCGCGCGAAAATCCAAGATTGCTAGATTTCGTGCTAAACCCGCTACGAAGAACACGCTGGCCTATTTGGTGTTCTCGAGTGGTACCAGTGGATTGCCCAAAGGTAAATGACTAGTGGACGTCAAAACATCCCGATTCCTAATTCCAACTCGAAACCTTCATAGCTGTAATGATCACTCATGGGAATCTCTTATACTCGTTGTTTCAAATAATCACCCGAACTCAAATTACTGCGCTCATATTACCGGTAAGTGGTGTCTTGACTTGCAAATTTCATTCTTCAAATCTTATTCCTATTTACAGCCTCCGACAAACATCCCTGTCTGCCTCGCGTTTCTACCCATGCACCACACCTATGGCCTCCATGTATATTGTTTCCAATCGCTCCTGACTCCATCTACGATTGCCATTATGCCCAAATGGAATATCAATGCTGCCTTGAAAGCCATTCCCAAGTATGTTCTTTGATATTTGACTTTTGTTCGCAGCTTACATCGTCATCTCTTCCTCTCTTTTTCTCGTTTCAGATATCGTGTTACCAATCTTCCCCTTATCCCGTCCCTTGTCCACCAGCTACTCAATCACCCGCGAATATCTTCGGTTGACTTGAGTTCCATAGCGACTGTTAGCAGTGGCGCGGCGTATCTTCCACCACCATTCGCGGCCAAGTTGAAAGGGTTGACACCCAAGGAATCATTAGTTGCTGAAGGTACACGATTTCGTTATAATATTCACGTTTATTGTCACTGATCGTGAACCAAAACGGATACGCCGCTCACAGGTTATGGAATGTCTGAATGCGTGAGTGGTATCAGATGCAGGTTCCTTTCTTTTTAATCCGCCAAACCTTTCAGACGATCTCCGCTTTAACCCAAATCATCGTTGGAACACCACTCTCCTCCCCTGAAGGCCAACCAAGACTCGCACCACCCGGAAGTACCGGAATTCTAATTCCTGGTATGCAAGCCCGACTGGTGCGAGAAGATGGCTCAGAAGCAGAGTATAATGAAGTTGGGGAACTGTGGTTGAAGGGAGCCAATGTGTCGCCCGGGTATTGGGGGAATGAAAAGGCGACTGCGGAGACGTTCGTCGATGGGGTAGATGAAGAAGACGGGGTGGGCAAAGGGAAGTGGTTGAGGACTGGAGATAGATTCAGTGTTAACAATGACGGATGCTTTTTGTACGTGTAATCATTTCTTGAGACATTCGGAGTCTGACGTTCCTCACGCAGCTTTGCCGATCGAGCAAAGGTTCGTGTCGAGACTAAAAGCCCAAATCTTGCTGCTCTTGTTTCTCCTCGCTAATATTTATGTTTGGTTTCCATCTTGTTCTAGGACACTCTCAAAGTCTCGGGAATCCAAGTCTCCCCCGTCGAAATTGAGAACGTCCTACTTGCTCACCCGGAAAAATTCATCATCGATGTGACTGTCGCGGGTGTATCCGGTCATGGACGGACAGATGATGAGAAAGTTCCGAGGGCGTGGGTGGTGTTGAGCGCGGCTGGGAGGAAGAAGGATCGAGAATCAAAGGCGAAGGGAGAGCAGGGTGTCGTCAAGGCCCTGGACGAGTGGCAGAAAGAGAATCTGAGCAAGTATAAGTGGACGAGAGGAGGTATTGAGATTGTGAAGGAGGTGGGTATTTTTCGTTTTCTCATTCTAATCTCTATTTTCGGAATGATCTCGTGTTTCGCTTTGAAAGTTTATAATGTATCGATTCGCTGACGTTTGTCTCGGCGATTTTTCAGATACCTAAATCACCTACCGGGAAGGTTTTACGTCGGATATTGGTCGATAGGTATGAACAGAGCTTGCAGAGACAAATGAGGAAGAGAGGACACGGTGTGAAGAGCAAACTGTAGTGCCCTGACCACCTTGATTGTCTATGGTAACTTCTAATAGGATACGGGAAATCTGTTCTTGCGCCAGTCGTGTCACTGTGTTTTGACACAAGCGCTCCTTCAAACGCATTTGGTACAGAAGATTAAGAATAACAAGGTCAGCTTAACAATCCTGAATTTCCGGGGAATTACTCATTCTCCCCAAATCTGCTTGCACCGGAGGTATATAGCTTTCACATCGCTCAAACTCTTCACCATGCTTGCCGTGGAGTGTTTTGCTGTTCAAGGAGATACGGCTCATTGCTGCTCGAATATGAGCATAATTCTCTTCATTCGTGCCATTCTATAGCGACGGTCTGGACTTTTGGGCTCGCACACGGACTCATGAATTCGTATTGCCAACTTCGTTGAGACAAGTAAAGAGGATGCAAACCTGGAACGCTCATGACATCGTTTTGAGTACGGACCTTAAGTTTAAACCGTGACACGCGATATTCAAGTTGTTCAAGTGCTTATCGATCTAATGTTTAATTATACCGGATATTTGCAGGGGGCATACGAACTGCGCGAGTCTTATGGATATTCGTCACGACGTGAATATGCCTGCCAAGATGCAGGACTCGCCCAACATGAACCGATTTGTCTGTTTCCCAAGGTCGAGGCTGGTCTACCAATCGATCTATGATGCATGCTATTTTTTGGTGAGTGGTCAGTATAAATGTGAATAAATCTGCGGAGGAACTAATGAGCATCGTACCGTGTGCGTGGACACGTATACGATTTACTCAATAGTACATACCTGCTTCTCCGTCAAATTCGATGCCAATCGAGGCAATGGTTGCATTCTACATCATACCTCCGATTCTTGTTCAGGCATTAACCGAATGATTCTAGAATGAACTGCAGTCTTGATTGAGTTCTATTCAATATTCATTTTCCAGAGAATAATAAATCATCTCATTTTTGACAGGGTGAATATCTGTAACACACTACTAGTGGCACCAAGGAGGCTCTGGTCACACCGGACCAGCAGCATTTGCCCACGCTGGTACCGAATACACCCCGCTCTTTCCGAAACTATCACTGTCGGGGTGGTTGTTCCTCATCCCTTCATAAACTTGGTCAGAAGACAATGCTCAGAATGGACTCGTTCATTCCTTCCTACATCCATGGAACCTTTGGTGGGTCCAAGAATATATAGATGCTTACGCTCCTGGCACATCCTCTGCAAGATTTAGCCGGAGAGCCAGTATATCCACCGGTCAGTAATTTCGACATGGGAGGTTTTTTGCAATGACAACTCACATTATCTCTATCGAAAAATCTGCTGAACTATATTACTGCTCTCGTCAAGTCCTTTAGAACAACCTGAGGCCCTTAACTGCCCTTATGCGTGTTTGGTCTTGGCACTACAACTGTTGATTGAACGAAACGGTTTCTTCATAGATGTATGTGCCAGCCTCACGTACGTGGCTTCGAATGATGACTCCCATGCTAAATCCTATACGTCCCAGGTCCTTCTGTTATACAGTGCACTAGAGGTTTTCCGTTTCTGCGACGTTATCGACTATTGACTTGTTCATGTGCATACAGCCGCTGGATCCGTATGTCTTGGTGCCCACTCTTGAAGACTTTACTTATCCGGTCAATATCATTTCTCAAGGGGAATCGGAAGGGTTTTATCGATGTGCATTGTATCGGGCGGTTTATATTGATTCAGGACTATACGTCGAGCGACAAACTTATTTTCCGCGGCAGCACCAAGTTCGGCGTCAGCTCATTCTAGTATGGAACTATATCGTTGGCCCTAGGTAGAGCTATAAAATAGAACCCTAAAACCAGAGGATCATCCTCACGAAATCCACCATTTTTGCCATGTCATTCATCAATAAAGCTTTCACCTTCGCCTCAATCTTCCTCGTTGCTGTCGAGGCGTCAGTGCTCGCTCAACGCCAGACCTCCTGCGCCACGTTGCTCGAGTCCTGCGCTGATAGCGCATGCTGCGACGGATTCACATGTGCCTCGTTACCCATTGTATGTCTAATTCAAGTGTTCCTTCAGGCTTTAGACTGAGTGGGTGTATCTGCTTCTAGCTCGGGTCGGTGTGCTCAATTGCGCTCCCTACTGGTACTAGTACTGGAAGCACTGGAAGCACTGGTAGTAGTAGCACTGGAAGCACTAGTAGTACTGGCCTTCCTGGTAGTATTTGTGCTGCCTCGGGAGAACCATGCGTCACCCTTGCTGGCGATAGTATTTGCTGCACGGGCCTTACTTGCTCGACGAGTTTACTCGGAATCTTAGGAGTGAGCTTTGACCTTTTCCCCCTGTCAAGTTTCACTCACAAAATTCGACGCTAACACCACGAGTTTTCAGACTTGTGCATAATCAATCAAATTCGATTTTGACTCTTCAGTGGAGTGCGGGGTCATCATGCTGCTCTAAGTCTCGGGGCTCTTTTTATAGGAATCCACGTTTAATCAACATCGGCGATACATATTCATTAACTATTCAGTTTTCCTATTTGTTGGGCAAAATTTTTCGATGCGCGAGATGCTTTTTTCATTTCCTTCCTTGTAGTATCTGCCAATTGTGGAATCCAAATTCCGTGTTACTCTTCCCAGTAAAGTACCAACACGGTACATATACATTCAAAAGGTCTCAGTTGAGAAAGTAAATGCAAAAGTCAGTCAACTTCAAACCTTTCTTGAATCGCACTGGTATGCGCACGACTCACATTCAACTTGAAGCCATGCCATCCTATGTGACGGATTTCCTTCCGAGGTCTCTCACCACGTCAAATTCGATACATTCTCTGTATGAATCAACCAGAGAGTCGTTGATCTAGTACTTGCATCTTGCTTCCACCGGTGACAACTTTCTGGTTCAGCATGGGAGGTTTTTTCGACCCACTGCTTCTCCTCATGCTGACGTCACAACCTTCTACAGGATTCCCCTGAATTTTAGTTCCCTTGTGCGTGTTCGATTTTAGTCGTGTCAAGAGCAGTTGTATTGAACGAGACAGTCCATCTACCTCACGTACGTTATTTCAATTTTCAGTGACTACTGAAGTTTATACATTCAGGACCGTATGGTGTTTGATGCAAGAGCTTCTTTCTTCTGCGATTCTATATGCAGCCACTGCATCCGTATGTCTTAGCCTAGTTCGCGCTAAGGGAAACCACGATAGTTTACTTATCTAGGCAACAACATTCTTCGAGGAAACCTGCGAGCATTTTACCCACAGTCGCGGGCAAACCTGGACGTACACTGTGTTCTCGATCTTCTATATTCAATATAGATTGGGCACGCGGATAATGCAGCAGACGTCAGCAAAAAATCGTGTTCTGTGACAACGTCAAATTTGGTGTTGTCAGTTACAGTGCACCATCGTTTAAGCTGCCGTCGATCTAGCAGAACTATAAAAGAACTTGCCCCAATATTCCAGTGAGCTAGTCAACAGATTGATCCTTTCCGACATGCATTTCATCAGCAAAGCTCTGACTTTCGCTTCGATCCTCTTCATTGCTGCCAGTGTCGAGGCGTCAGTGCTCGCCCAACGCCAGGCCCAATGTGCCACGTTGCTCGAGTCCTGTGCCGATAGCTCATGCTGCGAAGGGTTCAGCTGTACTGATACTATGTTACCATTAGTATGTCTGTCCAAAAAATTTGGGGCTCGAAATTCTAATTTGGGGTATCTGTGTCTTGAAGCTCGGTTCGGTGTGCACACTTTCAACGTCTGGTACTGGCGACATTTGCATTGACCTGGGCCAACCATGTACGAACCTTGGCCAAAACACTTGCTGTTTAGGCTTCACTTGCTCAGCTACCATACTTGGTATCGTAGGAGTAAGTTTCAACCCAGTGCCCCCGTTGTTAAGTTTGACTGAGTTTGAACTTTGCTCTATAGACTTGCGATTTAGCAATTTGAATCAAATAGTGCAACAACGTAGCTGAGCTGGAACTTGCTAGTGCTCACACTGCCGTCCTATCTCCTTTGCGTCCATGAACAAATTTCGTCGAATTAAATTTCATCGATAGCCATTCCTGTCACTCTGATCCGTAAACTCTTCAGTGCACGAGATTTTCTTCAACATGTTCCCACCTAAAGCGTAAGCAAGAAGACTTCACTGACACACTGCCGTGGACCACACCTTGCTTTGTGATGGATAATATACCTGAATTTTAGATATAAGATGCGGCGCACAGTAACAGGGGCTCACATGTAGAGGTGCCAGTGACAAGCCGGTGAGCTTTGAAACGAAACAAGTCCAAAGTGTGTCTGTTCTTGAAGTTTGAAGTGCCGCATGTCGCAAATGTGGGTCCCTCTAAGTGATACCGTCTCTTCCACGAGAGAAATCTTATTCGACCAAGAAACAAGACATCACGAATTCCATCTCGACGTCGTTATGGGACGAAAGTAGCGACTTTGTTCCTTAGCGAAATAAACTGCTTACAAAGTATTTTGGGCTTGTTGACGTTGTTTTAGGTTGTCCTTGTTCAACACCATGCCCGATTTACCACAGGAGCTTATCGACCGCTTCATCGACGATCTCAAAAACTTATCACTAGTCAGCAAGTCCTGGCTTCCCAGGGCTCGATATCACATCTTTCGCTTCATTACGCTTGCACCTCAGGACCTAGAAAGGATCCGCGAACATTACGCTTACCTGGAGCACAAAGCATCGGCTATACGTAATGGACGTTATTATCATCATCCTTTCCCTTTTGCAGAGCAACGTCTGCTCCATTCCTCATTATTTGGATATCTCCATCCACAGACGTTCTTCGTATCTTCCCTCAGAGATACCCTTCATCTCGTCCAGGGTCTACAGCTGGAGTCCTTCATTCAAGTAGGAAGAGGACGAAGAATCTCTCCCCAGAAGTATTTTGATCAATGGCTGGGAATTCGAGGCCAGGAATTCGCACAAGAGTCCATTCTAATGCGAGACCTATACGTTGATGATAAGTTTAATAAAAGGCAGAAAGATCGCTGGAATGCTGTTGTTCTACCTTGGGGTCATCGAGCAGGGCTCCATGCATTACCATTCAGGTGCATGCGATACCTCCAGATTCGGTGGAGTGTATTTAGTTGGATACCATCATGTGTACTTTTAGAGGGAGAAGAATCTTCGGCAGTTCATGCCCTTTGCATAATGATATCCTTCGCTGTGAGATTGGTGAGGACATGTAGTCCGAATTGTTATTGGCTTTGCGCTGTAGGCTTCGCAATTTTTGTATCTGGTTGAAGACTAAGTATTACTGAGCAAGTCGGAGACCATCAACATCACTCTCTATCGTCAGAAGCCTGTAATGCCTCTGGAAAATTTGCATGAAGTTTTGAACACGAGTGAGATACTTACTGCGATGCAGCCTTTGTCCGTTGACCTTTTCGTCCGTTTCCGCCTCTTCAAGGAAGACAATCGGAAGCTCAGGCTGGAGAGTCGATATTTGACGCACGTGAACGGTAATTGCATTCTGCCCACGTGGGAAACCTCTCTCTTACCGTCGTCTCGGACGACGAACTCAAATGCCATCCAATAATCTTACCCTCAAACAACGGTTGGCGGCCCTTTCAATAGCTCCCTCAGCGCCAAGCGCTCCACATGGCTCCCAGCCGCCGCCATATGCCGATTTCGACACTACCGTTCCTATATCCCCCTCAAGTCCGGGTCTTAGAAGTCCTCGACGAAAGGGATTCACAATCAATGGCTTTACACCTCCCTGGACGAAGAGATCCTTAGGAAGCAGCGACAACATTAATCACACTGCCAATGCAGAGATTCAAGGAAGAGAATTAGTGCAACAGACGATGGCCAAGTTGATTTTCCAGGCTGGTGTGGATTATGAGTGAGCACCATGCAATCCTGTCTGCAACCATTCGCTAACTATATTGAAATAGAACACGTCCAATGTAGGAGGCGCCTCACTTGTCAAAAACCCGTGTACAATTAATTCATTGAACCGAATACAATTTAGGGTTGTAATCAATGCCTCTGCACTGCCTGATCCTCGAGAAATGAACTATGATGTGTTGCTCTCGTACGTTGTCAGCTCCCTCCTTGAACTCTCTCAGCTTCTAAATGGTCTTCTGGGCCTGCCAGACGGATTCTCTCATATCTCGATCTTTATGGTAAAGAATCCAGGAATTATGTCCGCACAAGATATTCACATTATTTTCTCAGTCGAATCAGACTACACTGTCGTCTTTCTCGCTGCCGGAGGAAAGCATTCGCCAGGCTGGAATTGGGTCTGGAAAGCTTATCGAAGTTTGAGCCGGAAGTATCGTAAGAATTTGAAACGACTGGTGAGTGACTTACATTCAAATCACTGTTATCGTTCTCATATTGGGATAGTATATCGTTCATTCAACATTCTTCACAAAGAGTACGTGTCTACTCGTTTCTCAAGATAATTATTTTTATAACATTCCGTTACAGTGCTTTTCTCTCTCGCTGGTGCTATCATCAGGTATGTCGTTTGGATTCAGAATACAACAAATTCATGTATCCACGACTCGTTGCAGTCCCAAATTCTTTCGCAAGATCACCTACCTTGATACCCTATCCGAACTTGCATATCATGTCCCACTCACTCAGATTGACATTCCTCCCGCGGTCTACCAGTACGTTTCATCAAACTTCCATATTTCTAAGCTAACATGTCTCTATACAGTGAAAATTCTAAATACGAGAAGAAGATTACCCTTCCCATCCCCACACCCTCCAGCACATTTGGCGTCCCACTCGAAGACCTCATGGGTTACCACGGCGAAAAAGGCGGGATCCCCCGTCCAGTCAAGGACGCCATTCAATTCCTACGGGACACAGGCTTAGAGGAAGAGGGTCTATTCAGACGCTCAGCTTCGTCGTCCATGCTTCGCTCTGCCCAAGAAGCTTACGATAGAGGAAATGTTGTCTCGCTAGAAACATTTGGGGACCCTCATCTCGCTGCGGTGTTGCTGAAGAAGTATTTGAGGGATCTGCCGACGCCGATATTTCCGGAGGCTCTCTATCCTGTTATCAGACGATGTCCGATGCCCACGAGCGATCCGGGGGATATGACGAGTGTGATGTACATTAGGGATGTGTTGTTGTCAGAAATACCACCATGCACGTATATTCTCTTAAGCCACGTCCTTCGTAAGTCGTCTATCTCTTTGTGGCGAATTTGAATGATTCTGACTCTTCTGTGTATCTGGTAGACTTGATGCACGATATTTCCCTCCGGTCTGCTTCAAACCGAATGGATGCTCACAACCTTTCCGTGGTCCTCTGTCCTAACCTCGTTTCCGGTTCTAGTCCTATTCGGGACGTTCAAATGTGTGCTGTACCCGGAGGACCTGCCCTCTTCGAGCAACAGGAACAACAACAACAACAACCCTCTTCTCTACCTTCATCATCATCTATCCCATCTCTATCCATATCCAACAAAGCTACTGCTTCGGCTGAAGGTAAAACCACGCTTGGTGCCATCATCAAACTTTGTATTCAGCGGTACTACGAGGTTTTTGACGAGGTCGTGGATCCTAGTGAGGCCATCGTAGCACATCCGATGTCTGAGGCAGACTACGCTGCTGGATATGGAGGCGGAGATAGATACGAACTCCGGGATAGCACGCCTGAACGAAGTAGGGACGCATCCGCGGAACCTAGCGACGATGAGTTGCAACAACATCAGCAGCGTGCATGGAAAGGAACCGCAGGTTTCCAAGGTTTCCCTCAACCTGGATCCGTCATCGGAAACGGGTTCCATGATCGCTCAGATTTTGTGTCACAATTGAGAATTGACAATCACAAACGGAACAGCAGTGGTTTCCATACGAATCCCGACGACGATGAAGATATTGATGACGCGATGTTAGTCATGCCTATTGGGCCCAACCACGGACGACATACCGATCCCAATGGTGGCGGTCCATCGACATCGTCCTCATCATCATCTATGTCGCCTCAACCCCATCCTCAACATCGGAATACACTTTCCAACGGCTCCAGACGCTCAAAGCCCACACGATCTGTACACACTGACTACGGCGTTCCACCATCTTCATTCTCATCCTCCTCCCTCGCCCAGTCCGCATCATACGCGACATACAGCAGGGGCAAAGCACGTTCAACCATCAGCATCGAGAAAGGCTCAGGGTCGACCATTGGTCCTGGTAAAAAAGGCTCTATCAGTATCGGACGCGGAACCAATCGGAAGAGTACTGGTTCTGGGGTGGCAGCGATCGGGGTCACGGCGGAAGGGTTTTTTGCGCCTCCTTCAAGAGTGGAGGTGCCGCCTGTACCGCCGCTTCCTGGGAGGGGTATCGGTAATGGACGTGCCATCCCCGGCGAGGAAGGAGAAACAAGATCATAAGAAGGTGCAATCACCCACACGGTGCAGTTTGTGTCTCCAATCACGATTCCTCTAGACGCCGTATTCAACATCTGGCATCCTGGAATCCGGAATCCTCCTTCATATATATTGCTGTCTCATTTTTCAATTGATTTATTATCTGCTGTGTAGATTCTTGCTTTCGTCGGCTCTCGTCTTTTTGGATTTTCCTCTTCGTGTCGTTGCATCGTATCATACTGTAACTTCAAACAGTTTTAATTTAGTTCACTACTGGTATAGTGTATAATGTCAATTGGACTAGGGTCTGATTCGAAATACGACTCGGATTCAAGCTCAGAGAGTTTGTTCCTCAACTATCATTTTGATGGGAGATAACAATTCTCAGGTGTGCTTGTGTATCTAGCAGCGGTGTCCTTCTGACCAGGCGGGAGGTGAAACCATTTCCGACGTTGATGATGCCGAGTTCCGGCTACTTGGGGAACAAACATTGCTAAACTAGGGTTGATTGCTCTTTTCTTGAAGTTCACTGTACGCTCACTGGTCTAGCATTCAGACCACATATCGTGTCTCACTTTTCAATGAACAGCAATCCATCGTCGACGATATCAATGCTGTTGCATGCTATTGTCATTATGTGTCCGACGGGGTCCAGGGAACAACAACATCAATAACACTTCGAGGCTCGTATCTTCGAATATCGCTCTGAGATTAGCTCTATATGTGATCACTAAATCACTCTCTACTACCTATAATCACCTCACGATAACATATGTGAATATATGAACCTTTCATGAAGACCAATATCCCAATTTGGCCATGCACGCGGCGGTTTCCCATCAAATGTGATGGAAAACAAGGGCATTCCCTCTCTATTATCACCCGCCCTCGCTCTCCTCCTTTGGCGAATAGTTTTGTCACTCAAGATTGCTCTGTTGTTGGTTAGATTTCTCCCATTACCCCAAAGCTTACAAGGCAAGATCAAAGGCTGCAGAATCTCAACGACTTTGAATACCTTTTCAGCTTTGTTTCTTCCCCGGGTTAACAAACGCATAGGCCTATCCGCCTTTCTCTTTCACTGTTCAAGCCACTTCGATGTTCGCACTCAAAACCTGTATAAAACCTGTTCAGAGCAACGGTAAGTCCTCATCCCCAGGCAACGACTTGGTCAGATTTTCTATCGAACTCTTTGCTTTCCTCGACGCTAAATTTCCTCTTCGAAATGTCTCACTACGTTAATCCTCTTCACCCTTCCGTCCACGCTGGAAATACCTCTAGCTATAGCACTCTCGGATCAGCGAACCACGTGTCTTCTCCCGCTGCATCGACTTTCCTTATTCCGAATCGAAGACGTCTGGCTCAGACACCCTACACTCCAAGCGGGAAATGGAAGAGTACTTCCGGTCGTATGCAGCCTCTTCACAATCCTATTGCCTTCGACCTCAAGGGCTACTCGAAGCAAGGCTTCCCCATGCAGGAGTTGTGTGTTCGTGGTGAATACGCTCTGGAACAGATGATGCAAGGTGCTACAGATCAAGTCCTCGCTCATGCTCCCTACCTTCGGAAGATTACTATCCACATCAGGGTAAGTTTCCTTACTCCATCGTATCTTCCCTACTCGAACTAACATGAATTGATATTAGTGGCCTGGCTATGAACACACAGAATGGGCACGTCCTATCGAAGTTGTGACTTCACGAGGCCCAATCTCTCGTGCAACACTTGCTCAGGCCATCGCACTCAATTTTGCTCGATTCTGCGAGGTCAGTGATACAAGTTTTGGCTTGACGCTCCCATAAAATCTAACTTCATTCCTTCATAGAAAGCCCAAATGGAACGCCCTCAATCTCCGCATTGGCGGATTGGCCACGGCGGTATCACCTTCGAGAGACTGGTCCTTGTCTCTTTATGGAACCCTTTCGAAGATGCCTGGCAAGCCGACGTTGCAGTCGACTTTTAACGTTTTCCGACCATATATACCATCTCTCATGCACCAATCATATCCTACGCTATCCATACGCATCTCATATCTACCTTTGTAGCGATAGCCTCGCTGTATTCAACCATTGTATATTGCTAACACTGTAGCATTTAGCACCTTGTATCGATACAAAATCACGACCATTATCATGATAACGATAGACTACGATATTAATACACATTAATACACAGCTGGAATCTCATAACATAACATATATAACCTGTCAACGTCCTGGACTCGCATGTAATTCCTTTTTTACACAGAGCATCTATTCATCCCTCCAAGATCCTCGTTCATTGCTGATAGGAAAACGAGACGTAAATGACTCCGCGGCGGCATAATCGTATTCGAAGAAATAGAAAGTGTCAGAATAATCCTCAGCTATCACCAAGACTATCAGTAACGATGGGAGGTGACCGAAAAGACGAACATACAGTTACGACCGTAACTTTCAACGAAGGGTTGACGATAACCGTTAGCGACTGGCTTCGAATGCCGTGTCGAAGTTATCGGGTAGTTCTCTAACTCTTCGATGTCCTAATTAGACATAACTTAGTATCATATTTTATGATCACCCAAAGAAGTCACCAACTTCCTCATCGGTTTTGTCTGGGTCCTGCGCTAATCTCTCATCGACCTCGACCTCAAGCAATCTTTGTGATCTGAGAGTCATCTGTGTCCTCGTCCCAGACTCCGAGCCTCGAGTTATGCGACGTCGCTTCCTGGCTGGTTCACCTCCGACGGCTTGTTGACTACAATCTTTCATATGGATTTGCCAGTTCTCGATTTGGTAAAGAAAGCGCGGGTGTAATTGAACAAGATTCTGACAGTCTTTGCAGATAACGCTGTGTTCTTCTACGGAAGAAACGAGGATAGCAGGCTGACTCCTCAGCCAGGCTTTGCGAGTAGCTGGTGTGGTTCTACCAGTCACTGGATCCTTTCTTGGTCTGCGAAAGATCGGGCGATTGTGAGCATCACAAATCATGGTGCGCGCCATATCTTGCGAGTAGTAATTAATGGAAACTTGAAAGATTGTATATCACCGTGAAATTCAACGGTAATGTCACTAATCAGGACGAGAGAAATTTAAGAAGGCTTAAATACCTCTGGGTAGTCTCTATTGTCCGTTTAATTAGGATCTTTGCCACTTCTCAAAATAGCAATGCATCTTTGGCCCGGATAACGTGATCGCGTCTTCTCAAATCGGGCAGCCAGCTAAATGTCAACAAATTTTTTTTTGAATCGAGAGTAGCATTGCTATGGATTCAGAGGAGGAACAAGACAGATCATTTACCTACGTAGTCAATACGTAGTATAGACTGAGAAATAATAAGGCATATTCCAAACATATTCATGGACATACGAAGACATAAAGGCATATCAGTAGTAAAGGATCGCAGGAAAAGGGACTAAGTATCGTAAATTATCGTTAAAATGGAATACAATTACAAGTGAGAACATGGTGAGCACAAATGCGAATTAAGTCCAACAATGCAATGCGGGAATTGGTCAAGTGGGTTGGAGTGGTATAAGATCCACTGTGGCAGTTCGTCCGTTTCGAAATAAAGAAGAATAAACAAACTCGTTAGAAGGGTTGGAATAATCATCACCCAGCTCCTGGAGGAAGCGAACGGATACTTTTACGAGAGGCGAAGTATCCAAGCACCAGAACCGCCATGACCGGAAGTAGCTAATCCCATGAAGCGAGTGTGGCCAGTCAAGAAGTCCACCCGTTTGAGTCCCTGCTGTTTCTCATGCTGGGACGCATGGCGATCGCGAAGACGTCTGTACCGCGTCTCATAAGCCATCCGAACTTTCTCGGCGTCTTTCTTCGATGGGATCGCGTGATACTCTGCAGAAGTGACGTTCTTCCGCAGAGACTGGTATACTTCGGTGAACACATCATTCACGGTAACGTAGTGACCATTGTACGAGGCTTGGACCGTTATGGGCCATATGTGGTGGGGGATATGGAGTACAAGTGATGATACGGGAGGGTATACTGCAGGCTCGGAAAACGAGGTAGTAGAAAGGCCTGTGTGCGATGTCGTTATGGCGGACGTGGGGAGGCTGACATCGTAATTTATGACCGGATGGTGAGAGTAAGCTAGCAGATTATGTACCCGTGTAGGAGCTGGATACGACTGAGAGCGTTTGTGCTGAGAGCGAGAGGGGCCATAACGAGTTGAAGGTAAGCCTGAAGAATACGATGGGGGAGTCTGTGGCCCTGAGGACGACGGTGCAGACCCAATGGAATAAGATAAAGACGGTACGGCAGGAGGATAGGCAGTCGAGATACTCGCGAATCGTACGTGTTTTCCTGGCATATACTAGTTGTTCGTTAAACTGGGGTTGAAAGTTGTTATGTAGACTGAGTGGAGGGCGGGGGGATTCTGAAAGTATGGAAGCTAGACATAAAACGCCTTTATATCCACCTAGCGCGTCTGTGACGTATCGGGAAGAAAATAGATGAGATTGGAGATGGCGGTGCCGGCTCTTGATATTCGGATGTACAGCCACGACACAGATTCTCGGAGCCTGAATAGGAAGGGCGGAGGCCGCGTCTGATTGGTTCGGGTAAGCGAGATCCACGGAAACAAAATGCCTTCCCGGAAATGCTGACGAAAAAAATTGAGATGCACTGAGCTCTAGTTCAGCAAATAGAATATACTGCTACGGCAAGAACGAGTCAGAGTGAGTAGTCGTTATTGAGAGAGAGACGAAAGCAACCAGTACAATCCCCAAGTTAGATAAATTTGTTTTCATTCGGAAACCAGACGGAGTATCGGATACAAACAGTGTCTCACATACAGCTATCTTTTGCTTTGTGTTTGAGCAAATACGCATTAGTTAGATTGCAAGCTTTGAGATGAGAGCGTGTTCAGGGAGTCCTGCGGCAGATCGTAGTCGGTATCCACGGAATTCTACAGCAAACTGACCTAATGTGGGGGGCGCGCCGCTAAGCGCTCTACAGCTATCACGTAGAGGAGAAGCGCTGCCTCTGTTGGTGGCGCGATAGATAGATGCATTTGAAACTCTGGTGTACAGAGCACCATTTTCTTCGAGTATGTTACACTGGGGTGCGAACTTTCAGAAGCAAAAAGGGAGAAGTTCAACAGCAACCGCAGACACTTTTACGTGTTAGATAGACCTATAGAACACACCAAGTATGCGGAGTGGACCTCTCGTTATCGTTCCCCTCGTTCTAATCCACTGATCAAGTAGTCTCCATCGAACTCGTGTATGTAGACAGGAAGTCAATGCCCACTGATTCTTGAATCGTATTGTCAGCCTTCTCGGACGATATTTCGCACTTGGAGTCGGAGGAGATGATCTTCCCGAATTAGGTGTATAGCGTCCAGAGGATTGGCAGGCTTGAATAATTCCTATCAATCTCTGAATTGTGTGACGGGAATCCAGGAGAGAAAGAACTGAATAAGTTCTAAATCCAGTGGAGGTGGCGATTACACGTGTAATGATGATAGGAGGATTCAATGCGCAGATGCGAGGAAATTAGGAGAATTAGAGCCAAGAGTCTGAGTGTAATTGTAAGAGTCAAAGTAAGTACATTATATTATGTTGCAGTGCACGCCGAGCAAATTGTGCCACTTGCCCAGAATTCGACAACGGCTATATAGTGGATTGCCTCATGGATTTGTGTCTCCGATGGTCTTGTCGTAGGGGAACGTGTGAAGAGCTGCGGAAAGTCGGGACTCGGCCATCTTTTGCCTCAGTAAGCCAACTTACATAGTATGCTGTAGCCTGTGGAACCCCCTAGAAACCCTGGTTGCTGTCCTCGCAGCTGCGCACATGCAGGTTGAGAAATCAGATGTCGAACATAAATGGGAACAAATAAGTTGGTAGATTCTTTTGGCTAAATACGAAGGACACATCATGAAATGAGGGTTCGTTGAAAGTCTGAATGATGAAAAAAAGAACGCGATGGTGGGTTCGGTGATAAGAATTACACGTGTTATCATGGGCGCGCACCGCAGTGCCTCTTACGGTTACTAAATGTATACTAGCTTGTGCTAGTAGGTGACAAGCGAAATACACCTGCGATTTTGAGATAGGCCGGCCGCTTCAAGCTCAACAAACAAAGTTTAGATATAACAAATCGTGCGATTAGAAAGTTTGACTATGAGGTTACAGTAGTGTTACATTGTATCTTTACTTCTTTTGTGTTTGACAATTCTAATAGTACTGAAAGCTTCGTGAAAAGGTCGTAAAAATATTGAAGGATATAACGATATGGGAAAAAGCAATTTACACAGCAATTTTTGAACGAGGATAGCAGGAGAAATTTTCGGAATCGAAGAGGAAGAAGAGGCTATATTCCCGACCCTTAGCCCAGGTGCCAAGCTGGAAAGGGAAATGTTCGACCAGCGGAGGACATACGCCAGGGAATGAGAGCCACAAAGAACTAGAATATGGTGGAACAAGATAGGTGATGCGAGATGGAATGACGTTGGTATGTAGAGCCACTAGTGTTTCCGCTCATGACACATTGAGCTCCCAAACCAATCCGTCGTCTCTCCGACGGGACTTTTTCGACAGGCCCAAGAACCGAGTTCTGCCAATTAAGAAGTCGACCCTCTTAATGCCTTTAGACTGCTCCTCTTGACGTGCCTGTGCCTCCAGAATGCTGTTACATCGCGAATAATAAGCTTCGTTGACATTAGCAACAGCTTCCGGTGAAGGGAGCGCTTTGTACTCTACGGGATGGACGGCAATGCGTAAGCCGCGGTAGAGGGCGTACAACACGTCGATGACAGAGACACAAGAGGCTTTGCGAGACGACGGGGTGACAGTGAATTCCCACTGAAGATGAGGACACGTAATGATTAACGAAGAAACTGGTGGGTCTGTGGCGGGCTCCGATAGAACGTCGGCCGAGATAAATGACTTGGTTATAGATGGATGCGTGGAAAGGTGATACGGAATTGGAGGCAATTGGTACGGCGAAAAGGCCAATAGATAATGGATACGTGTAATGGGCGCTGGAATATCCAGCGATTTAGATCGTGAATGGGTCGTAAGTTTAGAGACGTGTCTCCGACGTCTCGAAGGTTTCGAGTCCTCTGAGTGTGAAGAGCGGGAACTCGAAGTGGAAGTGGACGTGGTGAACACGTATGGCGTAGAGGGAACAGGGGAATACAAGGCGTTGATGCTAGAGAATCGTACATGTTTCATGAGTGCAGGCATTGGTGAACGTTAGAGGAGTTGGGTCCAAAACGCGGCCGGCTTTATAAAGGTCCTGCGCCCTAGCTAGCCCAACAACAATTTATTCCGATGCAATGACTATGTTACCATCAACTTGATTGTCCTGGAACAGGTTATAAAGCGAACTGACCTAAAAAGGGAACAGTGACCGTTGGCCCGGAAACGGCTCAATAGACCAGGTAAAGTCTTATTATCCTTTGCAGAAGTACAAGGCAGAACGAGGCAGAACGACGGAGATGAAGGTCCAAGCTGGGCTGAAATAACAATTCTCGTTGTCAAAGATCAACTTTGAACGTCGCCTTGTAACGATGTCACAATGATCACAACAAAGTATATGTCGTTATCGCGCCCAACGGTCAAAGAGCACATCCTGCCATCTTCCATTGAAAGTCTCGTCTAAGTTTCATCAGATATGCACTGGAAATCAGTGCAGATCTGTGAGGAGCAAACTCAGTGAATCAGTAGAGCGACAACGCCAAGTAATAGTATCATACGCACTGAGATCATCCGTGCTTTAGACCGTTCTGTATCTATCATTCCCAGGGGCCAGTATATTCATCCTTCGTGGAGATACCTATCGCGCAAAAGATGAATAGTATTGCAATGAACAATGTTCGTCGTCAAAGAACAGAAGGAGATGGAGAAGAGACATCGGCCCGAGCGGTAACCGGTAATTACTGAAAGAAAAAGCCTGCCGAAAAAAAAAACCTCCTTGTCGATAGCCTGGATGAATCTCTTCTCTTTCATTCATCGGTCAAACTAAGGCTGCGAAGTCTAATGCGAAAGCGTGAAAATTCTCTCGCAGATTGGCTTTTCTCATCTTGCTATCAGTATGTCAGTCTAAACACCCTTTAATATCTCGAGGTTTTGGACTAGGAAATGCGGTGTTCGACTGTCAAGTGCAAAGAGACCAAGGACCGGCGCGCGATTTTAAGGGCTGTATAGAAGATGTTCAACCAGTAAGCATCGCTTCTCAGCAAACAATTGACAATACTGTAAGGTTATAATTGCATTCGCCGACCGCGCTTTCAAGATGCGACTGAATAGTCGGTTGCAGGTGAGGTCTCCATTTTCGATCTTCCTCCTCTTTCTCGGCCTCTTCCCGGCCACAATGCGCATACGATGACGTTTCGACCGAATGCTTTAGGAAGTGCCGTCTGAAGCAATAATACTTTGCTCTGTCGATACTCGGTTCTCTGATTTTCCCCTTGAATTCTACAACATCACGATGTTCGCTAATGCAATTTATCACAGATCCCATGTGTACAGGTTGTGACCTGTGGTGACTCGTCGCGACGCATCTTGTAATTGTATACATAGTAGCGTTGAATGGAGAGTTCGTTTTCTTTGAAAATCTTGTATCATGATTGTGATTATGGTTATCCGTCAAAACCACATATGATCAGGTTTGACATAGCTGTCTGTGACTTCCAATACGACGCCTCCTCCCCAGGTTGACACTGCTTGAAATTTCTGAATAGCCTTCGAAATAGCTTGGTCTGGGGCTAGCAGATTTTCTAGCGTCAATCTTGGCAGCCATGGTTAGTTCTCGTCCTTCTCACTAGTTGCATTGCTAAGTAGTCCCCGTTAGAAAACACTTTGTCTCAAGGTACAACCCATCGATGATACTTGATAACTCCATTTCATCATAATTCAAACATTGAAATGCAATACATGGCGTCTAAAGCATAACCAGTGTGAGAGGTGCCGGTGAGTGGGGAAAGGTAAAGGTACATGGGTGTTATACATAGTGACTAACTATACGCATATTGTAGGATCATAGAACTGGAGTGGTGTGTAATAACGATATGCCAATAAGACTAGAGTTGAAAGGAGAAAGTGTCGCGCAGCCATTGAACCATCATCGCTCACCGGACGTGAAGTCTGAGCCTAAAGTGATCATGATCGTTTGATACTACGTCAAATCCAGCGAAAATACTTTGCCCTCCAAGGTAGTCAATTCTTCGCGGGCCAGCTTCTTTCTCCCGGGACGCACGAGCAACGCTATGCTCCATCAACTTCTCACACCTCTTTGCAAAGGTGTCTAATATACCCTTCCTAGTTTCCGGCTGCTCTCTCTCTAGGTCAATCGCCCGAACCTGCTCCTGGAAAAGCAGATGTAGTCGCTCCAGGAGATCGCCTATCGTGTTCCCCCTTCCCTCCTTTTGTTCTCTGATATGTAGAACAAAAGGGAGCTTGGAGCATATAACGCTTATGTGGGAGACGGGCGGTTCTGTCGCTGGCTGATCTAAATACTCACTATCCAATGTTCCTTCTTCTGGTGTTTGTAGAAGGTCGTTGACAAAGCCGAGATTTCGTTTAAACCTCAACATGTCATGGATAGTGGCTACGTCAGGCAATGTCGGAGGCGGTGTCATAGGCCCCGGAGACACCGAGGAGGATGAAGTCGGCGAGTTGGTAGGGGATGCATAGTAGAACTCGTTGGAGTCAGCCCAGCGTACCATCTTGTCGGACATCGGTGTAATTCTAAACTATCACGAAAACGGGTGAGACTCGAGCATCGAAAGTTTTGGTTCGCCGCGATAAGCTAATCACCTTTGGGCAGATGCAAGATGCAATGAAGAACTGGGCGAGCTTGATCGAGGGCAAGTGCAGAAGGTAGTGGTGGCAGTTATAGTGTTTTCCAATGAGAGGCGCACTGACTTTATAACGGGGGGATGGTTTCTTCAACACCAATTGGTTTCTTAATCCGATCTTGGGGACTATATGATATATAGGATATAAATTACACTGAGTGAGTCATACTTACTACACCTTTCAGCCCTAAATGATCACTCTAGCGAATGTCTTTTTAGTTGAAGACGGTCTGTTCCGAAAGTTCAGCGTCTATCATAACTTCCTTCCAGACTTAGGTTTCTTGCACGAGCCACCGACGCGAGGTATTGTGGAAGGCAGGGTTTCGACTTCCGGGGCCGGCTAACCCGCGTTCAGATCAGCCGCTGGATTCGAATAGAATATGTCACCACGGTGTCAGCATGATAAAAATGGACAGAATATTTCTCTTCGTTCATTGTCAAAAGGTACAAGATCATCTGAAAACCACTTGCTTTCATCATTACGTTCCTGTAGTACTATCCCATGCGTCTAGGGCCAACAGCATTTCGATGAGCGCGACAACACTGCTTCACATTAATTCGAGGCGCTCATCTCCCAGCAGTAACTCATCATGTCTTCGACGCGATAGCCTGACTAGAGCGTGTGGCGTAAATTTATACACGCGGCTTTGTTCCCGTTATGGATGAAGCCATTGAGATCGTTCGTCATCTGCAAAGTGCGCTTTAGAATCCGAGATTCATTGCTCGTTAAACTCGCTAAATCATTCTCCTCAAGATCCGCCGTACACTGAAACACGGCAGTGGATTTACTTGAGCGTCGGACGAGATTCCGTGTATCATTCTTCACAGCTCGCGAAAATGTCGAGAACTGTAGCCCGATGCGTACTGATGCAAGCCGAAATCTTTCCACTTTGACCGCCTGTATTCATACGATTTTCCTCGATCGGTAAACTTGGTCATGTCGCGGGATGTCGTGAACGGAGCAGACGTTGTACATCACGGTGATAGCGTCTCTTATCTGGAAACCATTAACAAACGATCAGTGTGAGATGGTAAGTCCTCAATCTATGAGTCAAGACACGACGCTGAAATGAAGGAGCAATATCTGACCAGAAGTCGGAGCGGAATTTTCTTGATTTCTGATCCTACAGAACCTGACATATGCCTACTTGAGTCGAGATGTGCTTGTTATAGTACATCCTCGTGGTGGGTATGTTGCTCTACCTCATAGCCTCATTATCCCATTATCAATCACTTCGAGGAGTAGCTGGATGAATACAAGATCTCGCTCAAAGCTTACTAGGTTTTTTTCGTAAACGCACAAGGACTCAAGCGTCCAAATATAATTCGCTACACCTACAGCTTTCTGAAAGATTGCTGAACCATGAAAGGATTCACGAGCTGTTCGCCCATCTCCTGTTTTATACGTGAAATGAGGAAGGAGCAAATCGGAAGCTATGTCTTCATCTATTCGGGAATGGGGTCAATCCAGTTCTCCTGTTGACGATTTCATCCTCTCATGTTATTTTCTACCAGAACGTAGCGTGTCAAGATCATAGTATTCTCTGATTCCCCTTATAGGTATGTCAGACCTTGAAAGGTTCACTCACTATTTGAGACCTCATCTCGAAGGGGGAAGAATCTGCGTCAGAAGATTTTCAAACTCATTCTTTCATTAAGCAGGTAATGTTTAATGATGTCAAATACTGGTTGAAAGGCTACAGCTGTTATACGTATGCTGATGATTTTGCAGGTGTGTGAGTAGCAGTGCTCTATGAATGAATTCAACAGCCACGAAATAGAAACTCTCCGCAATACGATGGTTACGATCAAGGAAATGGAAGCTCTAACTGTGTTGTGGTTGGCATCTTCCATTCCCAAGTACTCGTGCCACTGGTTTGATAAACAAAAGAGTGAAATGCAGACTGATCCGTCCGCAGTTGGGGTACCGGGGTCCGATAGGGAAGGGGTGGTAATTCTGGCTTGAAAGAAGACAAGGTGAGACTCAGAGAATTTGATAAAGTACGCAAGTGTACTGCTACTGCAGAATCAGCCAGAGTGTGGATACGGTCATCGAGCAGATTAACGCAGTCCTTCAGCGATCAAACCGAAGATAATGCGAATCACTGGAATGGCCATCAGTAAATTGAAATGACCCAGATGGATGCGGTCAAACCCGTTTTCTTTAGGTCCTCCCTTTTAATTCTGAGGTGCAAAAATTCACAGAACTAGCTTCTACTTCGCACAATCGTGCACAGGCTTCACGTTTTAGGTGGTCGCTTGCCACTTTGAGGTTGACTAACTCTAAAGGATTTTCAAGCTGTCAGCCACATTGCTCACCGAGATGTTCGAGCAGTATTAAAACTCTTGCTCTATTCGTGGTGGCGAAGATTTCTCTAACAAAGTTGATAGTCTGATGGTTCAAGGAGCGCAGAAAGATACACTGTTTGAAAATGCAATGTCAATATTTTCGCGATGGAAATCAATTTCTAAATCCCACTGACTGTTGGAAGTTTAGTTCGGTTGGCCTTTTTATCGCTACACTAAAGAGACCTTATTGGGATAACTATCCTCAAACTAAGACGAAAGTCGATGAATCTTCCGTTGCTTACGCTCCCGGCCATCGATTTTTGCAGCAAAGTGGAGAGACTGACGATTATCAGCGCTCCCTCGACTAGAGCTTCCGAATACCAGATAGTACCCATATATGGGCTTGCCTCGTCCAGGTACAAGTAGCAAGGGCTCGAAGACACACAATGTACTCATCTTCATCTATCATGCAGTTTCAAACGATGCAAATGTACTTCGCACCAGTTGCTGTTATCATCCTTCTTTTCGTTGTTCATGCGTTGCCTACAGTGAGTACGACACTTACGATCCCCATCTTCCTGAACTCTGAAAATGAGCTTTTTCGCAGATCCATCGCACCCGTGGAATACATACTGGTGAAGTTCCTGAAAGTATGGAATCGCCGCCCTAGGTCCGTTCAATAAAAATTCAAGATCATCTTGTGTCCGATAGTCCTCATCCTTTTAGGGTCTGCTCAGTGGAATGCTTCCTAGTCCGCCTTCCTGAGTGGACAAACCTACTAAGTCCTAGGACTTGTTGATTTAGCAGGACCTTTTAGTAGTCATATCGGAGGTCCAGTCCAGGTCTCTTATCAGATATGCTCATCATGATCAACGCGAGAGCGGGAACTTGAACAAGATTGTTAGATCCAGTTCGACTCGCCCTATGTATATCAAAAGATCTTGTGGATGATCAGTGAATGTCCAATTAGTGCTTATGCCATGAATTGGCAATTTCTTTGTTTCGCACTGTCCGAAATATTTAACGGGAAAATAGCGAGGCAGATACAACAATTTTCCAACTCCTGAGCTTTGAAATTAGAAGATCATCCCCCAGTGAGTGACCAAGGGAATCATTCTCCTGTACTTAAGATAATACTGAACAACTTGAATGATTTGCTCCAGCCATGACATTCGCATCTCTGATGTATTTATAGTTAAAATCTTTCAAATGGAATCTCGCGGGAAGACCATAGACATAAAAGCTGTCTTCCCGCATTTTTTGCGCTATTAAGACTTTCATAAGTTGCCATTGTTGAATGCGCATCATCGAATGTAGAAGTTAATGAATCATTGCCAAAATTTGGCTACATACTACATGGAAGGTTCAGTTGCACATGGCTCTGTATACGAGGTGTATAATAACAAGCAGTATTTTGCAAGCTCAATCAGACCCGATCCACTGTATCGGGGACTTACTCGATGACTATCCTTCAGGGATCGACATTCCTATATCGAAATTAGACCTGGCCACGATGGAGTGCCTAGTATATAGTCTATCTCAGCACGATCCCGAGACGCTGGATCCTGGGACCAGTCTGATATTCCCTTCGATCAGACGTCTTAGCGATTCATCTGAATAATTGGATACAAGAATCCCAGATGCCGTCTTACATGGAGGCAAGATATGTACATAGATAAAGACCAGACAGATTGACAGATAACTCCTGATAACCTGTGCAGTGAACATATTTCTCACACACAATCCTCTATTGACACCGAAGCTTACATAGTGAAGTGTGGCTGCTTTTCAAGGCGCGTCAAGAAATCCTAGACCTCGGCGCTTACTAGTACCACGTGCCCGTGGTCGCCTTCGCCACGTTTATCGCCTTGAAGAAATTCTGCTCCTGCCATGGGGCATCTGTTCTCAATTGATTTGTCGTTGGAGAGATGCATTGTTACACCACGAAAAATACGGTGAGTTTACGTCTACGCTTTGAGGAGATCGCACTGCTAATGATTCCAGGGCCGATAGCAGGCTCCTTTTCGACAATGAACGATCAATATTGATAGGCTCCTTGTCTTGCTCAGTGAACATCTGCTATTCAACAAAATGTAACAATGTCCACGTAGCGCATGTTTTAAACCTCTTAACAATGCGCGCTGCTTGTTGCTATCTATCTTATAAGGAAGGGTATTCTGCAAACGGATAGTCCGTATATCCGACCCTTTGGTCATCCAACGTGGTTCCAGCTGTGTTTCCATACAGAGTGTGAAGGTCGATGGGGGTATCAGTAGGTTTTCCGTTCTGGATGCGTTTCGCCAGATCGGGGTGCGATACCCACAACTGTCCCCAAAACACACCGACGACTTTGCCCTCTGCATTGGCGATTCATAATGAGAAGATTGACCCTCGTGGAGGAACACTGGAGCCCTTACCACTAACAGTTCGTGCAGCCTCTTCCGGTGTGAAGCTTCCATTAGAGAGCAATGTACTTCTCTTCACGAGGTGGCCATAGGCACCTATGACATCATGGTCGATTGCGCGGCGTTCACCTTTGAAAAATTCATCAATGCGACGGTTTACCAGGCGGGAAGAACTTTTGCTCCAAACCGTCGATGATTGGATCCAAAAATTGTGTATAGCGTTGCAATACGATGTACGCAAGACCCAGTTTATCAACTTGAGCGATAAAATAGTTGTATGTTTCCAGGGTTTCTTCGAGGGGCATTCTACATGGTTATCCGAATCAATTATTCCATGAGTGGGTCACTTTAAACAGTCTCCTACCCCATATCGTTGTAGCCTCCAGCTGGGCTCAGCTTGATCCCGACTCGGTCAGGGCCCCAGACTTCAGAAACAGCTTTGAGGACTTCCAACCCGAATCGCGAGCGATTTTCGATACTTCCTCCCCAGCTGTCCATGCGCAAATTGGATCCACTGTCAAGGAATTCATGGACGAGATACCCGTTTGCACCATGTACTATAATTCATTTCCATCGTTAATGCCACCCAAGGCGAAACGCCAGACTGAGCGATGATGGAAAACGTACCCTCTACCCCGTCGAATCCTGCCTCCTTTGCGTTAATCGCAGCTTGTTTATATATGGCAATCAGCTTCATAGGATCGTCGATTTCGGTGGGCTGTACGAGGATCAGCTGGATGCGAGGTGCTATTATAGGCAATCCATACCGTCACATAGCCTGGGGTACCAGGAAGAAACCTGAATTTCCCACCTCGGGCAGCTATAGCTGAGGGTCCATATACCGGCTACGACCAAAACTATGAGGGAAAAAAATCAAAAGGAAAAAAATGAACGACTGACCTGGCCTGAGGCAATTTGCTCGGGAGCTTCGGGGTGACTTACCCTTCCTAGATGCCATATCTGAGCAAAGCTTTGACTACCTGCTTCATGAATTGCATCGTTGATCTTCTTCCATCCAACGATCTGGTCTTGATTCCATATTCCGGGAGCGTGAGGCCACTCCGTCCTGGCAAAGGTCGCCCTGATCTACGAGGAATGGTCGGAGGTGACACCAAACTAGACGTACCCTTGCTGGCAGATGAGTATTCCCTCTGACACAATGAGCCCAGCACTCTCTGCTCGCTGTCTGTAATATTCTACCATGAGGTCGTTCGGTACATTTGTAGGAAGGGCACGGTTTCGAGTCAAAGCAGACATGAGCACTCTGTTGCGCAAGGTGACCGCTCCGATTTGAAGAGGCTGGAAAAGTGGGCTGAAATCGATCTTAGCAGCCATATAACAAAGGTGAAATCGGTGAAGGATTCAAGGTGGGGATCTGTTGTTGGTCCTAGCGCAAATTTATACATTTCCAATGAATACACTCCCCAATCAGAAGGTGGGAGAAACATCAAGCAGGTTAAGAGGCCAATATGGTAATTTCGTCCGTCTCGAGACCGTGCTCCCCCAAAATCATCAGCGCTGGGGATTTGATGCAGTGCGAGAATATTCATTGTCATTACAGGACTGTGTTAGATGCAATATATAATCCCCAAGCAAGGAGACAATGAATTAACGAACGCAGTCCGGGTACCAATTATGAGCAAGTAGATTTACACCAATGAATTCAGTAACTTGATGAATAAATTCAGTAACTTGATGATTAGAGCAGAGCTGCTCTTTTGGATTGACCACGTATTTATGACAAAAAAACCACCCTCAGCAGAACCGAGCACGCAATAAGCATCACGGTCAACTGAAGTACAGGGTGCAAGGAGGTAGTATTAGAGATATGCAGGCTGACGCCACCACCACACATCTGTTTTCCCAAAGTTCAGACTGCCCGTCTGAAATGTCATCGGCAACGAATCTGCAATGGAACTTTCTGGTAAGTCCATTGTGATCTCCCCCACCTTTGTTCTTCTGATTGGCTTGTCTGAATCAGACGGCACGGGTTGAACCAGTAACCGAAGGAGATCATCTACCGAGGATGATGTCAGATATTGCTTCACAAGATATGAATGTTTGTAGCCAAATGCTAGGTGTAATAATTTGAGACTTGGTGCAGTTGCCATAGGTTCATCGAATTCGGAGGCATCATCATTTAACAAACATTCAACCATATTTTCGAGGTTGGCCGTAGAGCGTATAGAGTGTATCATAAGCTGGAGACATGCCAAATTAGGGAAGCAATGAAATTGCAGCTCGAGATGAAGGGCTGTGAAATGGAAATCAAGACAAGGTATAAGGCAAAGCAGCAAACACACTTGTCTTGTCCAAATCTAGAGTGAGATGTGTCAATGACTGACGCAATCTAGACAGAAAAAACATGTAGTTGAAGTTCGCCGGCATTGCAAATAGAGCCAAATATTTCGTAGCAGAGAGCGCGCCACTATTTAGGAGTGCATCCTCAATCAAAAGTGTGGACTCCAAGTCAAATCCTCGAATGGCAAAACAATCAAGAGACAAATGTACACAATCCGAGTCGTAGTTACTTGTGCTGGCGAGATTTGGATGAACATACGGAACCTCCTTGCCTGAAGGATAGAGCGGTCGATCTCGAAAAAGAAGGGCATCAGGATCTGTGGGCTGGGGAAGATCAAATGAGATTTCGGGTATAGGAATATTATCCACTCGCTGCATGGGTCCCCCAAGAAAAAGCAACTTGAGTTTTGGCACATTTTTCGCAAGGAGATGCAACAGAGCATCTGAAGTCTGAATAGAGCTGTAATTTTCTGAACGGAAGCCGGGATACTCGTCAATAGAAACATGGTCCAGAGTGTTCGCATTAGCCTTGAAAAGCATAGCGAGTTGATATCCAGGCCACTGGGTGGGGTCCGCATGAACTGCCGAAGATTCTTCTCCCTCCAAAAGTACACATGGTGGTATCCAACTAAATACACTCCACCGAATCTGGAGGTATCGTAGGCACCTGAACGGTAATGCATGAAGTCCTGCTCGATGACCCCAAGGTAGATCAACAGCATTCCAGCGATCTTTCTGCCTTTTATGAAACTTATCATCAACGTATAGGTCTCGCATTAGAATAGACTCTTCTGCGGATTCCTGGCCCAGAATTCCAAGCCACTGATGAAAGTACTTCTGAGGAGAGATTCTTCGTCCTCTGCCTACTCGAATGAAGGACTCCAGCCGTAGACCCTGAACGAGATGAAGGGTATCTTGGAGGGAAGATATGAAGAATGTCTGTGGATGGAGATCTCCGAGTAATGAGGAATGGAGCAGGCGTTGTTCTGCAAAAGAGAAAGGATGATGATAATAACGTCCATTACGAATAGCTGATGCTTTGTGCTCCAGGTAAGCGTAGTATTCGCGGATCCTCTCTAGGTCCTGAGGTGCAAGCGTAATGAAGCGAAAGATGTGATATCGAGCTCTGGGAAGCCAGGACTTGCTGACTAGTGATAAGTTTTTGAGATCGTCTATCGAATCGAAAAATCCATCGATAAAGTGGTCGATTAGTTCCTGTGGTAAATTGAGCATGGGTGTCTGTGACGACGTCTGATTTATGGTGCAGTTGGCTTAGTCACCACCTATTTGGGACAGGCGCCATTCAGGGTTTGGAAAAATTTTTGAAAATTATAGATGCGATTTAGGTGTTTTTATGTGCATTTCCGAGAGGAATAAAGCTTATTGATGTATTCTAGGGTCCCTGGCACCCCGATGCAATGTATAGATGATATATCCTGTTATCAGAATGGACAAAAGGGAGCATTGAGCTGACATTGAGACACCCTTAGTGCAGTAGAGTGTGGTAACCCTAACCCTAATCACTTCCCAATTGGGAAGTGCGCCATTCATGTGTAGCTTACTTTGGCAATTTTTACTTTGAGAGAAATTGCTCTTACAGTTCTCTTTCTGTATCTATTATAAGCCTTTCTGTAAGAGAGATAAGAAAAATACTGAAATTTGAGTGTGTCAGTCCGCTTGTTCAAAACTAGTGGTGACTAAGCCAACTGCACCATAGCCGGCGCTTCGCCGACAAAGTACTTTGTCAGCAAGTTCGGCAACATCCCGGTTATGTAGGTTCCTGGTGACCGACAACCTCATGGATGGGACTGGTCACATACTACTTAGGCCTATGTAGTACCAAGCCTCTTCTTCGATTGACCACTTTTGCTCGTTAGAATTCATGTGAATTGCGGATTGGTGATGCAAATGTTTGAAAAAATATTTCATGCAACTGGCTCTCGGCACAAGTGATCAGGTTTGCAGGCTGGGGAATCCATTGTGAGAGTGCCTGACAGCGCTGTTCAGGTAAGTACTACCTTGAACTTGAGATCATCCAGTTCTTGCAAATGTTTTCAACATTGCTGTGTCCAAATTTTGCTGATATAAATTGTTGGTGCACTGTGTCCTTTGCTCGGACCCATGACCTGTACCATGAATTCGCCTTCCTGATAATCGAAACTTCTCAACCTCCGCCCAATTGGTGTACCACACAAGAGGATTTACCACAGTTTTCAAATAAATTGCACCATGCGTTTACCAAGGCACAAGTAAGACACGTTCAGAAAAATTTCTCATACTGATTGTTATCAAGGGAATGTGGAGCCTTTAAGAACCACTCATCAGCAATAGCAATTGGATACTTTATAAAAAACTGTGTGTTGTGGGTTGTAGCAGCTGCGAGGCATCATTTATCGGGAATTGCATTTAAGGAAGATGTTGCACTGAGTCTGTGCTGCCTCCTTTCCTCCACCCTCCATCCGTCTTTTTTCACAGTCTGTAATGACATCCAATCCTAGGACATATTCAGATTCCTGTCTAATTTATTTGGATCCACCCAATTCTGGTCATGCTCATGCCGAAATTGTGGGTTACCAGTATCCGCCGGTTTCGAAAGTTATTGAATTTTAAATGACTCAAATCCAGAAGACTGTCTTGCGCAATAAAATCATGATATATGCCAATGCTCCTCATGGATATTACATTGGCCGAGATCCTCAAGGCAACCAGTATCTATTCTCTTTTGTCAATGGGGAAGATGCCATGGAAGCATTTCATGATGCACTTATGCGTGCAGCCAAGACTCACGAAACCAACACATCCAGCACATCATCAGTAAGATCAAATTTCCATAATTGTATTACTATTCAATGATTAACTCGACACCTTGTAACGTAGATATAATTGATAATCAACTGGCAATACCAGTTTTTTAGGTTTTTTGATTTCACTGGCTATAGTAAGTGGTTGTAAAATCAAATTTTAGTGGCAACGACAGTGAGACTACAGTAACTAACACACTGCAATGTGAAGGCGCGCTCCGGTTGGGGCTAGCTATGCTAGCCCCAACATAACGGAGTGGGTCTGAACATTGCCACACAATCAGCACACTTCGTTAGGGGTTAGGTGCCGCCGAAGGCGGCTTGCGCGAAGCGCAGTTAGGGGTTAGGTGCGCCGCAGGCGCTTGCAGATATTTAAAGCATCAAATGAAGCTTTAGAGTGCCTGCCGACGACTCCCCGGTTCGGGGGACCCCCTGAGCGTAGCGAGGGAGGGGAGGGGAGCGGAGTGCAGGCCTGATATTTGATGCACAGAGTAGGATAATTACCAATAATGAGGCAGGTTTCTTGTGTGCATATGGTGCAAGTGGTTCCAGCATCAGCATTGTTGTTGTCCTTTCTACCTAGAGTTCTTGGGTTCAATTCCTGCTGGGGTTGTTCATTCTTTTTGACATTATTGATTGCCATTATCTCATAATATTCTTCTAAATCGGGACACATCATGTAATACTGTTCCGAATATGGACGTATCTTGTGTCCAATGACCCTGTCAGTGATTATTTACAATATAACCACTGACTATAGCCAGTGAAATCAAAAAACCTTAAAAACTGGCAGTGCCAGTGTATTATTTACAATATCTGTGTTATGGGCTCAACTCGAAGCCCACATAACTCACAGTTCCGCCCTATACCTATGAAGACAGGCCAGCATCCACATAGCACCACTGGAAATCCCCCTATATTCAACACCCAGCCTCGAGGGCAACCCTCCAGAATGGCTGGACAAGAGAAAAAGACACATTCCCACTATATCCGTCAGAGTGACATAAACTCCTTGCTTCCCTTGCAAGAAATCAACATTGGATCCAATGTGTCATCTGCAGGACGGAGTAAGCTGATTGTTAAATATTCTCTTCTTGCTTATAGTTCTACCTTTGTTGCATTTTTATGCAGAATATTTTTACTATCTCCGAGCTGTAAGTCTTCTGTCACCTGCTTAATCTAAGGACCAACACTACTGTTTAGAATGTTGATGATACAACTCCTGGTCCCCGAGGTTTGGAATTTGAACTTCCTATTGATACAGGTGAGTGGTTTATCTAGTATAAGTGAGCCTATCCGCTGAGGACTATGTCAAAGGGAGTCAATCCAGGTTTGATCAATACAAACACTGTGAAGAACACCAACTCATGAATTTTCTTGTACCCATTGTATTAGTTGGTTGTTTGTTAATGATTTCAATTGGATCAATGGATCCCACATGAATTACACTATTGAAAAGTGGCCTACAGCTTGGAAGCAGAATACTGACACGATCAAATGGCCTTTTACAGTTCAAGGCCCGAACAACTTGAAAGAAATGCCACGCAAAATTTCGGCATACGGCTCAGATGGATATGTTGGCAAGTCTATTTATGCTATCAAATTATTGGAAAAAAGTAAGCTCTCAACAGAAGTATGTGATGGACCTTTGAAATCCAATGTTGTTGTCACGCTACATGGGTGGGATTGGGCGAAGAAAGACCATTCAACAAAGGGATTCAAGATTCATGATGGGTTTGACTTTGTCACTGCAGCTAATGAACAAATCATATGGGAAGGGTATGATGGGAATATTGGCCTTGGTCCCAGACAGTAAGTTTGTCAACATGATGATTCAATGGCTATAAGTGAAATGCATTTGCTATGAAGAGGGGATTTACAAACTGGAACAAGCAGAGTTTGTTGTTCATTATTTCTTTATAATGAATACTCAATAGTTTTCTAGAACTTTCTAGCTTCCCTGACCACAACTCGGCAGATTATTGATGTAAGTTGGCTACAAGCCTTCAGTGTGGCAATCACTCATATTTTTTCAAGTCATCCATCTTTATTATCCGCTTAGTCCATCCGGATGACTTGGATAATGCACCACTGGACTGTAATTTGTAGGAGTATTCATTCTGGATAATGTGATCATACTGATATCCCAGCACCACCAAAGGTTCAATATCATTTCTTTTGGCCCTGGTTTTCCATTCCAAGCCCCTGTGAGCCCTGATGCTTACTTCAGTTCACCAATTCCTACAATCAGTAAAGACATTGCTGGTGCAGCTAGACCCGAGAAATGGAGGGTCAAGCTCTTGAGGATTGGTATATGTTCCGTGGACCGTAATGACTACTCTTGGATTGACATGGACAATACTGAGACCAAGTCATCCATCATTCAAGGAATTGACATACTCATGGACACTGGTAAGAAGCAAAGAATTGACTTAGTAATTAATCTGAAACTCATACAGGAACCCCAATGACTGTTTTGCCAGATTATGTTGTGGCAAAGATACAGTCTGATGAGAAGTGGCTTGGGTCATCCAGGCAAACTCAGCTTGATTTGTTGATGAATGACAAGACATATACGAGACTGGCCCATAAGAAGATCCGATTTGAATTCAAAGGTGAAGGACGCCATCCTGTAGGAGTTACTGTATCGGCAAAATCCTTCATGGCTTGGTACTCAAAAGTAGAAGCTGGAGATAATCCTAAATTACATCTCTGTTCAATTAAAGGATCACACAATCAGGATGAGTTTGCCTTGGGCCAAGTAAGTCATTGATTTAAAAAAAAGAGCTAATGAATAATGCGGATCTTCAACTGGTTTAGAATTGGTATTGGGCCGCAATTGTTAAACATGTTTCACCTCGAGAAAAACGCAAATTCCCTTTTGTACAGGTCATGTCTAATGGATATTTCTTCGATTATGACACCAACAAAACTGTTCGGCCCACTGATATGATACTCAAACCATTGCCTCCACGTTTGGGTCCTACTGATTGACCAATTCTTCTTTTGTAATTGTGCCCCCATGTCATTCTAAAAGAATTTTATCTGGAACCCAGCCCTCTCCGATATTTCCTTCATTTTTCTTCCAAACAAAAATACATACAGTTCAACTTGACCTTTGTAATATTGAATGTTTCACTGAAAAAATTCCTTCCAACTCCAGACATAACAGACATAAATCCTGTATGAGGTAAAGGGAATATCAGATGAAAGATATTGTGGTTGTAGATTTCCAAATAATGGGGGACCTGGCAGGTGTTGTTCCGAAAAAGATAAAGAAATGTCCGCTATGCATAGATGATGCTTTGTGCTTCAGGTAAGTATAGTTTTCCTCTCTAGGTCCTATGCTGTAATTGTAATGCAACGAAAGATATGATATTAAGCTCTGGAAAGACAGAAGTTGTTGTGTAGCAATGGGTTTTCAAGATTGTCTATCATGGTAGTATAGGAAAGGATCAATGGCAAAGTGTAGGTGAAAGATGGGACAAGGAAGCCTTTGGCAATAGTTAACGTTTCAGCCTGATTTCTGGAGAATTTACTTATGTATAATTGGTACAAGACCTAATTGTTTGGGATATTCAAGACATGAATATTACATAGGTGGGCGCCACCACTCGTCTGTACTCCCGGACATTAAATTCCCCGTTCGAAAAGTCAGCGGAAATGCCTTCTCCAGTTCGGTTTCAGGTAAATCCACCGTCACTAGATCTATAAAGTTCACCCTCGTTCTCTTCAGTGCAGAAGACTTGGATGGTTCAGCGTGGCCTGTAGGTGGTATATCTGTAATGACCGCGGTCACAGTCAAGATCTTCAAACAATGATCCACCGAAGGTGGAATATGTTGTTGAATTCTATGGCCAAACTCAATGTGAAGTCTGAATTGTTGAGAACTAGTTTTGAATTTATGGACTGACAAGGGTGGTTGGACTTCGTATCGGTGGGGAAATAAGGAAAGCAAAGGGATTGTGCGGTGATGGCCAGCATCCATTGGGAAGGCACTATCATACAAAGAGTAGATAATATCCTCGAGGTCTGCATCTGCATCGATGTCTATTATGAACTGCAGATATCTTAGTTTGGGGAAGGTGGTGAATTTTAGCTTGAGATTGCACGCTAAACAACACAGAAACCAAATTAGTGATATTGGAGAAGAAGGGTTCGACCAACGCACTCGAATTATCTAAATCAAGAGTAAGATGTGTTATCGACTGACGCAGCCTGGAGAACAAAAACATGTAATCAAAATTTTCCGGCATTGCCGATAGAGCAAGATATTCTGTATTGGATGAAAGGATCCCTCGGTTCAGTAGCACGTCCTCGATCAACAGTGTGGATTTTGAATCGAATCCTCGGAGGTAGAGACGTTCCAGAGACAATCTAATGGCTTGCCTAGGAGTTGTTCCATCATTGTATATGGGATCGGAATAGACCGGTGGAACCTCCTCGCCTGTACGGTATGCGGGCCTATCTCGGGAAAAGAATGGTACGGGATCTGGGCTATCAATATGATGATCATGCATAGGATGTGGACTCATTCGCCGAGGCACCATCAACCCTCCAAGACAAAGAGATTTCAGATTTGGAGCATTTTCAGCGAGGATGTCGAGTAGAGCATCTGTACCGTGTGGTGGGGTACCATACTGTTCAAGCTGGAATCCAGGATATTCATCTATCGAAACGTGATTCAGAGTGTCTGCACTGGATTTGAGAAGCTTCCCCAGTTGATATCCTGGCCACATGTCCGGGTTGACTGAATCTGGAAAATCGCCATCGTCCTCAGCTACAGGCGACGAGGATATCCATCCAAAGGCACTCCACTGAATGTGAAGATACCGCAAATTCCTGAACGGCAGCTCATGGAGCCCAGCACGATGCCCCCAAGGTAGATCAACTGCCTCCCACCGCTCATTCTGTTTTTCAAGAAAGTTGTCATCATAAGATACCAAGTCCCGCATCAGAAGAGACTCTTCAGCGTATTCGTTTCCGTATCCAAGCCATCTGTGGAAATATTCCATAGGAGGGATTTTGCGTCCTCCGCCTATCCGGATAGAGGATTCTAGCCGGAGACCACGGACATAAGGAAGAGTGTCCGAGAAGGAGGATAGGAATTGCTTTTGTGGTTGCGGGTTTTGGGTAAGAGAGGAATGGAGGAGACGTTGCTCAGAGGACGTTAACGCATGATAATGGTTGCGTCCACCACGAGCTGGCATCGATACCCTGCGCCTGAGGTATGCATAGTACTCTCTAATCTCCTTAGGATCCTGAGGTGCGAGCGTGATAAGGCGAAAGAGATGATATCGAGCACGATGTAGCCAACATCGGCCTACAAGTGATAGATTTTTGAGATCTTCTGTGGATTCAGAATGATCATCGACGAAACGGTCAATGAGCTCTTGCGGAAGATCAGGCATAGTGGGGTACAGGGAATAGTGCAGCTGGCATCACGAGTTACTTATACACGCCCTTGAGCTTAATCAGAGGACATCACCGATGATGTTGGCGACTGCCGTATCCCATGAAGCTTCTAGATCATCAAAATGTCAAACCCGGGCCCTTCGAAAAATCAGTCTTCATTATATATGTTGTGCAGGAGAGATCATCGATATCTTTCGCAACTCACAGAGCACTGAAAATGAATCGCCCCAGCACCCCATTGTTTCCGCCGATGGAAAAGACCAGAGTTCGGCATATGGGCTTGCCGACGTTTGTGTAGGTCGGGCCACATGGAGGGCACAGAATCACGATTGAACCCCCTTCGTTGCCAACGCACACTCTCAGCACTGACCACTCATCCGCCCTTTGAAACATCATTTCACATTCATCGACCGTACCACTCCTTCAAGCTCAGAGATATACGAACATGACTAGGTTAGCTTCCTTCAGCTTCGACTTCAACAAGCTCATTCTTCAAACTAGTTCATTGAACCAATTTCCGCCTGAGCTACTTACTCGAATATTTGCCATTTATCCTCCCCAAACAATTCAATCACCTCTGAACTACACTCAAGTTTGCTCACGTTGGAGATCTGTTGCATATTCATCGCCCGAACTCTGGACAACGTTGGTCATCGAGCATCCTCCAGCTCTCGAAACTGAATCGGACGCAACTTATTACGAGGCGGCACTGACAAGCTGGGTGCTGCGCTGTTCCGATTTGAGCGTGGATATCTCATTCCTTGGACGGTATTACCGGGGCACCTGGGATCTGCCTTCACAGTTCCAGATAAGTCTGTATGTACCGATCTGCAACAAACTATTGGTTGATTTTTCGAACAAATGGAGACGATTGAAAGCTCCATATTTCTGGAGCGCTCACTTTTTTCCTTCCAGCTTAAAACAGTTCGCAGCTCTTGAAGAATTAGAGCTTGGTGTAGGGAACTGCTCACCACCAAAGAACGATCATACACCGTTCCCTAAAACTCCGCGTTTATTTAAACTGAGCTTGAATCTCTCTAGGATTCTACGTTTCCACTGCATAAAAGACTTTATTCCTGAAACAGTCAGAGACCTCACAGTGACATCGGCTTCTGGTCCAATCGGCATCAGTGGAGACTTTGCGATAGAATTTTTGCAGCCCAATCGGTTGCAGCACCTTACGCATATGGATATGTCCCAATTTGGCTGGACTACACCCCATGTTTTACCTTCCATCACCTTACCGCGATTACAAGAGCTTACACTCGATGGGGCCATTACTGCTTTGGGGGATATTCTTGGAGTGTTCACACTCCCTTCACTGAGGAAACTGTCCTTATCAATATCGAGGTTCGATGGCGACGGCGAACATGGCCCCGTGGTCGGTCCTGCACTCATTGCTCTACTGAAGAGGTCTTATCATGACCAGTGCGGTCTTGTTGCTCTTGGTTTGACGTCGATGTTAGCCAGCGACAATTCAAATGAAGCAATCAGCTTGGAAGCCTTGCATTGCATTCTATCCCTTGCCAGTACAATCAAGGAGTTGCATATCTGTTCAGAAGGATATACCGATACCGCTCGCCTCATGGAAATCCTCCGCTACGACAGAGTCAGCCCTGAAAAGCAGATTCTTCCACTTTTAACAACCTTTTCTGTCGAATCCCTGATTAATCTCGACCAGGACTTCCTCGACTTCGTCCATTCACGATGGTGGCCAAATAATTCTTCGCCGAGGATGGTTGGAGTGGCTAAGCTGGAAAAACTCATAGTTTCTTATTGCGATCTCACGGAGGAGATTGAAGAACAGTTGGATGCATGTTATGAAGGAGGACTTGAAGTGGAAGTGAAAGTAGAGAGTAGCGAGCAAAGTTCCATATTAGAGTAGGGTATTTCCGTGCATATAGACAAATACTATTGATGATTATTATGTCTCACTGTCACTGGATATAAACCACTACATAGTAACTACTTAATCTGCGAGAGTTGGTGTGATACAGATCATGGATGCGGTCTAGTCAACTAGGGTTTCGGCATCGGAATTTACTAAATTCCAAACACACCTTTAAATTCCCCAGCCTTCATTCATTCTCGTTGGGGTCCTTCTACTGTCGAGGGATGAGCCGCAAATGTGCAAATGAATTCCCCTCCTAGAACTCGAACATTTTTGGGGTCTCCTATTGTCCTTTCCAAGCATCCGATTGCTCCATATACTTACATAAATATTCATTGCGAATTTATATAAAGGCCTGCTCAAGATTCAAGGTAATTACGCTTTCTGAACTGACCAGACCACCATGACTCGGTCGCTTTTTCAACCCATCCAGATCGGGGCAGTTACGTTGCGTAATCGAGTGCTGATGTCCGCTCTAACTCGGAACCGTGCTCTTCCAACAAACGTACCGAACGAGCTCATGGTGGAATATTATAGACAGCGTGCTGAAAGTGCTGGACTGATTGTGTCGGAGGGGATCCTGATTTGCCAGCAAGGGTATGTATGTGTGTTAGTGTCTCGTGAACCACATACCATTTACATTACTCCTGCTTCACTAGAACGGAATGGCCCCATGCTCCCGGAATTTGGAACCAACAACAGATAAATGGATGGAAAAAGATTACCGATGCGATACATGAAGCTGGAAGTCAATGTTTTGCACAGATCTGGCATCTAGGAAGAGCCAACCATCCCGATGCTCCCGAACAAATTGCTTCGGGACAGGTCAGTCAGATTTTACTTTATTATAATGTGTTTTCCAGTCAATGTTGATCTGGATGGATCGTTCGTTTGTATAGCCGGTATATGCCCCTTCAGCGATACCCGCTCGGGGTGGGAAGTTCAGGTTTCTACCTGGTGTTCCAGGATATGTGACGGTATGGATTCATGCTAAACGCGATAGTATCACGCGTATCCGCCGCTGATTCTCTTGTGCAGCCCACCGAGATTGACAATCCCATGAGACTAGTTGCTCTTTACAAACAAGCTGCTATTAACGCCAAGGAAGCAGGATTCGACGGGATAGAAGGTCAGATCCAATTATTGCCACCCCCTTTCTGGAGACTGAACTAAATGTGATATACTATACAGTACATGGAGCAGGAGGCTATCTCATCCACCAGTTCCTCGATAGCGGATCAAATATCCGCACAGACAGTTGGGGTGGGTCTTTTGAGAATCGCTCGCGGTTCGGGTTGGAAGTACTTAGAGTTGTTATTGACGTTTGGGGGGCCGATCGAGTGGGTATCAAGCTCGATCCAACTGGAGGGTATAATGATATGGGGTAAGTTAGTTGGGACAATGTTTGGATTATCAGTCACATACCTCATTGAAAATCATGACAGGATGCCCCTCGAAGAAACATTAGAAACATACAACTACTTTATCACTCAAGTCGACCAGCTCGGGCTTGCATACATCGCCATACAGCGATATTTAGAGTTTGACGATCCGATTATCGAAGGTGCACAGTCGTACCTTTGACTATGTAGCAGGACCCTTTCTGAAAAATTTTCGAAGGTAAACGCCGTGCAGTTCAGCATGATGTAGTAGCTGCCTATGGCCACCTCATCAAGAAAAGCACATTCCTTTCGAACGGCAATTTCACACCAGAAGAAGCTGCTCAATATGTTTCTGGTAAGGCTTCTTTGTGTGATGTCACTGATGTATGAAACAAATTTTCCGATGGCAGAAGGAAAAATATCCGGCGTATTCTGGGGACGTTTATGGGTATCTCATCCCGACTTGGCGAAACGCATTCGATATGGAAAACCTGTGGATACACCTGTTGACATGCAAACTGTGTATGGGAATATGGATGGAATGACGTTGAATGATCAAAGGGTAGGGTATACGGATTATCCGTTTGCAGAGTATCCCAACGAGGCTTAAAGTTTAAAGCTTAGATGGTTCGAAGAATAAACACTACGTACTGATTGTCAATCTCCGCAAGCCGCTATCGAGCCTGTCTTAAACACCTTGTCTGCCAGTCTGAAAGTCTCTCCACGCAACGTCGCTCATCAGCTAGTTGCTACGTTTTAGTGGCTGATAATGAGGAGTAAAGATTTTCGGGACCCGAGTTTCAGTTGTTGCTGCTGCTAAAGCAGTCAGACATCGCAGCTAGATGAGAAAAATTTTAGACCAGTTCGAGTACACCAGCATTTGGTGCTGAGACAGCTATGAAATACGAGAGTTCTATGGTTTCCTGAAGCCTCGGGAACAAGGTCAGAGCAAGTCAAAACAAGATGAGGAGGATTACAATTGTTCGCACAGTTGGGATAATGCCGATGACTAACAACGGCCCGTTTGCCGAAACACAACGCGTACCTCCACCTTAAAATGCCCACATAGTAATCACTGAACCTTCCACGAATCTGTTTCCCATGTCGTTCAACCTCGCAGGCCTTGCCACCAATCTCACCAGTCTCCCTACCCACGCGAGTCCAATCCGCATCGCTCTTACAGTATCCCTAATCACTCTCACCACCTATCTCTTCAAAACCCACCGCAGAGCGTCGAGGTTAACCTCCATTCAAGCTCTCAATGCCAGAGATTTTCCTTCATATTCATCCAATGACCTCCCGGTAGCGGTGTTCCTTGGCGGAACCGCTGGAATTGGACGCGGGATGGCAGAGTCGTTTGCGAGGCTGACGAAGGGTAATGCGCATATCATTCTTATCGGACGAAACGCGACCACTGCCCAAAACATCATCGATTCGTTCCCGAAACCCACTGTCCCGGGAGCCAAACACGAATTCATCCGCTGCGACGCTACGTTAATGTCTGAATGCCAACGAACCATCGACCAACTCCTCGAACGGTTACCGAAAATCGACTACCTTGTTGTATCTGCGATGCTTCTGAGAAGTTTCCATCGAGAGGAGACGGTTGAGGGAAAAGAGCCAAAACTTGTATTGATGTATTATGCGAGGTTCAAGTTTATAAGGGAGTTGACCCCGTTGTTGTTGAAGGCGACGCCGACAACTACGAAGGAGGGTGGTGGGAAGGTGTACATTGTAGGTGGAGCTGGGTTAGGTAAGAAGATTGATTATGGGGACTTGGGATTTAAGACGAAGGGCTATGGCTTTTGGAAAATCCGGGCACAATTCCCCGTGTATCTGGATGTCATTCTTCAGGTAAGTCTCTTTCATCCTCCGCTCAAAACATATTCACTCAGTCGGTTTCATATACATAGGAATTCGCTGCTCGGAACCCATCGATGACATTCATCCACGCCTACCCAGGACCCGTTCGAAGTGCACTCGCCGATAACCTTCAATCACCCCTCTTCCTGTTCATTTTCCGAATCGTCTTTGAACTCTCCTTCCCGTTCACATTCTTAGAATCTGGAGAATACATGATGCACGCGATGCTCACTACAGCGAGACGGCCGGGAGCTTGGAGTATTGACATGTTTGGGGAGAAGATGAGTGAAGGAAAAGTCATTGTGGCAACGGAAGATGAGAGGAAGATGCTATGGGAGCATTCAGTGGAGGAGACGAGTGTTTTAAATTTATAGTAACTTTCTTTGGTTTACTGGTATGTTTCATCAGAGTACTTGAAATTGATTTTTGTTGAATTCAGCCCCCAGAAGGCATATGATAAGTTATTTGATCAACAAGGGGTAAACATCGTCCCCATTCTTCACTATCCATCCTTCGCTGATATTGATTGAAACTGGTGGAGGATGCAACTAGTAGCTCCACATTATATCCATCTTCAATTGCAAAGTATCTAGGGCTCGGAATCATGTACTAAAGGAAACATTGATAAAGTGGTGGGAATTTGAGGACTGTCTGCTTTGTTAGGTGAGCTGAAAATTCTATCCTGTCTTGATGAGTTTTGTCCCGGTATTGTCTGTAGGAGTGTTGGGAGGGGCTGATCTCCAGGGACCTACAATCCCACCCGGCATCACTTGTACTTACCTCTGTTATGGCTCTCTATGGCTTCAAGACCACCGCATTCCGAAGTCTAGGATGAATTTCAAGCAACTCGTACGTCCCGTAAAATGGCAAAACCACCTCTACCTTTTCCATCCTTCCAAACTACAATTACACATATGTTTGAGCATGTAAAGTTTAAACCTTCACCACCCTCTTCCATATTCCATATTCATATATTCGAGGACCGCCCGCCTGCTCATTCATCGGGTAGCGTGAGAATCATATCCCGCCTTAGTGAGTCTTGTCCCAGTCTTGTCTGTAGGTGAAGTTGTTGGGAGGGGCTGATGGGGAGGGTTTCAATTATTCTTCAGGAACCCACAATCTGCCCACACGGCCTCAGTTGTAATTACCTCTCTTATAGCCGGCTATGCCTTCAGCAGCACAGCATTCCGAAGTCTTGGATGACTTTCAGGTAACTTGTACACATAATCTACACAAGCAAAACTACTTCTACCTTTTCCGCCCTTCCTCACTGCAACTACGCCAGATTACACATATGCTTGATCACGTAAACTTATACCAACCTCTTCCACATTCAATATTCACATATTCATTGTTCAAAGACTCAGGTTCAAACAAATTCAAAGCTGATCGTATCCCCTTCCCCCAATCTCCCCTCTCTCATATAGCCTGTCTCACTCAACAATCAACATCATAAATTCCTTCCATTTCTGCAAGTAAGCCTTCACTTCATTCTGAGAAATGATGTTTGAGTTGTAATCTGCACCAAGCTCGAGGACTCCTCCCCATGAGGATGTCCGAAAAAATCTGAATGATAAATGTCAAACCAATCCATTCAATGGCTACAAATATGAGAAACTTACGGCGCTGGATCTGTTCTGTTGATGGAGGTGAAAAATTTAGTTACTGAACAGACTTCAACTGTGTTGGAGCTATCCGTGAATGTGTGATCGAGGAATTTCTCGCCTGGCCCATCGTGTGAAAGTCTGAATGCGTTTTCAGGTGCATGTCTGCGTGAGTTGAGTCAGCCTGCAATATCATAGAGTGAGGGAGAGCAATTTATACTCAGTGGCCGCCAGCTGTTTCAATGAAGGTGCAAGAATATCTGATGCAGGAATCATGAAACTCAATGCCACAGGCATTGCTTTCAGGGCATTATATATATCTGCAGCATGTCCCATCAGCGTGACCAGCATCTCCTTGTTGAGAGGTAACACCTCTCCAGTTGGTGAAAGGAACATTTTCAGAGGGAATCCATGGGGTACGACGGATAGGGCATATCCAGGATAGCCTTCACGCGTTGAGTAAGGTTCTTGTAGGTACTGACGGCTGTTGATAATGAATTCACAGCTGACAGATCTGGATGCTAGCTCTTGAGTAGGCGGATTGTCAAATATGTTCACCATAACTAATGCTGCATGAGCTAAACACCAGATGTATCAGCATTATCACACCAATATCAAGGCATCAATAACCTACCTGCATGAGTTACAGTATAGGGCCTCATAGATCCCTTGAGCTTCTGCATAAACAGCTCAGATTCCTGTTTGGTAAAGGCAACCTCTTCATGCCACGTAACAGGCCATCCAGGATCTCCTTCCCTGGGCTTGAGATAATAGCCATTCTAGAATCATCAATTGGTTGTGAGCGAGATTATCTATGCTGTATGAGCACACCTGCGAATTGAATACAAAAGCTTCTATCACGCTGCGGGATACAGCATAGAATGGATGAGCAAAGGACGGTTCCTCAACTGAACCGGGATCAATAGGTATAGGTTCAGTGGGGCGCATAACATTGAATGCAGCTGGTAACAAGTGATCAACTTCAGCTCCCCATTTCAGGTCTCCGGTCACATTCTCTCCGCTTAGGCCTTTTGCAAACTCTTTCAAGTACAAATTTGCCAACACCTTCATTGCGGTGCCATCAAACGGAGAGTGGTGTGTGTGAATCATTAACCCCATTGAAGAGATTGTGTTGGAATCCGAAATAGAAAGATGCATCCAGGTTTGTTGACCGTTATCCGACGGTACTTTACCTAACCCAAGCTCAGAGCGGAGAGCACCAAGGTCAACAGAGCCTGACTTTCGGTGTACTACAAATGTTTGATCAACCCATTTTTGGAGTTCGGATGTAGATGGAGAGTAGTACTGGAGGGATGGTATGTCATTGTCATCGAGGATAACAAGTGAAGCAATTGTTGGAACTAGGAAGCGAAGCTTGATCCAGGCATCACCTGCAACCTTGATCACAGAGTCAGCTGGCCTTTGCATAGCTAGGTCAACATGAAATGCGAAAAATAGGGTCTGGAAGCCCTTGTTATATCTGTTAAGGACATCTTGAACAATTTCTCCTCCAGCCAGCAGTCGGACTCGACCTTCCATCCCATTTCTTGGAGGAAGACTCTTCCAGACATACTTGTGAAGATTAGTCTTGGTCAGTATTAGACTGTCCATCGCGTTGCTTTACCGGTGGATGAATGTACCGAGGCCGATTGGGCAGAAACTCCACTGAACAAATATATAAAAGGAAGCCTGAATGTATTGTAGTTCTGATTTTGTTATCAACAATCCATGGTGCCAAAAATGGAAAGATGAAGAACATTTTTGATTTTGATTTGGTGCAGTCTAGAGCTAGAAGCTGAACACATGTTGATCTCCAATTTCGGACTTCCCGGCTGATATTTCCTAAATAGTATGCGGAGATATTTGGATTCCATAAGGCTCATCATTTGATCTTAACAAAAAAGATGGAAGCTTGTTGTAAATATCTCGAACAATGATTCTGATTCTGCAATGCTTGTTGATTAATTTGGTTGTGACAAATTTTATCGCATAGGAAATTTGCATCAGTTACCACCAGGACCACCACGTGGTAAACCGCCGGAGTCATTATCCAGATCATCGTTGTCAGGATTGTTATTGTCGGCACCCGGATCATTGGGGTCACGAGGAGAATGTGAAGTAGCAGGACGTGGAGGCTGTTTTCCAGTACAATGAGCTATGGCTTGGAGGATTGGAGATTCAATTTGAGTAATTGACTGGCCCCGAGCCGGAGCGGCCACGGGGCGTTGTCCACAGCGAGGGGTCAAAACTTGGACAGGTTGTCCATCACCGGTATACAAAGTACTGTACTTGAATTATTGATCTTCTTCCATAGCTTCAGGAAGAGTTGACATAGTAGGAACTGTAGCTGGACCAAAACCGCGATTACGGCGACATGGTTGACCGATAGCAGAAATGGATTTGGAGAAAGGGGCAAATGATTGGGCTGTAGTGAAGAAGGTGTTTTCTTCGGAGTTAGCTCTAGATTGAGCTCGAGTTCTCGGAGGCATAAAAAATGATATGTCAGTACAACGTTAACGGATTGAGTTTAATTATACTGTTAAGATCATGTACACCATGTAACTGTTAACAAGCTTGCCTCGTTTTTGTGTTAAAGAGAAAGGAAGGAATCAAATGGGCACTCCAAACAACCAATCTAATACACAATATGCGAGTTCACTGCTATCAAATTTATTTAATAGCAAGGGGTAGTGTTGTCAAAGGTTCCGCAAAGCTTTGAGAGCTAGGAAAAGCTTCAATCAATCAATTTGAATCATTCTAAGGATTCGGTATATTCCTTTGATCAAGGTAGATTCAGCACAATTTGTGCTTTGATTGTATTGATATGGGTATATCAAGATTTGGGGGTTTGAATCAAAGTAAATTAAAACCAAAACACACAGACCCCTACAGAGGGCTAGAACTATGTGCTGGCACAACCACACAGCGTGATTTGCCCTCAAGACCAACAACTGATCCTAAGTTCAAAGAATACCCAACAACTGGATATACTTCTCGCAGTCACAAGAAGCAGAACATGATGTTCCTATACTCACAAGTGCCGGGCCCGAATGGCTGCTAGCGAAGAGGTTTCAGTCTGGCAGGAGTGTGTCTTTCCTTTTTACGGATTAGCACTGCAACGTCGTCCCAAAATCACTTGTATTCCAGATACATCGGATCACTATTTATACATACAGAATATAGAGTCGCACAGTACAATTAATTTAATACAATAAATGTTCGGAACTGCAAGGAAACTTCTACACTTGGTTTGATACCATTTAATTTGAATCTACATGTCCTTATTTGGTCCATAATGGTTCCAAGATTCTAGTATACCTCCAAACATAGGTAGGTACTTCAATATTCATTTAATTTAATTGTTTTGGAGAATGACTCGAATGGTGTTTAGTTGTTGTTGCTGTTCAACACTTAGTACGATCATTTGTCACCTCGTCCGGAGGCAAATCAGCTCTCCTTGATTCTAATCCTATCAATCTGATTCATCTGGATTAAGCTAATTGCTTCTCTCTTTCAACAGACACCCAATGTGCCTATACTCTATCAAGGGAGTTACACATAGTATTCATTTAATTGCATTCTTCAATATTTTCTACGTCAGGACTCTTTGACATTCATTTGATATGTCTTCGGAGCCCCGCAGTACTTCGATTGTTCTTCCAGTCATTTTCCTCAACCATGCAACCTGATTGGTCTATTAGACTAAATCGCAGTCGTTTTAGATTAATGCATGATCTCGTTCTAGAAAGAGTATTTGATAATTTCTGAGTTCTAGAAAGTCATTTTGAGTCAATCCTCGGCTTATGGTCACTTGAGTAAGTTCTTCCAAACTCCTGCCAATGTAAGGTCCAATAGGAATACCCTTGGTATGTCATACGTGAATGGTCATCCTTCGGATGTAGTCCGAGTCTGGTATAATCCTGCTTGACAAACAGGTAGACTGCTATCCGAAGGTAGTATCGGGGATGGGTAAACTAACCACTTGTGGTAGTATGGGTATATGGTCCCTTCAACTTATTAGACTGATTCAGTATTGACTTTGACTGTCAATCTGGGTCTCAATTACAGTCCTCTCAATACAAATCTATACGTGAAAATGTCACAATTCACAGCATAGACGTCTAGCCAAAATTTAGGCGTGTCACCGATACTACCTTCGGATAACAGTCTACCCGTTTGTCAAGCAGGATTATACGAGACTCGGACTACATCCAAAGGATGACCATTCACGTATGACATACCAAGGGTATTCTTATTGGACCTTACACTGGCAGGAGTTTGGAAGAACTTACTCAAGTGACCATGAGCCGAGGATTGACTCAAAATGACTTTCTAGAACTCAGGAATTGTCAAATACTCCTTCTAGAACAAGATCATGCATTAATCTAAAAGACTGTGATTTAGTCTAATAGACCAATCAGGTTGCATGGTTGAGGAAAATGACTAGAAGAACGATCAAGGTACTGCGAGGCTCCAAAGACATATCAAATGAATGTCAAAGAGTCCTGACGTAGAAAATATTGAAGAACACAATTAAATGAATACTATGCATAACTCCCTTGATAGAGTATAGGCACAATGGGTGTCTATTGAAAGAGAGAAGCAATTAGCTTAATCCAGATGAATCAGATTGATAGGATTAGAATCAAGGAGAGCTGATTTGCCTCCGGACGAGGTGACAAATGATCGAACTAAGTGTTGAACAGCAACAACAACTAAACACCGTTCGAGTCATTCTCCAAAACAATTAAATTAAATGAATATTGAAGTACCTACCTATGTTTGGAGGTATACTAGAATCTTGGAACCATTATGGACCAAATAAGGACATGTAGATTCAAATTAAATGGTATCAAACCAAGTGTAGAAGTTTCCTTGCAGTTCCGAACATTTATTGTATTAAATTAATTGTACTGTGCGACTCTATATTCTGTATGTATAAATAGCGATCCGATGTATCTGGAATACAAGTGATTTTGGGACGACGTTGCAGTGCTAATCCGTAAAAAGGAAAGACACACTCCTGCCAGACTGAAACCTCTTCGCTAGCAGCCATTCGGGCCCGGCACTTGTGAGTATAGGAACATCATGTTCTGCTCCTTGTGACTGCGAGAAGTATATCCAGTTGTTGGGTATTCTTCGAACTTAGGATCAGTTGTTGGTCTTAAGGGCAAATCACGCTGTGTGGTTGTGCCAGCACATAGTTCTAGCCCTCTGTAGGGGTCTGTGGGTTTTGGTTTTAATTTACTTTGATTCAAACCCCCAATTCTTGATATACCCAAATCAATACAAACCAAAGCACAAATCATGCTGAATCTACCTTGATCAAAGGAATATATCGAATCCTTAGAACGATTCAAATTGATTGATTAAAGCTTCTTACTTAGCTCTCAAAGCTTTGCGGAACCTTTGCCAATGCTACCCCTTGCTATTAAATAAATTTGATAGCAGTGAACTCGCATATTGTGTATTAGATTGGTTGGTTGGAGTGCCCATTTGATTCCTTCCTTTCTCTTTCACACAAAAACGAGGCAAGCCCGTTATCGGGGATGGGTAAAGTAACCAACTTGTGGTAGTATGGGTATATGGTCCCTTCAACTTATTAGACTGATTCAGTATTGACTTTGACTGTCAATCTGGGTCTCAATTACAGTCCTCTTGATACGAATCTATGCATGAAAATGTCACAATTCACTGCATAGATGTCTAGCCAAAATTTAGGCATGTCACCATGCCAGAGGCCACAAGGTGTCTAAGGGCGGAGGGTTGAATGGGACAGTAGTGAAGCTATGAACAACACCACTGTTACGCCGCTAGTCCCCAGAGATCGAGAGTAGTGAAGGAAGAGAGCCAGGAGCAGCCAAGCCGGAGCAGTGGTGACGCTGATGACGAGGAGCGAACCCAAAGAACTTATAAGTCCTGAGGATAGAGTAGAGAGTACTTCAAGGCGGGAGATCTAAATTCATAATTAAACTGAGGAACTACAGTAGCGTACAGGCAGTATTTATATCTATGGATCGGCGCATCGGTGCGGAGCGCCAGACTAACTACTAGGAGCTATACGTGTAGTACCTGCAGGGTAAGAAATAAAACAATAAAGGACAATCTAAGTTGAAAGGGAATGTGTAGCGAGAAAGAACAATAAGGATGAGATTACAATAAACGGTAGATCTCAGAATACCGAGCGGCGGAATGGGGCCCCAAGGCATGGACCTGACAGGTACAGTTGCCAGAGCAGATGTTGGGGTTGAGGCAGCAATCTGGACGGATTCATTTGGGCACAGGGAGAATGGTGCGGGTCCCATAGCGGATATCTGCTGGCGCCGAGGTTGCTGACATCAGCCTCGGTCTCATCCGAGTCGCACGAACTTGTCTTGGCAGACTGTTTCCAGATGTCCTCGGCGTCCACAGTAACGGCAGGTGGTTTCTCGGTGTGGGCAGTTTTGCTTGACATGACCTTGGGCACCACAGCCGAAGCGTTGTCCTCGCATGCGAGCTAGGAATGCCTCCCTAGTATTCCCATTACTAGTTTGGGTTGCACCAATGTCCATAGCGTGGGGGTCGGCAGGGGCAGTGTGAGCGGTGTGTGTGGGAGCGTGTCCAGAGTTTCGGCCAGTCATGGTGGGGTCGTGCATGTAGACGTCCACTGATATGGCTCGTTTGATTGCCTCCTTCAGAGTCAGAGCAAGTCCTTGGGCGATGTTTACAACAATGAGATTTTGTCGGATCTCCAGAAGTAGGGCAGTGAAAAAGCGTTCCTGTAAATCAATGTCAGACATTCCAGTCTGATCCCCAATATCCTTGAACTTCTGAGTGAATTCCGCAACTGTCTGACCTTTACCTTGCTTGAGATTTTTGATGTCACTGCGAGCTTCCATACCCGGGTCTACTGACTCAAAGCGTTGAACAAACTCTTTCAGGAACTCTTCCCAATTTCCTCCAAAGGGGGGATGTTCTGCATTGAAATGTAGCAAATGCGGGGTTGCCCAGTCACCCGCACTTTCAGTGAAGAACCCTAGGGCTGACTTGATAAGCTTTGCCTGACTCTTGGTGAGATCAGGTTGTTCCGATGCCCAGTTCTGGAACTGAGCCATGAAGCGACATGCCTCAGCGCTATCTTTACCCTTGAATACCTCGGTTTATTCATGCTTGACCTGGCAGATGAACGTTCCTCCATGGCAGTGGCTAGGTTGGCTACCTGTTTAATAAGCTGTGCCATGAGGTCATTTGCAGTGGATGGTGTAGGGGCAGGTTAAGCAGGGTCAGACATGATTGCAGTGGGCAATCGGGGATGGGGAATCGGCAGGAAGGTTGTATCATCTGCTGTGAATGGGTTCTGGACTGAATTGGAAAGTGCGAGGGGGCAAGGCTGGGAGTCACAGTCGTACCAGGTGTTGTCAATCTGATGGACATGGTGTTGATCTCTGGGATCGAGTGCGTGTTGGAGGGTGGAGCAGTCTGTTGTAGCGGTAAGAGCGGAAGGATCTACGGGTGTAGAAGATGTGATGTATGCGGATCCTGCAAGGACAACCTTATCAGTAGGCTGTCAGTGCAGTAATGAATCTTGACCTAATGTCACGAAGTGGCAGAGGCGGAGTGACTAAGCAAGGCGGTGAGGCAGAGCTACTAAGCAGTTCAGCGAGGCGGAGTGACTAAGCGGAGTGGAGGCAAACTGGTCCCAGATAATGACAGAGATATATTGAGTATCATAGTCATAGGTAATAATAAGTAAGCACATACCTGGTCCCAGATAATGACAGAGAGGTCAAGATAAGGACCCAGGCTGTGAGGGATTGCCTTTATATACATAATCCGATCTGCGAGAAATGATGATGTAATACTGTACAGTTTAGGAACAAGGAAGGTGGCGGAAGCCAGTAGAAGCAGAAGGGTAACAGGTGGATCAGTAATCAATGGGATTTGACAGTGATGTAATCATACAAGTAAGGGCATTGAGACAGTGAGAAAAGGAAAATGATAGGGGCTACGTACTTCATGACAACTCCCCCCTCAGTCATTGCCGATTCAACATATCAAAGTGGGAGAGTGCTGCACCAGTGAGGTGACTGGCTGCCGAAGCGCATTTGTCTTTTTCTTGAGCATAGATAGTGAGTATGGGCAGCCCCGCCAAAGTTTCCGTGCGCTGACTAAGCGGGCGCTTAGTCTCTGGTTCCGAAATCAGTCGCGCTGAACCTTTGCCTCCAGATTCCTTCGCTTTATGAGGGATCGGAATTCATTAAAGTACTAATTATGCATCTATTGTATATAAAAATTATCCGAGTCAATAATATGGCTTTATCTATAATAATCCTCCTCTGAATGATAGCTGTCCGAGTTAAATCCATCCAATTCCTCTACAGTAACATCTGGGATTTCCTCCTCGTCACTTAACGTGCCTTCTACAGGCTGCCCCATGCATCAAGAAGCATTCGCATCAGCATACTTCTCAATTGCAGATCTGAGAAGTCTCCTCTTCTCCTCGCGCTTACCCCAAGTGCTCTCAGTTTGCGGAACAGCATCTTTGACACCATGCTGCTTATGCCATTTGAGTTGCATGGTGATCTCGGAAACAGGTAAATAACCTGAGGTACCCTGTGTTCTCGAGGCATGATAGTCGAGTTCTGTGAGGGTTGGAATAGGCTTAACAGCATCAATGGCTCTTACAGCTGCTTGCCGCTTTTCCTTTCGTTCTGTGTCCTTTTCAGTCCGTTTTTCTGCTACTTCCTGATGATATTGTGCCATCTGAATGTGCTCTCGACGATTCGCGCCTGATGCATCTTCAGTACGTGTGATTTTTCGGAGCCATTGGCGCATTGCTGGACTGAGAGTGTGAAGGTATGAGGAAGTTTGGTTGAATTTGTACATTTGTCGGGCATTATACTGGACAAGAGACAGGGTGGGATTCGCGCGACTGGTTTGTCTAATGGAACAGAATGTTCTGGATGGCTTAAATGATCCCGCGACGCGTCAGGAATTCTGTGTTATTACATTGTATTGGTTGGCTATTAGTGTCCCATACATGCGAGAAATCCGAGGTCCACAAGCGAAGGCGAACAATGTTCTGGAGCTTGGTGACCTCCATTGTCGCGTTATCAAACATATTGACGTGTTAATAAAGGAGCCAGAGCATCTGCTTGGCCCAGACGCGTCAGAAACTCATGGATCTTTGGATGGACATGGCTGGGAGCGGCCGGACGCGTTCTATGCAGTGCAAAGACATGCATCACAGCAGCTCCCACAGATTCAAAGCCTTTTGATACACTTCCTCAAAAAAGCCAAGGAGTCCTGGCTCCGGTTCATGTCAGAATTTGAGGGGGGTGGTGCGCTTTCACGAGCCACACCTGAGCAAATTGAGCGCGCCTGGATGGAGAAAACTAATGATCTGAATGAAGGTGCTTTTGGAACCTAATGATTCAACTTCCCGGAGCCCTTATTATGTTGAACGTACATCAAAAACTCAATGAACAAGTCCATGTGAGTGATTATCAAGGCTCAAGCTTCTGCGTGCAACTGAAATCGCGTGTTACTCGTATCTGGGAAAGCTAGGTTGAAACCCAGCTTCTGGTCAAAGTAAAACCGCAACGTGTCTTGTTGACCTTGTTTCCTGTCCTTGTGCCGAAAAATTGCACCTGCAAGACTTGCAACCTTGATAGCTCCTTGCTCACTACGTGCTGTAGCACGTTCTGCAGCTTTCCGAATAGCAGCCGCATTGTCACGATTTGGGAGGAGAATCGGTGGATGGAGATCAGGGTGTTTATTCCAGTATTCATCCAAGCCGACACATCCTCCCTTGAAAGCATTCATTTCTTTGTGCATGCAACAGCCTGCCCAAAGGATTAAATCAACTTTGGCCTTCTCCTCCTCTGACAGCTTCTGGAATTCGGCTTCCCCAATATCACAGATAATCTGTCTTCTCATCTCATCAATCCGGCGTGTACGTTCCTTGGTAGTTAACACATCCCAAGCAGCTGGACCCCCTGCCTTTTGTACGAGAACCTGCGAGCCTTGGAAAATAAGACACGCGTACTCATTATCCATGAGCCGTTTGACAGCACTTTCACCTCGAACCTCACGCTCCAACTGTTTCTTCCATTTCTTCAACAGCTCGAAGAGTTTTTTTTGGTCAGCGGCGTGGTCCGAATAAAACCCAGTAACAAGATTCCAAAAAATACGCGCATCGTCTTCCACGATCAGACCGCTCTGATATGCAAGGTGAAATAGATCTTCGGCAGTCTCGATCCAGCCCTCTAACTGTGTCTTGCTAGTATGATTTAGAGCTATCTTCAAACCAAGGAAGAACTGGAGCTTTTTGTTGGGTGTAATCACTGTGGTGAACTTCAATTCGTAGGTTTCATTCTTGTGAGTTGTCCCATCTCCGCTCAGCGTGATGCCTGTATATGTTCAACTACCATTGATATAATATCTTTTACAATAGAAAATACCTTTTGCGTCCTTCAAGGCTTCGATAATTTGCAATTTTGACGCGTTTCCACCCTCCTTTGTGATCCATCCAACACTTCTACGTGAGACATCTCCCTCAACTTGGACTCCAAACACCCCTGCAATCTGCTTGAACACGCGGGTCACCTTGTTCGCAGGAACGGCATCCATGGCTACGAGATCAAGGAAAACATCTCGCGCTTCATCTGGAATGATGCCACTGGAGTCCTTGAGGAAGAAGGTTCGTTCGTCATTAGCTTTAGTGTTGTATGTACACGCGACACCGTTGGTAGCAGTGACAAGCCGGCTTGGTATACGTGAAATTTTTGCTTTCAGTGCATGGATCTGGCGTTGGTAGTCCTTGAGCCTCTTCTGTAACCTCGCTTCGATGTCTTCCATCACTATCTTCTGCCGCCTAGTTTCTTGTTCAAGCACCTCGATTCTCTCATCCCTTTCTTCTACAACTTTTCTCAGTTTCTGCCCTGTGTCCTTCACCTCATTCTCCCTCTCTCTCAAAGCCTTATTTAAGCCTTCTGCCTTTTCCCTTGATTTATGTGTCTCTTTATGCCAATATTTTGCTTTTTTTCGGAAATTATCAGTTTGACTTTTTAGGACATCAGCATGATTCTTCTGCTTCTGGGAAGCATCAGAGGGCCCTGGCCTGTTGAAACCATCATTTTCCTTGTCATCATCAGCATTGGAAGTATCTTCGGGAGGGCTTTGGTTGGGACCAAGCATAAACTGCCTCGCGAGTCTAGCGGCAGCAGTGTGCTCCTGGCGATCCTTTTTCGAAGAACGTTTGCACTTTCCAAACGTCACACTAGGACGACGGTCAACCACATTAGGCATGCACAGGTCTTTGGATCTTGGAGAATGTGTCAAAGGTGTAATAAGGACGCGACAAGGACACGATGAGGACGCGACAAGGACGCGACAAGAAGACTTCGCTTAGTAGAAATACAGATTATGTAAGATTAAACTCATTCCGAGGGGGATGCTCGGAATGGTGGTTCGCACTATGGGATCTCTCCAAAAACCATTGGGATTAGTGTATCTCACATATATGATTGATGTTAACAGAAAACTTGCAAATATTTTGGGTATCTTTGAGATGATACATGTAAGATTATTCAGTATTCAGTGGAAATTATGAATTGTTTTCTGTTTACATTAATGTAATCTACAATCTAAACCATCTGAGCACCATGAACCAGGGTGTTGTGTATTTCAATATCTCAAACAAAAGCAGCGCGAAAGATTCGTTTAACAGGTGCCGTGCCAATCTATCTGAGAATTTCGTTCTCACGGCTCAAGTGGCAGGGAGTTGCCCATACTCATAGATAGTAGGACGTACCCCAAACATCTGTTCCAAACTGAGGACCCACATCTTCCATGCAGAACAATCATCACCTGCGAAGCTCTCGATCTTACCAATGTCGAGTTTTAACTTGATGGTGATTCGAATTTTCTCCTCATTGCTCTCCCACGTATTCTGTCCTTCATTGGAGATTCTTGGAGCTGCTTTATGGTGCTGTCAAGTCCATGCCTCGGGCCTCCATTCCACCGCTCGGTATTCCAAAGATCTACCTTTTATTGTAATCTCACTCTTATTGTTCTTTCTCGCTACACATACCCTTTCGTTCTAGTCCCTCCTTATTGTCTTTTACCTTACCCTGCAGGTACTACACGTATAGCTCCTAGTAGTTAGTCTCTGGTCTGCTCCTCGTCATTGGCGATACCACCGCTCCGACTTGGCTGCTACTTAGCTCCTCTCTCTATACTCTCAATCTCCAGGGACTAACGGCGTAACGGCGGTGTTGTTAATAACTTCACTACTGTCCCACTCGTCTTCCGCACTTAGACATCTTGTGGCCCTGGCACGGTTTCACGGTGTACATGATCTTAACAGGTGCCAACCCTGTTTTGGATCGTAGTACCAGGGTTGGTCAGGGTCATAGCAGGCTGGAGGTACTTCAGGAGCTCCAGTGGGAAGCTCCCTTCTGCTCTCATCATCCCTGAGCTGAACAGGGTGGTGGATTGGGAAAGTCCTGCTGACGCATTGAGGTCGAACCAATAGCGCGTTGTATCTGTGTTACGAGAAACTAGGACAAAATATGGGCCAGGGCTTGATGAAAGAACAAGTAACATACTCTAGTCATGACAGTGTATAAGAATAACTGTGTTGGAGAACCAATTGTACATGTGATCCTTCCTTTAGACCAGAGAAAAAAGTCTGTCCTCCTCTCTCCTGCCACCGTTCCTACCCAACTGGGTGTGTTCCCCTTTGTTGGAACTTTCAGAATCGTTATCTCCTGGTCCTCCTGAGGGTGGTGGTGGAGGAGGAGGCAGAGGGGGGGCCCCTCCCCCGCTCCTTCCTTCCTGTCCCCTTTGATCCCATCCTCCCTGGCTCAGAGGTTGTTCTCGATCTCCTGAGTGGCTAGAGAGGTGTGTGTGGGGGGGGGGGTACTCTATCAGGGAGGTTAAACCCTCCTTTGCCTCCTCCACTTTTGGCTATTCCACTGTCCTCCAATGCATACCTTCCTCCCTCCAGTCTCATGTGCTCCCCTAACTCTGGTCTTTGCATGCGAGCTCCCCATTCCTGAATACGTTGCCTATCCACACTCGGGGTGACAGGTAGCGGGACTGTTTGTCCTTCCTGAGGGTTCCCTTCCCTAACTCCCAGGAGTACGTCTCGTAAAGGATATTGGTTCTGTAGCCTGCCAGCTTCTTGGCTGGGTGTTAAGATCATGTACACTGTGTAACTGTGCCAGGGCCACAAGGTGTCTAAGGGTGGAAAGTCGAGTGGGACAGTAGTGAAGTTATTAACAACACCGCCGTTACACCGTTAGTCCCCGAAGATCAAGAGTATAGAATGGAGGAGCTAAGTAGCAGCCAAGTCGGAGCGGCGGTATCACCAGTGACGAGGAGCGAACCAAAGAACATCTAAGTCCTAAGGTAGAGTAGAACGTACTTCAAGGCGTTGAGCCTGAAGACTTAGAGAAGGGCTAAGTTGGAAAGGGAGATCTAAGTTGATAATTAAACTGAGGAACTACAGTAGCGTACAGGCAGTATTTATATCTACGGATCAGCGCATCGGTGCGGAACGCTAGACTAACTACTAGGAGCTATACGAGTAGTACCTGCAGGGTAAAGTAAAAGACAATAAGGAGAGAATGAAAGGGTATGTGTAGCGAGAAAGAACAATAAGAAGAGATTACAATAAGAGGTGGATCTTCGGAATACCGAGCGGCGGAATGGAGGCCCGAGGCATGGACTTGACAGTATCCCCCTCTTAGGCTTGAGCCCTCGAAAGCCGTTAGTATTGGGAAATACTATTAGTCACCAGAGAAAAAATTTTAAATCCCGTCAGCATCGGCAATTATCCCTTTAGTCATCAGGAGGATTTCATTGGTCCACCGTAAGCCGGGTACAATTTGATGGAAAATTTTCGCTGGTCCGTGTGCCATTTTTGTCCTAAAAAAGGCCCAGAGTTTTACTGATAAGGCCCAAGTTTTCAAAAACTTCTAAGTCCATCAATGTCTACCAGCCAAACTCAAACCACGACAACTACCTCCTCTACTACTGCCGGACCGTCGAGGTCTCGACCAACAAATCCGCCACCCGCCTGTCATGCCCTGGCTACAACCAGACCAGTCCCAGTACCCGCCACACGTTGCCATACGTCCTACCCACCTCCTGTATGTCCTCTGCACCTCCCCAAGGACCACCAGACACCTCCCCAAGTATTCCTGACGCAACTACCCAAACGTCCTTCACCCCGACATGCATACGAAAACCCTCCTAACCAATAACCCCTTTAAGTATTAATCTCGATTACCTTCCTCCCCCCGATTAGCTGCCTCATGCCTCCAGATGTTCTCTTGTTCACTTCCCGTACCTATTTAAGTAGCTCCGTAACGTCCCCAAGCCCCAGCTTGGTATATTTTGAACACACACCCTTTTGCATAGGTCCAGTCCCTGTCCCTTTGTACCTGCTAACCATACGGATTTCTCTTTACTCTCTGTTTCACTACCTCTGTTTCTCCTTACTCTCGTCTATTGTCTCTCTGATCGTCTATCCGATCGAATATACGCTTTTACTTCAAGTCTAAGCCTTCCGAGTGAGTCCCCGAGCTCCCTCAAACATTACTAAAGCTCCCCAACGCCTACACGCTTTGGTGAGCCACCCTTCCCCAAACCTCCCAGAGCTCCCTAGCTACTTCGTAAGCTTCGGGACCTCGATCTAGGTAACGTCGAAGCTACCCCTCATGTTGAACTACATACCGCTTCTCCGTTACCACCTCCCCCACTCGAGGACGTCCATCCTCAAGCCCAGCCCCCAGGGACCTACCCTCCCTGGCATATCCCTTCTTGGGAGCTTATACCCTCGAGATCCAGTTACATATATGACCTACTCGATCCTATATTGACGTTCTAGCGAGTACAACTCCTACTATGCAATATCGTATGGTCCCGCACTCTTCCTTAACCTCCCTACGCCTTAGGGACCTCCCTGGACCTCCTAGGAACCCCCTCAAGGGTCATCATCTCGTCGCTCCAGCCACTACTAGGTCATTTCCGTCCTCGGTCGCGGTTCTCGTAGCTCCCTTCGAGCTCCAGCCTGCTCTTAGCACGCTACAACATAAACCTCCATATACCAAAACCTACCCTAAGACCTATTTTGACCCAGGTCTTACATTATACCAAGCTCTCCCGTCACCGAACGGACTCTTCGCAACGAAATGTCTGCGACGTCAACGGAACGACCTTCTAGTTCCAAGATTGAATCAAAGAAACAAAAGAGCGCCTTA